GTCATGGAAAAGCAACATGGACGAGAACAATTTGTCGGCATGCCGAGGCTTCGGCTTCAACGCAAGCGTGGCGGACAGCCCAGCAGCACAAGATACGAGCAGAAAGATGCATAGAGTCGGACATGTCCGGAAACAATAAAGTTTGATCATCAAGTTTGGAGAGCCGAGCGTCATGAGGAAAGTCCCGTCGCGGCGAGCGTGTAACCGTCAAGACGGGCAAAGGTGGACTGCAGCATGCACCAGCACCCATGGCCCAACTCACCCCCCGATGCTGAGCTGTCTGTAGATGATGCAGCTTAGCGAGGGAGTTGGCTGAGTCAGTGTGTGTGTGAATGGGACATGGCAGTCGCACGACTGCACGTCGTTCTCGATGCGGACATGGCTCGGCCCAAGTAGGAGAAGGCGTCGCACCAAGGCCACATGCTAGGTACCTGTGCAGCTGAGTAACAGAAATTTGACAGGATACAGGTGGAGGCCTCGCCGTGTGTGGACGCGACGTATGCATTAACCTTGGGGCGAGATGGGTAATGGACGACGAGCCCGAGATCTCTTGAGGCGCCGACTCGACAGACAGAAGGAGGGGTCCAAGACGACCCACTGCGCTCGCTCTTATTTCTACATACATACTTCAAAGGCCTCCGCATTTTAGAGTTTGGCCCTACTGCAAAAGAGTATGTATGCAGACGAGGCATGTCCACAGGCATACCAGGCCCTGCGTTCATCTTGTTTTTTCCCGCACAATTCTCCGATGACCACAACAGGACGATACTGCAGAACGCGGGCTGCACTGCGGTTCAGCAACGAGGGCGTCGTGTGTGCGTGAGTGTGTGTCTCTTGACGTGCGTTTCAGGGCCACAGGTTCGCAGCGCGACAAGTGGAGACGACAGAGTCATGAACCCAGAAACGGGCGCAGCAAGGGCCGTATCCATACATGTACGTACTAGAGTATGTACGCACAACCGAAGCGGAAAAACCAGAGGCGGAAGACGGGGGGAATCAACGAGCGAGTCCGGGGCGCTTCCAGGATCGGGATGTGTAACGATTGATGTAGTCGATTCCGCGCAGGGCCGTCGAGGCGCTGGTGCTGCCAAGACATGGGGTACTTTGGGGCACACGAGCTGAGCACGACGCGTCCATTGTTGCGCTGCTTTGGGGCTGCTCCGCCGACGACAATGATGAGGATATTGGACAGGATGGAGGCTTGCACGTCGTTTCTTATGCATTGATGCCGGCCAGTTGGGCGCAGCGGCAACATCCAGATGGGTTCCCGGCGCACGGCCTCCATTTTCATTGCCGTACAGTAGGTAGGCGTCGTTCGGGTTCGTGTTTGCCAGCGCACTCTCTTCCCCATTCCACGCGCAACCAGCACGACTCATCTTCCCGGCTGGCGACGTGAGGCTCCTCACGGTTACGCCGTGGGTGCAGGTGGATACCCAGCTGGTCGTCAGGGCCCGCAGAACCGCTGACTCGGCGGGAGACGGCCCCTCGCCTCTTGGTTCAGGTGGACCAGGCCAGGTACACGGCCACGAACGAATCGGCTAAGGTGCATCATCAGCGGATTTGGGATTGAGCCCAATCATCAGGAGCGCACGTACCGGCAGGTGCCATTTGGAGACGGCAACGGGCAAAAGCTTGTGTGCATGCTATCGATGTCGTCAAACGTGTTGGACGATTGACAGCGGCCCGCTGCCGACCTCTCCCACGACCAGCATGGAACAAGAACAAAGGGAAAAACGAACACGGCACGTCTTCCCGGCCGTCAGTGCCCAAGGCGCGCACCACGATGCCGTGAGAAGGGACCTTGTGAGAAGGGGCGAACAAGACTGTGGTTTTGGTTTGACGTGGGGCAGCGTATAGGACGCTAATGATGACATTTAGCTCAAGTCGTGAGCCCCCCCCCTCTCTCCAAGGTCTTGCTCTACCGACGACACGCCATTCCCCGACTCTCCGGTGTCGCCTTGGCCCCCCACGTTGGGAATAGGCGGAGAAGAAGAAGACGTGCACTATTGCAAATAGCCTTACTATATTGCACCATGTACAAGCTGCTGTTCGCTTTGCAAGGTACGAGGGTATATACGTGAGCGCTTGCAAACCATAATCAAGCCCGTACAAGGCCGTCGCTGAATCACAACTGGCGCTGGGACTGACATGACGACCCCACAGCGGGGCCTAACTGGAATAGTACCCGGCTCTCCCTCAGGCATGGTTCAGCCCAAGCCTCTGATGGACAACAAGTGACCTGCCCAACTCGTATCGTGAGCCCCTCGCCCCTGGTCCACAAGAAAAATTCCTCACCAGGGCACAGCATGTTGACTCGCGAACCCTGGATGGGGGGGCAAGGGGAGGGAGGGAGGGGTCCATGTACGTGACGCTTTACGGTCACTTGCAACGTCATTGCTGCTCTGTATAGTAGAGGGCGCTGCGTCTGGAGCCGCATCGACTGTCAAGATCGACGGCTAAGGATGCAGATCGGGGCCGGACAAGGCTGTGAGTAGTGTCGACATGTCAAGCGTCAAGCGCCAGTGTCAGATATGTTAGGCGTTGGCAACAAAGGGCGCCGTTGGCTTGTTTGTGGTGGCAGTGGTAACTTGCATGTTTGGACGTTGGGCGCGTGTGCAAACTACTCGTCGGCTAAAGGAAAGTGAGGCTTTTGGTTCGTCCGTCGGGCTGTTCGTCTGCTGGTTTGTTCGTCATGGATCAGCGCCCATGGCGGCGAGCCGGCCGGTGACGTGATGCTGCATGTTTGAAAGATAGTAACAGGCGCGCGAGAAACCGCCGGCTGGAACACGGTGGGCGGTGGGTGCTGGATCCGTGAGGCCGAAAACATAGTACCTAGGCCCCCGTACTGGGGCCAGCAACCCTCAGGGATGCCCGGCGCGGGCAAGAGAGCGAGAGCAGCCACTGTCCACCTAGTCAATGGCCACTTGGCATACGGGCGCCTGAGGCCCAGACACGCAGTGTACCCTTTGGCGCATGAATATGAGAGCGAGAGGGCGAAAGCGAGAGACGCGGGCTTAGGCTGACAGGTCGAGTGTGCAGCCAATCAGACGCGGCGCCCTTTTGATACCCGCGATGCCCATGAATAAGTTTTTCAGCGGAAGCGGCCCTCGCCTCGCTACCAAGTTCCCTCTACGACAAGCTGTCTAGTCAGCGCGTCTGATCGATCGTCGGATGCGTGTAGCCGTCGCCGCCGCCGCCGCCCTGGTGATGACGGCGTCGTCGTCGCCGTCGTCACATTGCCAGAAGGGTCGCGGCTGTCGTCGTCCAGGCCAAGGGTTGTAGCGAGCAGATGCACCTACACACACCTAGACCTAGACCTATTCCTAGTCAGCCAGCTCATACGTAACCATCTAGGGCTGGAGTCCATAGTTACACCGAGTTAGCGAACTCTTTCCACGCCAAGCTCTAGGCCCTTTTTCCGCTTTCCATCTAAGCGGCAACCAGCTCCGAGTTACAGGTGACAGCCCCCCCCCCCAGCTGCCGCCGCCTCCCGCCTTGGGCCAATGGCCGCGCCTCGTCGGTACATGCTGGGCTGGGGGCATATCCGTCGTGGCAAATGACAGCCGAAAGCTGTCTTGGTTGTCGTTGTCGTCCTGGTCCCTGTCCTTCGGGGGAGGGGGGCGAGATAGGGAGAGAAGGGAGAAGGGAGAAGGGGAGAGGGAGAGAGGGCGACGGTCAGGCAGCGGGGGGAAGACGAGGGCAAGAACGCCCGCTCGCCCCCACCAAGCACTCTCTTTCCCTCTTTCCCTCTTTCTGTGTGTGTGTGTCTGCCTCAGTCTCCCGCACGCTCATCAGCCAATCCCATGCTCGCTGTTGCAATCTTGCAAGTTTCATCGCCAACATCATCACATCACATCACCCACCAACCTCTCTCCACCCCACACGGACACACACACACACGCACACACACGCACCCCCTAACAATTAAACTCACCGGCTGCGTCTCGCTTCCGGAGATCGAGAACTTTCTCTGCTGCCCCAAAGGGTTTGCACTGCCACGCCTCCCCACCGCCCCTCGTCCCATGTGCCTGTCCAACCCTTACCGCGTGTCAGGGGGGTTGGGGCCTCCCCCCCCCCGGGTTCCAGGACGTGTATTGTAAAGTGAGTGTAGATGCGGTAACAAGCACGAGGTGCGGGCGGGCGGGTGGGTGGGTGGGTGTGTGGCGACAGGAAGGGCTGCAGGCGGACATGACCAGCACGAAGGATCGTCTTGCAGACAGTCAGCAACGCAAGATGCAGGTAAGGGGAGAGCATGGCGCGCATGCACATGCAACATGCTTTAGCTCCGCAAAAACTCTCTCGTACGTACATACGGGTCGTGAATCAAGCGGTGAGGCGTCAGTGACTTTGCATCCCGAATCTCCTCCTGTCTGCACTCTCTCGTGTCCTCGTGCCCTCGTGCCTTTCCCCCCCCTCTTCGCTGGCCGTTGACTTGTCGTGTCGTGGCACTGTCATGTGATGGAACAACAGATGCGATCGAGATGGTTTCAGTCTTGTCAGATTGATCGATTGATTGATTGATTGATTGCTATTCTAATCCCAAAAACTACTGCTTGCTTTGCTTTGGTGATGCAACCCGTATCCACGATGTAAATTGCTCTTTTTTTTTGAAGTCTTTTGCTGATGCTGCGCCCCCTGCAGGCCAAACGATCAGCGTCGGTATACTTGATTTTTTTTGGGTCGCGCCGGGGAAACAGCGCATCGTGTAGAGAGTGATACAGGACAAAGCATCAAACACATTATACTGTTACTTGCGCAACCATGCCGTGGGGAACCCAGTCCCCCCCCTTTCCCCAACTTCTAGAGACCATATATCAGAAGCAAAGAAACAAAAACATGGCAGTGCCCGTCGCTGCGCTAGCTTGGGTACTGATCACCCGTTGCCCACCCCTAAATGCCCAACTTTATTCCCAGCGCCGATATCCCGTAAAACTCCCGAAACATTGCCAAAACAGTGCTCAAATGATGCTACATGATAATCAAACTACCCTGCCCACGGCCTAATAAAGCTTGCGCTCGGGGAACACCATATCGTCGTACCCACTCGCTGGCGGTTGATGGTAGCCCGTGGGCATGGGCACGTTGAAATCATATCCACTGTCGACTCGCTGGATGCTGTCTGATGACATGGAAGAGCTTCGGCTGCTGCGTTCGCTGCTGTGCTGGTGGAACGGGCCACCGAAACTTCGCGACAGTGAGCTCATGGGTAGCGCCGCGTACGACGATGGGTATGACGACGCCGAAGATGACATGGCCGAAATGCGACGGTCCTTTCCGCGTCCCTTGATGCCCTTGTTGGAGTTCTTGTAGAGCGAGGCAAAGTATTCCCAGAGCTCCTTGTCCTCCTTGGACACCCAGTCACCCATGCTGATCGTGGCAAACTTGGTGGTTAGGTACCTGAGTGTGGCAGCGTGAAACTTGTTCTGATGTGACTGCGTCTTGTCAGTGACTGGTCGTCATTTGTCGGCAGGCAATACACACCTTGAGATTGCCAAGCTGGGTGAATTGCTTGCCACAGTCGTCGAGCTTGCAGGTGAATGGCTTGATTTGTTGATGGACAATCTTGTGTGCGCGTACGTTGCCGCGCTGAGCAAATGTCTTTCCGCAGATGTCACAGCTGTATGGGCGCTCGCCAGTATGCCTTCGCTCGTGCGTCTGCTAGTGTCAGTATGGTTGCAGGGGGCACGCGCTGGAGGAAACATACCTTGAGGTTGCCCAACTGGGAGAAGGACTGTCCACAGCCTGGAGCCTTGCAGTTCTGCGGTCGAGTGTCAGAGAGATTTGGGGTTTTTGTGTCAGGATAGCCTTACAAATGGCTTAGCTCCAGTGTGGGCACGGATGTGGATCTCTAGGTGTGTCTTCTGGTAGAAGCTCTTGTTGCAGTTGGGCACTGTGCACTGGTATCGTTTTCGGGGTTTCTGCGAAGGCTTGGTGGTTTCGTCCTGCTGCTGGGGGTTAGGCACAGTAAAGACCAAAAGAGCGGTGGCGGGCGCGTACCTTGGGCTCTGTTGGCTCCGGGGCATTTGTCTGCTTGGCCTGGATGGCCCTCATCAGAGTGTCGACATCGGTCGAAAAGTTGACAGTGTTGCTTTCTGTGGGCTCCGAGTTGGAGCGCTTGCAGTCTGCCGAGTAGTTTGTGTCGCTGTTGCTGTTGTTGTAGATGGGATTTGACTGCAGTGGCGAAGTGCTCTCAGCCTTGACCATGGGGTTGAACAGGTTGCGGCCATCGCGTACCGTGGGCAGTGACTGGACATCGGAAGATGGCGGATACGAGACGGGGTTGGGGATGCTCGATGAGTAGTATGAGGACTGCGGCATGGTGTAGGGGTTCACTGAGGCCGGGTCATATGCGAATGCTCCTCCCGACTGGTAGGGGGCCGAGGTGGGGAGGCCGTTTGACGTGTACAGAGGCATGCTCATGTCCATCTGGGTGGATGTGGGTTGGAAGCTGCGGGAGACGGGTGCGCTGGTGACGGAGCGTGTAGCGTCGTACTGGGGCATCATGCTCGATTGGTGCATGCTGGATGGCATCTGGAAGGATGGTTCCCGTCGTTCTTGCCAAAGACCAGGAGTTTGATGAGGTGCAACAACAGCAGCCATGCTAGAGGGAGAAGCTGGTACCACTGGGTAGACGGTGACAGATTGGGGAAAGAAAGCAGTAAGTACGGCTTGGGCCGGAAGCTACTGGAAAAAGAGGATATCAAGACGGCAACACGGTGAAGGAAGAAGGATACAAGATCGGATGACGTGGGAGTATTGTAGATTTGCTCGATCGATCTGGTTGGGATTGGGGTGCCTTTTGGGCTTTACATATGGATGGGCCAACCCGATACACTACCACACTGAGCATCCCGCAAAGCAAGGATGGTTGATTGTTGTGGAGCCCGAGTGGCCTAGGGACTGGAGCGGACATGCTTGCAGCAGGACAGACAAGGAACATCGCTCTCGCATGCAGCCAAGAAAAGATGGGTGGTGGTGTTAGTGCAGAGCTGACGAGCAGGGGGGGGTACGGGGCCCAGCATCCGACCGGGATGTAGCCTCAGGGCAGAACCGGGGGTACTGTCCCAGGTGTGAACGGACGCAAAGTGTCGCCGTCTCATGTGCAGTGTGGGGGTCGTCCCAATGAGGTCGCCCAAGCCACACTGGATTGGGCGAAACATCGATGGCCGTGATCTTTGGCACTAGCCACTGGAGCCAGCGCTGGGGACATGGCGAACGGCGCCCAACAGCTTTGCGACTCCCATGATACACGCATCCAGGGCTGGCATTAGTGTTTCGAGGGGGCTGGCAAAACAGCACGGTTTGTTTCCAGCACGGTGTGTCTGTGTGTGTGCGTGTGGTCGGTGTGTGTCTAGGTACGTGTGAGTGAGTGAGTGTGTGTGTGTGAGAGAGTATGGGTGTGTATGTGTGTGTGCGTGTGTGTGCGTGCGTGTATGATGTGCGTGTATGTGTGTGTATGTGCGTATGAGCGTGAGTGTGTGTGTGTGTGTAAGTGCGTGTGAGTGTGCGTACGTGTGCGTGTGCGTACGTGTGTGTGTGTGTGTGCTAGACCCCTCTGTCCCTCTCTGACAGGCCACGGGAATTTGTTGGACCTTGTCGGGAATCCCGGTGGTGATCATCGCATGCTGGCGTTATCGTGGCTGACCTGGTCTTTGGTGTGTGGCAGCGTAGTGTCGAGGGCGGCCCACGGTATTCCGTACAACCACACGTGGGTACAGATACGCGCTATTGTATTCGAGCATCGACGGCGTCGTGGCGGACGACGCTTCTTCCCGGGGCGTTGACGGGACCGCAGATGAAGCGCATTCCCCCCCTCCCCGCCCCCCTTCACGGAGCGCCAATCAGGCCAGCATTGGGTAAGGCTCATCAGAGGGCGCGCGCGAATTGAACGCCTCGCATGGCAAAAGGCCTTAGGTAATGTGAGGTTCCGCGCCGACGTGAAGCTGATTGTAACTTTCCCGACAGGCCTTAGCTTGTATGGGAATCCCCGACTGTCATCGGGGGGAGAGAGGGCGAGCCTGCCGCCCCACTGCGGCGCTAGCCCGACGTCCCTGGGGCGTGTGGGTAGTGCGTGCGTGCGGGTGTGTGTGTGTATGTGTGTGGTGTGCGGTGTGTGTGATTGTCTCTCTCTCTGGGCGGAAGCTGAAGATGCGACTTGGGCCGTAGCAGCAGCATGGTGGGTGTGTGATGCGAAAAAAAATGGATGGATGGATGGATGGATGGATGGTGGGTGGGTTGGGGGAACAAGGTTGGCCAAACGAGGGGCGGCAGGCGGCGGGCAGCGGGCAGCGCTCGAGAGGAAGGAGGGGAGGTGGGGGGGCACAGGTCACGTGGCCAGCAGGATGCCAAGCCAGCCACCAGGCGCCCACTTGCTTTGTTTATTCACGCCATTACGGCAGCTTTGAAACAAGATATCCAGCCCGCTCGAGTGGTTGGGTGACGCCCTTCCGCTCGGGCGGGCTCAGGCGGCCGTGTGCATCCTTCTTCGCCCACAGCCTTCGATGGGCGGCGAGGCCACGTACAGAGCCTTCCCCAGGCGCCTGTCCGCTCACGACGCCCAGGGTGTTGCAGGCGATCTCCTCCCGCCCGGTCCACCCTTCATCTCAGATCTCCCGTGGCGTTATCGTCGGCGACATGCTCCCCCCCCCAAAAAAGGCCCCCGCTACCCACTGCGCACACACGCTGCCACTGTGCGCCGTCGCAATTGCGCCATTGCCATCGCCGCCAACGGTCCCTAGTACCCCCATCCCGGGGGCCCTCGCATCCAAAAGACCCAAATTTGGAGCTCCACATGGCCTAAAGCCCTGGCACGGTTAACCATTTCCAAGCTTCCGTCCACGCCGACAGGGCCGCCCGCCGCCGTGTGCTGTGCGTTTGGCGGCCGTTTTGGCAGACGGCCATTTGGAATGGCGGGCTGATGTATTCAACCATGTGCACCACCATATCACGAGAGCATGGACATGTAGCTAACGCCAGCGCGCTGACCGAGCACGGAATGCCCAAGGCCCGACACGACGCTCGACAATGCCATGGTGCAGACAGGCCCCTTGTGGCCACACGGCTTTGCATTCCGAGTCCCCTTGTCTCTTGGTGGCCGTCGGTCGTAGCCTCGACAGATGGGTGTTGAGAGGCGCATGCAAAGTGGCCAGGCCAGCCGCTCGCCCCTTGGACATGGATATGGCGTCCCAGTGTCCAGAGCAGGCAATCTGACCGACTCTGGAGCCTTACAGACAAAGAGGTGGAGGGGCCTTGGAGGGCACCGATTAGCGAGAGAGGGAGGGAGAGAGAGAGAGAGAGAGAGAGAGAGAGATGCTGGGGCCTCGGTTTGGCCACCATGGCATGGAGCACATGTGCAGGGGGGCATTCCGTCTGGCGTGGGCGGCTCCATGTCGAGTGGTGGTGCCGGTGCTGGGGATGCTGTGTATGACGGTGGTGGGTGAGTGGCTGCGTCTGTTAGGGAAATTCAAGATCCAAAATGGTGGACCTGCAGTAGTGTCAAACATGGGCTCGATACGCTGGTGAGCTACACTTTGCGAGTCCCCCTTCTGGAGATTGCCGAGTGGTGACAGGCCATCGGTCAAGGCTGGAGAGCCGTGCTCGCAGGCACAAGCGTGCAGTCGACAGTATCATCTTGATGGACACGGACTGCAGGTGGGTTGGCGTGGGCAGTGGGCGTGGGCGTGGGCGTGGCATTGGCAGTGTCAGTGTCAGTGCCAGTGCCAGTGTCAGTGGTGGCAGTGGCAGTGGCAGTGGCAGCGGCAGCGGCAGCGTGGGGAGTCGAGGGGATTGGCATAGGGCGGCCAATGACAGAATGCGGCGGCGACTTCTGGCAGCAGGCGTCGGGGGCCGGTGAACTGGCGGTGGTAGTGGCAGTGGTGGAGGGGCAGCGTGCGGCGGGCGTGGGTGGCATGGCAGATGGAGTCGAGTCGACTGCAGTCGAGTTGCAGTCGAGTTGCAGTCGAGTTGGTGGGCATGTTTCCGTCACGGGCGGGCCCAAGCTCGCTAATGCGGACGGCAGCAGCGGCGGCGGTGCGCGGAACCAGCGGCAGCAAGCCGCGGCCCTTGTTCGGGCGAATGCGAGGCCGCCATCACCGTCGCGCATCCTTGCCCGCGGTTGGTCGCCATGGCCTTGGAGCAGTCGGGTGGAGCATCTCGTCCAAAGCCTTCCACCACCAGCAACGCTACACTAGCAGCATGCAAAATGTCACGTCGTTGGGGCCATGTCGCGCGTCTCTTGTCGATGCACCCCCATCCATCCATCAACACACACACACACACACACACACACACACACACACACACACACACACACACACACACGCACACACACCCGCCCATGCACGCATGCATGCATCTTGCAGTTCGTCCTGTCAGACCCACCTGGGTTAGGATGCGATGGACGACCAGGGCTGCCCGCCGTGTCACTGTCCAAACGGATAGGCCCGAGGCCTTCCCCGGGGCCGCTGGCGAGACGGCCGTACCCATGTTCCCTGCACGCCATCCATCCCATCTCAGATCGCCTTGCCCACCACCATGACCATCGACACCGATATCGACTCCTCCACCGACACCTTGGACACCACCAACATGGCCGCCCTGCATCGCGTCTGCTCCACGTACGTCTTCACCGCATCGCCTCCCAGGTAATGGCAACCCCAGTCACGCGCCAGGCCGCACCCTTCACGTCACCGCTCCTCGACAGCGTGCCGGTCAACATCATCACCACCACCATCATCATCACCACCATCATCGCCAAGTCTCGCATCCTGCTGCGTGGCCAATGTCAGCCATGTTTCGTCTGCAGTCGCATGCCCTCTCTCTTCCTGCTCACCGGACACGGCCATGCAGGGAAGAAGACGAGGGATTCGCGCTTGTCCCTGGCCATGGCATGCCTCGACGTCGAACCTTGCCCAACAGAAAACCTCGGTGCCCGTTGGCAAACGGTTGGTTGGGGCCATCCCAAGGCGACGGTGCAAAGGGCGCCTGTGTCATGTCATGCTAATACATGCATGTATCATAGTCGTCCTTTTTTCCCTTTGCAGACTTGTAACCACTCTTCGGACTTGATACTTGTTGAGTCGCTGCAGGCGATACTGCCTTGAATCCATCACTATTGCCGGCCAGTGGATAGGCCCGTGTTCGGCTTGGTTGCCCAATAGGCTTGCATCCATGTCGCCATTCTTCCTCTCGCGCCCACTCTCACCCCAACTAAGTACTCGCTGCTGCATACAAGCGACACAAGCGTTCCGGTCCATACTCAAGACATGGCACCCGCACTTTTGGTACACTTGTGCCAGCCCGTCTTGCGCGCCCCCATTCCACATGCGCTGATTGACTGTCGCCAATATTCATGGCTGCGTGTGTGCGTGTTCATTTTTGGTTGTTTCTTTTCTTCACAAATCAAGCCATGACATGGGGAGCGGTATGCGAATTTGCTTTGCAGCGGGCCGCAGCGTGGTGCAACACGTGGGAAGTGTCATGGGGCACTGGTGGTGATAAAAAGCTGGCGGCGTCCTGGCCTTGGTGCGTAACCCCGTCTTTGCACCTCAGCCCACGCCTGGCTGTCTGGCTGTCTGTCAATCTGTCTGGCTAGCAATGGATTGCCGTGTCAATTAGGGTTTGGACATGTTCGGCCTCGGATGCACGTCACCCCGCCCGCCCTATACGCACACACACACACACACACACACACACACGCGCGCGCGCGCGCTGCACGCTCATCAGCAGACCCGACAGATGGGCTTGAAACTCGCCATGGCTCGACAACCGCAGCGCAATTGGTAAGCAGCCGGCTGACGCGCATACAACAAGGCGCCATTAGCGGCAGGTTGAAGCTTGGTGGGTAGCGCGCTTGCAAAGGCAATACCTGACCAAGCACCCACCCAAAACGGTACCTGAGAGGGTGTGGGTGTCGAGTCAGCGCCCCTTTCAGGCTGTACGTACGTATATATGTATGTACCATGTATGGACGCATGTATGTATGTATGTATGTGTGGAGATGGGTACAGATACGAGAGCAAAGCATCTATTACTCCACAGGCCCCCCTGCTCCATGCTCGACATGGCCATGGCCTTGTCCTCCCTTAGGCGACTACAAGCTAGCAAGCTGGCCTCGGAACACAACAATGACGAATTTGTCACATCAGCCAGGACAGGGCGCAGCAGGCGCAAGGATTATGCGAGTCGGCCATACTCCAACCGACAAGACGTGCATGATCTGAAAAGGCGATACCGATGTACCTGAGCGATCCGCAACAGTGGGGGCCCTCGATGAACCATGGTGGATATACATGGAAGGATGGACGGCGACGTGCCCATGCGTATGCTCGTGCTGGTCATGGTGCTCGTCCTGGTGCTCGTCCTGGTGCTTGGGGGAGAGAGAAAAAACATTGCGTCCGAGGGGCGGCGTGGTGTTGCAGCCAAGTACATAGGCCCAACGGCCGCAAGCCATGGATGCATGTCGAGGGACCGTCTCTGGTCATGGCCTCTTTCGCTGCTGTCCAAATTCTGGCCAAGCCGTGTCTCTGAAGGGGCTCCACCTATATGTCAACATGGAGGATACGGTTGCCTGTATCCGCGCCCACGTCCGATGCATACCGCTCGAAAAGGAACCACTGGATGAGTGGTGTGCCATGCCGTCGACGGGCCAGGCCAGGCCATGGCCGCCATAGGGGGAGGCGAGGGGCGCCATTCCAGCTCGCGTTTACGTAGCATCCCAACGGCAGGGCGACCTGAGCGTCACCACCGCGGTGGCCATGACCACGGTGGTGGTGGTGGTGGTGATGCTGCTGGTGATGATGATGATGATCTCCCCGAGGACGATGTGCGGCACATGGCGACTCAGATTGGCGAGCTGCTGTGTGCCTGCGCCATGTTACGTCGAAGCTGTGCCAGCCTGCCGGTTGCCGGCACCCTCTCCCGCCAATGTGTGGCACTGTCGAGGCGTCTTGTCCGCGGCGTCTTGTCGTCGTGCCAGCCTTCCAACGCGCTTCCCAGCCTGGTGGTGGTGTCGGTGGTGGTGGTGGTGGTGGTGGTGGCGGCTGCATCGCTACGCCGCGTGTCCATGCATCTCATCTCATCTCATTCCCGCCCGCCCGCCTGCCCCGATGCACTCGCAGATGCAAGAAGAAACCCTCAGATCTCTTGCGCCCACCCGTAACAATAGATCGAATGAGTCTGTGTGTGTGTGTGTGTGTGTGCGCGCGCAGTCGGCCCTTTTGTGGAGTCCGCCCCCAGACGCTCATCGGTGAGCGGCACCCGCTTCCGCTTCCGCCTTTCGTCAATCGCGCCTGGTGTGAGCCGTGCCTCGAGATCTCTTTCGGTTCCCTCGACACGCCTCCACCAACCACGGCCCCAGGCCCCCTCCTATAACGCCTACACCTACACGTGCAGCCGCCAAAGCCTCAATGTCCATCACGAAACCTGGCCAGCGCCCCCCCCCGTGCCATCACCATGGAATCAAGGGGCGGTTGGCCAGCCTGCCACCCCCATGATACCCCTCAACACTCGGTCGTATTCGCTTTGCCTTCTCACGCATTCCTTCCCAGCCTCGAATCCTTTCCAACCTTGCGCCCCACGCCGCAGTCCCCTCCCTCACCGTCATAGCAGGTTTTCTTTCCTTTTCTTTTCTTCGCCGCCGTCAAAGTGAAGCGAAGGGCCGATCATGTCCCCTCCCAGTCCCTCTTCTGATACCGATATTCACACTCACCACTCCGGCACAATGGCTCTCCGCCATGTCTATCACCAGATCAGTAATCGTCCATGCCCATCTCTGTGCGTCACCGCTGCTTGCCACCCTCCCCGTTACATCCTCGCACTGCTTTTGTGCCAGGAATTCTGATTCTGAACCCGCGTACCCGACATGCTGGGCCTTGGTTTGAAGCCCACGCGGGAGAGTCACTCGCCAATCTGTGCATACACGCACACACACACCTGCTTGCCTCACGGTTAAACCCGTCTCACCCACATGCACATGGCCACAAACATGTATCTTTGACTAAACGCACCCAAAAGCCTGCCTATCTGCCTATCTCTGTTCCCCACCATGTCTCTTCCCACTCGCTTCAAGCCATGACCTCAGCCCATGTCCACAGCTACATGGCATATGTACACACGGACAATCTACCACTACACATCCATCCGCCCCTCTCTTTCTTCCCTCTCTTTTGTACATGCCGTCTTTCTACTCTAGGACATTCCATTCCCATCGCGAAACACACCCCCGATCCATCTTGACCCAATCCAGCCTAGCCTCAAAACATTGCACGCCCTTTCGCCTCCCCCCACCACCCTTGCAACGCCAAAAAGAAGAAGGGAAAAAAAAGTAAAAAAACAACACATGGATGCGCACGATATATGCCCTGTATACACGTTAGCGAGTAACACCATCTCCATCTGTGTCTATCTGCAGAATGTAAAATTAGCCCACAACCCCCCCTCCCCTCCTCCTGTCGTCTCCTCTGCTCTGCTTTGCTGTGCTCTACTCTACTCTCCCCTCCCTTCCCTTCCCCTTTGTCGCCTCCGCGGTCGCCTCTCCTCGGCCCTGCTTCCCCTCGCCTCGCCTCCTCCTCCCAACCTCCATGCATACAAACCCCCAAAAAAGGCCTCCAAATCTCCTGATGCAGCTCCAGATCCTGGTCCTGATCTCTCGTCATGACTTGTCTAGTGATGCTCGCCTAGCCGCTTTCGACACTGACTGCATATCCCATCTACTTAGCCGGTTTCGACTTGAAGCGGGGAGCGCAATGTGTGCCTGTGGTTCATGCGTTGTTTTCTTCTTCTTCTTCTTCTTCTTCTTCTTCTTCTTCTTCTTCTTCTTCTCCCTCTTTGCTGTGCCCTGTTTCTTGGTGTCTTCTTTGCATGAAACGTCCATCCATCTATCGATCGATGTACGCGCTGCTGGATGCAGTAGAGTCGGGTGGAGTCGAGTGGAGGATGGGGGGAGGGGGAGGGGGCGCCTTGTTTCATCTTCACTCGCATCATGTTCTAGAATACGTGTGGAAGCAATCAGCATGCATGGAGGGGGGGGGGAGCAGACGGAGAGCGAAGGAAGCCTCCGTATCTCCACCTTCTCGTATCCGTCTATTTTCCTTTTTTGTTTCTTTGCGCCCGCCTTGCTTTGTTGCTGGGCTTGATTCGCGTGGCGCTGAATATGGGGCTCGATATAGTGGCGTGCCTTTTCTCCTATTCTTCACATTACGTATCTAGTCATTGGAGATAACTTGCTCCTGTCTACAATAGAGCACAGTACAGTGAGGAAAGGTGGGGACGCCGACGCGCGTTGCAGCACTTTTCGGATACATGGTTTGTTCAGCTGCTTGCATCTGCCATGATTCACGCATGCTCAATTAGCATGTTCAGACCTTGAGTGTACATTTGGCGTTTTGCTGCATTTGCAATGTCATGTCTGTGGTTATCTATCTACCTGTGCCTATCATGTGCATGGCTATCCAGTATATTACGTAGCCGGATAAACACGGAATAGTATTGATAAGAGAGTTGAGCCAACATGATAGCATCAACACAGTGTCGTTTCCAGCCTTTAATATCGAAAGCGGGTAAGTCGCGGCTATGGTCGCTATGTCGATAGGTTAGATGGGGGTTCTTCCTATCATTCTCTATTCCGAGAGGAAATCGTAGACACAAATCGGTAGGAGAATCAAATAAGGCCGACATGAGTGTAGTTAGTTTGTACATGTGTTCAATTCCTATTTTCAGATAGTTGTCACAAGCTTCGTCTGGGGACAGCATTAATTTACGCATATACGTGTGAGAAGGATGTTTTTCTACTACCATGTCAAAGAGAATCATGTGCTAGGAATTTAAAACAGCTAACTACTTGGAGTCTTCTTTACATCTTAACCAAGACGAGTTGGCTTGTTTGGAAGAATGTAAACAAGAGGGGAATGAATATCTGCTGAACAATCACATCAAGTTGTATGTTGATGTAGATATGAGCTTGAAATCTTGATGGAACTCAAGCAGAGAGTATGATGTGTTATAGTTGGATCAGTTACTCTAGGATTCAGGCTTGAAATTACTCATCTAATCTTGTACGTGTTCTGAACACTCTGTTTTACTTCAACTGTATGTTATTTACTTCACAGCAACTATCAATCAGGAGAGACACGTTCTATTCCTACCGAATGAATGTACATTAATTGGCTTCAGGCCCGTCCTTTTACAGGTTTGCAACTGGATATCTGTCGAAAGCATGGAATTGATTGGTCAAGTCATCAGGTCGTATTCATGGTTATATATCTCAGGACTACTGCATGATAGACGAGAAGAAAAATACACAAGTATCATACTTAAGTAGACAGATTCTAAAACTGTAGCCATTACAAATACCAAAAAAAATACAATTCATTCATTCTAGAATGCGGACGCAAGATGTATGAATAAATGTTGGTGTTTTACATTTACAAACTACGGATTACTGTACTCGCGTCTTGTAGTTGAAATTAATAAAACGTTTGTCCTCCGTCTCATTCATATTACCAAACACTACAGGCTCGTTTCAGCAGTTCTCGACATATTTCCTTCTTGCCCTTTCGTCATTGGCAGCGAATCTCTCGTGACATGGCACCTTTCACTTCTATATTTATAGTCGCCTATTTGCCACCCTTGCACAATCTTGTATCACTGAAAATCAACGCGGATGACAGCTTCTCAACTACGCGTCATTGCTTCATAAACTGGGTATCATTTACACTCTAGCCTCCTCCTCACCTCTTCCCCTTCTTCCCCTTACTCTTGGCACTACCCCCACCAGTAATACTCCTAACATCCTTTTTGCTCAAACTCAACGTGCCACCCCTAAACTTGCCTATGCTAGGTCCGCCAACGCCCCTGTCCCTCTTCCTCTCCACCTTCTTGCCTGACGCGGATTTGTTCTCCCGCTCCAACACGATACCCGCCTCCTTGGCCTCTGCCCTGCGCTTTGCCTCTGTTGTGCGCGCCTTGAGCTCCATGTGCTTGCGCTGCGCCATGGGCATCTTTTTCTGCGTAAAGATGGAGCCCTTTGCGCCGAGTGACTGGAGATGCAAGTCCATGGATTTATGGCGGTCGACACCCGTGGCGGTGAGGGCGCTGGGTGTCGAGGTGCCCGAGGAAGAGGCGGAGAGGAGGTGCGATTCGCGAAGCAGTTTTTGCAGCGCAAGGTCGTTTTTGAGATTCGTGGCTTCGGTCGCGTCGGCGGCGTCGGCGTCGTCTTTTTTCTTTCTGCTCTGCGCCGCCGCGGCGCTGCGCGAGACTGACGTGGGCGGTTTCGACGACATGAAGGCTTTCATTTCTGCGCGTTCGGTATCGTCGAGCTCGTGCTGTGTGTCGTGGTATTCGACCACTTGGACGTCGTTTTCATGGTCGCTTATGCCTGACCAATCTGATTCTTCTTCTTCCGACTCGTCTTCCTGTACCGGAGTTCCTTCTATCTTGGCCTTTTTGGGTTCTGTAGGCAGAGGCTTGAACTTTGCTTCAAACGCGCGCCGGAAGATGTCCTGGAGATGTTCGCCTTCCGAGTCGTCGTCCGAGCCCGACGAAGGCGAGGGTGACCGCGAGGACTGCTCGAGTTCTGCACGCGTGACACGCTTCCGCTTTCCTAGTGCTGGCGCCATTGTTGTTTGTCTCGGTGTGTTGCAGAGGTGGTGACGGCAATGCGACGCAGCAGGAAAGTCGCCAAAAAGTTTGGAGCAGCGGAAATGCTTAGCGCCAAAACCGGCTCGGACCGCCGCCATGTGTGACGCCTCCCCCGCCTCCTCCAACTCTCTATCCTGCCCGCAATCGCACCATGACGCGCTTCCGCCCGTGTATAGACCTGCATGCCGGCAGCGTCAAGCAAATCGTCGGCGGCACGCTGAGCACCACAGCACCCGACGAGCTAAAGACCAATTGGACATCGTCGCACCCATCGGCATTCTACGCCGACCTCTACAAGCAGCATGCCCTAACGGGCGCACACGTCATTATGCTCGGCCCAGGCAACGAGCAAGCCGCGCAAGAAGCGCTCGAGGCCTGGAAAGGCGGCATGCAAGTTGGCGGTGGCATCACCGAGAAGAATGCCGCAGAATGGATTGACAAGGGCGCAGACAAAGTAAGCGGCATGCATGGCGGACCCGACAAGGCCCAGGCCAGGACTAATGGAAGCGCGGTAGGTAATCATAACATCGTACCTGTTTCCCTCGTCAACCCTCTCCATGGACCGTCTACAGGCCGTCCTACGCGCCCTGGACAACGACAAGTCCAAGCTCGTCATTGATCTTTCGTGCCGGCGGAAAGACGACAGGTGGTTCGTGGCTACAAACAAGTGGCAGACGATTACCGATTTTGAACTCAACAAAGGTATCTATATCAAAACTAACTTCATGGCCAAGCTTTGTGTATACATCCGTCTAACGGACCGACAGACTCAATATCGCTTCTTGAGCCGCACTGCTGTGAATTCCTGATTCACGCTGCTGATGTCGAGGGCCTGCAGCGAGGCATTGACCACGAGCTGGTTGAAAAGCTGGCAGAGTGGTGCAGCATACCCGTTACCTATGCAGGCGGCGGCCGCTCAATCGAGGATCTGGAACTCGTCAAGAAGCTGAGCAACGGCAAGGTCGATCTTACCATTGGCAGTGCTCTGGACATTTTCGGCGGCTCCAGCGTCAAGTTTGAAGACTGCGTCAAGTGGAACCAGGCACAGGAAGCATGAGCTGTTATACGTAGCTTGATACAGCAGCCCTCCACGTCTGGCGATGAGACAACAACAAAAAAAAAGCATGGCAAGAAAGCAACATGACACTACTACTACTACTAACACGGACACGCAAAACTCCAGTCCCCTTGAATTGAAAGCCCATAATCGTACATTCTCTCTTGTCTCTAGAACCTTGAAATTAAACATGAGAGCCTTTGTTATCGAGAAAACAGGGAGGAGGGGGGGCTACAAATAAAGAGAGCTAAAAAAAAAGCTACTGTAGCCATGCAAATCAAACCCCATTGCAGAGAGAGAGAGAGAGAGAGAGAGAGAGAAAAGAAAACGAAAAAAGTACCCCAGAACCCCTGAATCATGTCACTCAATCAAGCGTACCAAAGCATTCCTTAGGCCCTTTCCCCGCCCCCCACCCACCACACCCCCTTCCCCCAATGTGTGAATATGAAGAACACACACACACACACAAAAAAAAACAAGCTTACTTGCGCCCGTTCTCGTGCCCAAAAACAAAGACGAAGAAGAGAGAGAGAGAGAGAGAGAGAGAGAGAAGAAAAAAACGCCTGGAATGCGTCTTCTTTGCGGATTGGTCAAGTTAATCTTTTTCTTTTTTCTGTGTGTCATTTTCCCCCCTTCCCCAGGTCTTTTGCAATCTTGTACACATGAAGGCAAAAAAAAAGAAAAAGAAGAAGGAGAAGGAGAAGAAGAAGAAGAAGAACTTAGCAGACATGGAAAGAAGGCGTGAAAAAAATAAAATACTAGGGCTCAAGGATCGTATTTGAACCGAGCCGCAACCGCAACCGTGTATAAAACAAAACAAAACTACGTCCTGTCATCTGGCAACAGTTAGCGAGAAGCGCAAACCAACGTCTTTATTGAACACGACATACCCCTTCAAGTTCAAGTCCGTGGCGTACCGACCGCGCTCGTCATTGCCGTGCTAGCACCTCCCTGAACACTACTACCATCATCATAATCTTGCCACTCTGGGTGCTCCGCCGTAGCCTCCTTCAACTTGTCAAGCGCAGTCTGCTCAATCAGATTGGCATCCGCAAAGAGCAGTGATGTGTCCTCGTTGTACGTCCGGCAGTTATTGCACAGCAAGCCGAGGTCTTGACGGAACTGCTTGACAGACTGATACTCTTTCTTGTTGATCTTCTTTTCAATCTGCTTCATGCAGATGGGGTTCTTGATGAGCTGGTAGTAGTCTGGATAGTCCCATTTGTCTGGCAGCTCAATGAAGGGATCAATGATACCACGGTTGGGAATGTTGGGGTCGGATGACTCTTCCTCCAGGTCGTTGAGAGCTTCGTAAACAACATTGACAATCTTTTGAAGCGATGTCCGCTGCCCCGCCGGCAACAAGTCTTTGGTAGGTGCAGGTCGGCCACGTTTCCGTGGTGCAGGATCGGCATCGAGCGAGGCATCATCTGCTTTGCGCTTCTCCGCCTTCGGCTTGCGGCCTCGTTTTTTCGGCGCAGGCTCCTCTGAGCTGGCGCGTGATGGTACTGGGGACTCCTCTTCCCGCGAGGCCTTATTCCTACCGCGCTTGGCGACCTTGGCCTCCTTGCGTGCGATAGCGGCTTCAATGGAGTCATCGTCATTGTCAACAGCCTCTAGCCATTGCTCTTCGGTGAGACCATCGTCATACTTGACACGCGTACGCTCTCGGGCGCCACGACCGGCAGGGGTATCGTCCTTCTCGTCAACGACAGGTGCCTCTTCGTTCAAGTAGATATCTGGCAGTTCGCTCTCACCAATCAGGCGGCCAAGAGGCTTACCCGGACCATAAGGATCTTCGGCGATGCGCTTGCGATCCATTTCCTGGAATATTGCCAGCTCTGACTCATGTCGCATCATGATTTGGTTCAGATCGTCATCATCCATTTCCTCTTGTTCGAGACTCTCAGCTGCTTCGGCAGACTCCAACATGATACGCAACATGGCGTCTCGCTCGTCGTCTTTGGACTTGTTGTCGAATTTACCAGCTTGAATGACCTTGCCATCCATATCCAACTTGTAGTTGGCTCGCTCGAGAATCTTCTCTTCAACCGAGTTGGATGTAATCAGACGCAGAATGCGGACCTCGTTCTTCTGACCGATACGGTGAGCACGATCCTGGGCCTGCAGATCCTGGTGAGGATTCCAGTCAGAGTCGTAGATGATGACGGTGTCGGCAGTCTGAAGATTCAGTCCAAGACCACCAGCGCGCGTCGACAGCAAGAAACAAAAGTACGGTGAGTCCGGGGCGTTGAACAGTCTCAGCAGGTCTGAACGATCGTCTGCCTTTGTCGCTCCGTCCAATCGCAGGTACTGCATGCCTCGAAGTCGCAAGTAGTCCTCCATGATGTTCATAATCTGCGTCATCTGGAAGAACATGAGGACACGATGGCCGGTAGCTTTGAACTTGGGCAAGATTCGATCCAGAAGCTCGAATTTACCTGCCGAACGCCACAGGAGATCGTTGGTGCCCTTGGTAGGGTTGATGACATCCTCGACCTCTTCAAAGACAAAAGGATGGTTGCACAGCTTTCGCAACTGCATAAGCATGTTGCTCAAACCACGCATACCAGTCTTTCCACCCTTGCCGTCGCTGACCATGAGTCGGTTGTGAGTGACAAGCTGCTTGTACAGCTTGGCCTGGAGGGTAGAGAAGTTGCACTTGATCACACGCTCGGTCTTGTCGGGGAGATCCTTCTCGACATCGCGCTTCAGACGTCGGAGCAAGAAGGGCCTAAGAACCTTGTGCAGACGACGAATGACGAGCAACTGCTCTTCTTCAGTGAGCTCCATCTTATCTTGGCCTCCGGTGTTCGCAAAGGGCGTGTTGAACCACTCATCGAACGACGTAGCCGACTTGAAGATGTTGGGAAGGACGAAGTTGAGCATCGCCCACAGTTCTGTCAGGTTGTTCTGCAGCGGTGTACCTGTCAGAATGAGTCGATAGCGTGTTGTGTAGTATTGTGTGATGGTCATGCTGAGCTTCGAGCCGGCGTTCTTCATACGGTGACCCTCGTCGACAATCATGTGCACCCATTTGATCTTGCTGAGAATCGGCCTGTCTTTGATGATGAACTCGTATGTGGTGAGCAGGACCTGGAACTGACCCCAGCGGATTTGCTGCTGGTACTGCTTACGCGAGTTCGGGGGACCCTTGTACACAATCTTGCTAACGCTGGGCGCCCATTTCTCAAACTCATTTGTCCAGTTGGTAAGCGTACTCAGCGGCACAATAACGAGATAAGGTCCGGGCTGTCGCTTCTTCTCAATGAGGTAGGTAATCAAACTGATTGTCTGAATGGTTTTTCCGAGGCCCATCTCGTCGGCGAGGATACCGTTGAGGTTGTTGTTGTACAGTGAAATCATCCACTGCAGACCCTTGAGCTGGTATTCCTTCAGAGTACCTCCGACCAAGTTGGTAGCCTGCTGGGTAACCTCTTCCTTGATGCGGTGAGCAATCTCGTAGTAGTCCGTCTTCTTCTTGCCCGGTCGGTCTTCGTCGCCAGATTCGTCGCTGCTGCTGTCCGGTTCAGGCTCGTATGAGTTGTTTGCAGATCGCTGTTGCGCCTTGACAGAGTTGGCGAGCTGCTTCAAGAAACCATCGGTCTGCTTGAGGAGATGTGAGATACGAGTGTCCTTGGCTTGGCCCAAAAGCTTGAGGTACGTCTCTTCGTCGTTGGACTTGAGAGCCTGGAGACGCTGCTTGGCTGTCCGCTCGATGCGCTTCTGTTCCTCCTTTTCGATGTTCTGGTGTGTTGTAATCATGGTACGGCCAAGCTTCTGCAGGCGTATTCGCTGAGCCGCGCCAGCCTCCTGTAGCTCTGTGCGGTGCTTGCGGATAGCGTCGATGAACTCGTGGTGCTTCTTCTTTTCCTTGGTCTCGCGTGCATCGCGTTGCTGCTTCTCGAGCTTCTCCGTAAGGCGGGCTTCGCGCATGGATTGCTTCTTGAGACGCCGGTAGACGGTTCGGTTGGCGGTCATGGCGAGGTTGTCGGCGTGGATCATCTGCTGGGCGATTTCTCTCCGCAGCTTTCGTTGCTTCTCAAGCAGGTTCAGCTTCTTCTGCTCAATGACAAGGGCCAGCTTAACCTTTCCGTCATCTTCAGGCGTGTCGGTCTTGCTGGTATCCCATGAGCCGATGTTTGCATGCATCTTCTCCAGCTCCGCCTTCCTTGCGGTGAGGCGGTTGTAGAGAAGAATCTCACGCTCCTTGCGCATTTCCTCCATACTCTGCTGCACAGCATCAATGTCGACGCCCTGGGGCATGATTGTCGCGAGGTAGGGTCGGTTCTTGCGCTGCGTGTGGGAAATGTAGTTGACGTCGCGGAAGACTTCGCTGCTCCAGGGATCGATAAAGGTATCCGGAAGACGAGGCAGCGTGCGGGTCTCTTGCACAGCGCCGCCTGCTGTACTTGAGGCACTGCCTGCACGTGTCGCGTTATCGAGCATCTGAGAAGCAGCGGCGACGGCATCAGCAGCATTTTGGGGCTTCTTTGTCTGGTGGTGGCCAAAGATTTGCTGCTGCATATTCGAAGGCAGGGGAAGGCCTTTGGAGAGATGCTTGAAGGCTCCGATCTGAGCGCGCAGCATCAGAAGCTGGTCCTTGGACAGCGCCATCGAAGCACTGCTCGCCGAGGTGGGAGTCTGGCCGTCGGTAGCGGGAACCTGTGCTCCGGCAGTCGCAATCTGCATGGTAGACGACGGTCCGCTCGAGGCCGGCGCGGGCACCGTGGTCTTGCCATCAGCAGGCACAGGCGGCTTTGTGCCGTTGGGCATGCCGGTCGGGGTGCCGTTTTGTTGCGCGACGTGGGGGTCGACCTGGCCCTGCTGGCGCTGCTGCATCTGCTGCTGCCGGAGCATCTTCTGTTGCTGCTGGTACTGGTTCTGCTTCTGAACCATTGTGAGGAGGTTGCGCGCCTTGATGAACTCGGGATTGGACTCGGGGACGCCTTGCTGCTTCATGGCGGTGTAGCGCTGGAGCGGGCGTCAGTAATGGGGGGATATGCGAATGCGCCGAGGGGGCGAGCGAGAAGCATGGCGGGCCGAGGACTTACTTGAAACACATGCTGGATCTGCTCGCGGGTGATGTTGGCGGGCAGCTGGCCCTGGCCGGGCATCTCCGGGTTGGCCTGGACGGAAGCCATGGCGGCGTGGGGTGACGGTGCTGGTGGAGCAACGGGTGCGCAATCGAGGGCTGATGGAGAGGCTCTGTCAAGTCGCAGACGCGGTCGCCGCACGTGGTCTGGGCGCCCGAGATCGCGCGGGTGGGAGGGAACGACAGTCGAGGGGTGTGTTGTGGCGTGTGTAGCGGCCGTCTATGACATTATCGGGCGGCGTGGTGGTGGCAGAGGGCTGTTTGGGGATGGAGGCGATGGAAGGGCGTCGGGAGTCCGCTCGTCGCAGAGTCGCGTCGTTTCCAGGAGGCGGAGGCAAAGCGCGCAATTTGCGAGCGGGCGGCGGCAGCGGCACAGGCGCACTCAGAAAGCGTCGAGGACCGCTCTACGCGTCGGGAAGAGCGTGTTGCGGGGATGGGGAGATGCGGGCGCAAGTCTTGGTGATATCGGGATGGGTGGTGAACGTCTGCGAGGTCTCTCTAGCCTGAGCGTTTGTCCGCGCGCAAAGGGAGTTAGCGGCTTGGCGGGCCGGCGGGTCATGTGATGGATGCGAGGATGCGCGAGACAGGCCACGGCGGCGGCGGCGGGCGTGGCGGCGGGCGTCTGGCTTCTGTGCAATTGCGCCTGTTCACGCTCACGCTCACGGCACGACGGAGTTGTGGGGTGAAGACAAACAACGCGCTTGACGTGGGCTAGTGCCGAAATGAGCCACCGCTTCGGAGGCGCAAGGAACGAGTGGAGTGCCACGTCCATGACCCCTCCAAACCTGCTACCCAACCCTCCACCGAACATCAAACCCGTCGTTCCACTCTTCGCCGCCATGGCGAACCCCCGAGCCCGCGCCCCAGCCGCCCCAGCGGGCCTCCAGCCTGCCCGTGGCGCCCGTCCTTGTCCCCAGCAGCCGCCGCGCCCACGAGAAGCGCCTTGGTGGTGAGGTGCCCAAGTGCGCCCGGCACGCCAGCGGGAGACGCAGTGCACTCGCCCGTCTCCCCCATGCCCCCCCGGACGCCAGAGCACAATGCAATGACTGCCCATTTGGGCCTTTTCGACATGTTGGCCTCCTCCCTCGTCAAGTGGCGTCTGCCAAGAGTTGCTGCTTATCCCGGGAGTCGACGAGCATCAGCTGACCAACCCTCGACACATGGCTTGTGCAACAAGGCTGCTCGCTTTGCAAGCATTGGCATTCAACTACGAGTCGTTGCTATGTACATGTATCCCGCTCGGAGCCACCTGAAACCACACGCCCCTTTTGCCATCACGAGACCACACATCCTACGTGAGCGTGGGCGCCGTCCAGTCAATGTAGGTCGCAGCATCCGCGCCAGACGGGCCCTTTTCGATGTTGGCCGTGTTGGCGTTCTGGCCAAGCAGGAACCGGCTGATGAAGGCACTGAGGTCGGCCTGCTGGCTCGACGGGAACTGGCAGTGGTTGTGGTTGCCCGAGCCTGTAAAGCCCATGTTGTCTGGCACGCCAAGAGCCTTGTAGATGAGACGACCAGCCTTCATGCACGCGGTTGTGGAAACGGGCCCCAACCAGTCGATTTCGTTCTCGATAACAAGCAGACCACGGGGCGCAACCATACCCGCGAGCTGATGATGGTCGGTAGCGAGCGTACTGGACCGAGTGCTGAATGAGTTGAATCTGGGCGAGAACCACACATTCTCGCCGACAATCTGGCTCGACGTCTGGATGTTCTTACCCTTGGCCTTTTCCGAGTCAGAGATGCGCCAGCACGCAGCACCGCCAGCACCAGACTCTTGAGGCAGACCGAGAGCAATCCGGTCCACCAGGGCCGCCGCAACAAACGCACCCTTGCCGTTTCGCGAGCATCCAGTCACACCAACGCGCTTGGGGTCAATGCCCGCAGCAGGAGTAGCCTCGAGAGCATCCATGATTCGGTCCACTCCCCACGCCCACGCAGTCAGGGCACCGGCACTGTGGCTCGAGCCGTACAGATCGTAGAACTTGCCCTTTCCACGGCTGCTCTGGCCCGACTGCTGGGCAACTTCATCGTTGTTGAAAGTGATGGTCGCTACTTCGCTCGGAATTGGGATACTGGCAGCACCGTAGGCGATGATGGCTGGGAATGGTCCGTTTCCACTGGGCTTCTTGATGGAAACAGAAAAGGAGACGGATTTCCCAGCCTCGGTCGAAGTAATCGAGAGCGAGGAGCCTGAAAAGCTTGCAGTGACAGTGGAAGGCTTCTTGGGGAAATCACCAAGTTCTTGGGCCTGCAGAGCTGCGCTGACCTCTCTGTTTTTGCACGCAAAGTCGTCTTTGGTCGTGACGGACCTTCCGTCGAAAAACTTGAAAGGGTTGGGTAGCTTGGAGTTTGTGGTCGACGGGAACGTTGTGGGGACGTTGCATGTTGCCTGGCGCTCCTCCAATATAGGCGCCGCAAGAACAGCACTATACAAAAGTGAGAAGACGACTGAATGCTTCATACTGGGCTGGTTGGTGGTATTCTACACGCTATGTGCTCAAGTCAGTGTTTCGGCGAGTGTCTTGACCTTTTATATGTTGATCCTTCTCTCCACAAACACTCCACATGTTTCTGGCATAATATAGCTCGTAAATGAAGCTACGGAGACGGCCTGCTGGATATGTAGCATGCGTACGGTTCAATCAAATTCACTGCCTTGGCATCTGTTGGCGCCCATTCCTCGTGCCACGCGAATGTGGGACATTGGTCAATGGCATGGGGAAGGCCCCAGTCATACCCCGCAGATCGCACTACATCCTCTCGTCGAATAGAGGAATATTGACCGTCTCTTTCAAATGGACTAGGCGCCGTGGTCTGTTTTGTCGTGATAAGGATCAGTATGACTGATGACATCTTTCAGTCCGAGATTTATTCCATTGAGCTACCGCAGCATCACCTCACGTCGTCTGACGCTTTGCTACGACTACTTCGTATCGCAGACGTCCTATTGATGGAAAAACCGCTCGTGTCCTGTCTATTTCAGTGTGTCGATTGGGATATAAAAGCTCCCTTAAGCCGCGAGGCAGAAGGCTTGTACTCTAACAAGCTTGGCTCGCAGCCACTCCCAAACCGTATGCCCCCACCTGACGTATGCGCAGGTCCGGGTATGGAGGATCCACATAGGCATTGTGTGTAGTACAATTCTTGGAACACTCTGCCAGGGTCCCGAAATGGTGCTACGATAGGCCGTTGGACCCAAGACCCTGGCTCGGCACCTAAGACATGATGGATATTGCGACCGGCTCTCCATGCCCATTGTTGCGGGGTGCAGTGGGGCACTTTGTTTGAGCTGGCATTTAGCCTGTGCGTCCCACGTAATTTCATCCGGCAGTATACCATCAGATTCTCTGACATGTTTCTGTAGTCTCTGGTCGTTTTCATGGAAGGCTTGGATCTACTTGGATTCTCTAGTTGTTAGTCAGGATTCATTGGCACCATACATGATTTGCTGTATGTGGACTTTGAGTTGGTGATGGCTTTGCGAGACGAAAATCAGCTTCGTTAGCGGAGGTTTTTCTTATTGCAACCATTGCTGCAATCTCGAGTATACTAGAGTACCAAGTCGGATCAGCGGATAGTGGGTTGCTCATGCTGCATGGCTCAACGTGGTGGCACTGGAGATCCGTCTCTTGTTTGGGGTACTTGAATCTAAAAATCACGTTAACTTGAGGAAAAGCGAGGCAAGTTTGATTCGCGAAAAATCAGAAAATCATATTTTTGACTAACACATGGAGGACAAAGTATGCTGAGTAGGTTCTAGTATTCGGAAAGTTGCATAATTCCCTGTTTACCAACCAACATCGATGTCACGTCGCACGGGCGAAGAATCTTGGGCTCGAACCGGGGCCATTTTCTTCCTCGACGTTAATAGTTGATGCAACTCTGCTAGTATTAGTTTGGATGAGCATGTGGAAATCAGAATGGCTTGACGGAGGAAGAAGAGCTCAACGGGGAGGGGACGGGTAGTCAGCCGCGCTTACCAAGTTTGGTACTACATAGCGGGGGCTGTGGATTTCGGCACCCCTCTCACGTTCATGCGGTGCGGGTGTTTCAGGTCCGTCGGTAGGGACAAGTGAAGACGAACTACAAGCCGGGGGAAATCTTACAAAAGGCTATCTACGAAGGCGTCCGTCGAACATCACAACAGCCAGAGCAAAGAGAAGGAATCATATCGCACCGTGTGGTTGGACGCATCCGAAGCAAAGCAAGCTTACCAAGCAGTCGCCCATTGGCTGCCTGTCACCTCGCTCTCTATATCTCTACCGATCAAGCCGTGTTTTGATCCCCTCAGCAGAATAACGTTTAAACTCGCCTAACATGGCAGGTGAACGACAAGCAGCAGATGCCATCCGTTTCTACGACTCAAAATCCTGGGATTACGACGCCACATGGCACAACGACTTTACCAGGCGGTTCATGACCTACGTGGACATACAGCCAGGCCAACAGGTACTGGACCTGGCTTGTGGAACTGGACTCCTCACGTTCCGCGAATCAGAGGCAGTGGGACCAGAAGGACATGTTGTCGGGGTCGATGTCACGCCCAGTATGCTTGCGGTTGCGACGCATAGAAAGACTCACGGGGGAGACAAATACGCAAACACGACGTTTCTCCAGGGCGATGTGTTGCACTTGGAAGAAACGGAAGAGCTCAAGGGCAAGCAGTTTGATGTCATTACCGTGGCCTCTGCGCTCGTCTTGTTTCCCGACCCCAAGGCTGCCATCGAGCACTGGGTCGAGTTTTTGAAGCCTGGAGGCGTCATCGCAATGGACGCCACGCACCCGAGGAACTTGGTGTCTGGCATGGTTCTCGAGAGGGTGGCTCGGAGACTAGGGCTCCCTATCGCATACAACCGCTCGTGGAGCAAATCAGAGGACACGCTCCGCCAGATGATGGAGTCAGCGGGGCTGGAGGTGGACCAAGTCGTCACAGTCGAAAAGCAAGCAGGGTACGGCAAACGGTCGTACGAGATGGAGCAATGGGATGATTTCTTTGTCGAGAACGTCATTGTCAAGGACGTTGCAAGGACGTTTGCGAACAACGACATTAGGAGAAAGGCACAAGGCATCTACAAGGAAGAATGGGGGAAGCTGGCGATAGAGGGCAAGGTAGAGGAGGTGGATTCGGTGTTTCTGGGTATAGCACGGAGACGTGAGTGGCCCATGCAGCTAAAGTTGAGCGTGGAACGAACTGACGCGACATTACACATACAGCTGCCGACGGGTCGAGGTACATGGCGCCAACGATTCAAGACGAAGTCGTGTTTAGAGGGGGATGCCGGTGCGGTGGGGTGCAGTACACATGCCGGGCAGCCCCTTCAGACCTCGCGTTATGCCACTGCCGGGCATGCCAGCAGGTGTCGGGGTCGGGCTTCCTTGCTTTTACGCGTGTGCCCCTGAAAGACGTTAGGTTTACGCAGGACCAGACTCGTACGAGTCTGAGGCTGTCGAGCGTTGCAGAGCGTACCTTTTGCTCGGGGTGCGGTGCTCCGATCTCCATGGCCTATGCTTCGGGCGCGGACGAAATCAGCCTGTGCATGGCGACGGTGGATGTGGACAGCCTGAAGACGGGCAGGACGCCGAAGGTGGCCCAGCACATGTTTCTCCAGGAGAAGGCGGCGTGGGTGACGCTGGCAGAGGACGGCAGCGAGCGCTGGGGCACGTCGGAAGACGCACACGTGCTGGTGGCGACGTAGGGCGGCAGATGGCGGTAAGGAATAGGAATAGGAACAGGAACAGGAATAGGAATAGGGAGAGGTGCCAAGCGACAAAAGGATCGAGTCGTGAGCGAGGAGGGGCAGGTTGAGCACTGCAGCTAGCTGCTGCTGCTGCTGCTAGGTACTACGACGAATGCGTAGCCTTTGCCGGCGGCCACGACATGAAGCCCGCATGGTTTTGTGCGTGCCAGCAGCGGCTGTCGCACAGTGCTTCTTCTTGGTGCTGGTGTTGGTGTTATTCTTGTCGCTGTGCTTGTTCTTCCTCGCCTGCCACGGCGTTTCCAAACACGCCGCCGGCCCATGCAGCCCGCCAAGGCAGCGGGCAGCGGGCGGGCGGAGCAGACGCGGAGACGGTGAGGGCGTCGCGCAGGCGCGCACTGAAGAGATTTGAAGGCGACTGCAGGGTGACTGGATGCGGTGGCGGCTCATTGGCCGCGGCGGTGGGTAAGCCGTGTATACGTGTTGCGGTGTGCGAGCATGACGAGGCGGGCTAGCCGTCCCAGCCTCACAAAATCCGCCTCTCCCTGCCACTCTACTTTTCCTGCCCCTCGAAACGCCGCCCGCCAGGACAAAATCCTCGCGCCCGTTGCTTTGCCCTCGTCGAGCCTCTCCTCTGCCCGCTGGCGCAGCACCGCACCGCCTCGCCCCGACGACACGCCCGCTGCTTGTTGTGTGTGTCGCCTGCCCCCTCTGCACATCCCTCCATCTTTCCACCCAGCGCTCCCCCCCACCTCGCCTCCCCCCGGGCGCCCTCGATAGCTCGGGCTGCGGGCTGCCCTTCGCGCACGCGTACACGCTCGCGGAAGCACGACACGGCGTTGACACAACGTTTCACAGCCGCCTCCTTCATCTCCCTCGCCGCCGATCCAACGGCAATACCAGCGCTGCTCCCCCGGCCGCCCGCCACCTAGCGGCACTAGTCGCCCATGATGAGCCGTCGCACATCCCGTGATCTGGAGGCGCAACAGCCCTCGCAGCCTCCCTATGCTGCCCACGGCTCCCAGCGTGCCGCCGCCACGGTCCAGCCATACCACGCGCGCAAGCACTCGTCTCCGCTGCCCGAGCATGCCGCTCGCCACTTTGACGACATCGACGCGACCAGCCTCCAACCGCCTCCCTCTGCTCTGACACCCTCCTCTGCAACCGCCTACGACCCACATGCGCCTTCCCCACTAGACGACTATCCCCGCTCCGGCCGCACCACCCACCAGCGCTCGCTGACAGGCACCATTTTCGACAACTTCAACCGCGCCACCTCGACCATCCAGCAGCACACGTCGCGCGCCTCGTCCCCCTCCAAGTCACTGGCCAGCTTCATTCCCTCGCGGGGCACCGTCGAGTCCAGCGCCAGCCAGCCCAAGATCCGGGCCATCCAGAACTGGTTTACCGGCTCCTCGCCCAAGAGCGGCTCTGCCCAGCACGACGACGACTATTCAGACTCCGAGTCGGCGTCTGGCGAGGAATACGACTCTGAATCCGAGTCGGACCAGGACGAGGAAGAAGAAGAAGAAGAAGAGGAGGAGGCCGGCACCAGCATGATGTCCAACATCTTCACCCGCGGCTCCTCTCTCACGAGGGGCGCCTCCGAGAGCCCCCCGCGTTCAGAAGCCGCCCAGCCCCAGCCCCAGACAAAGCCCCAGACAAAGCCGCCCGCCCAGCCAACCGCCAGCAGCAAGTTTGCCTGGCTGCTCAAGACACAGAAGAATGCCGCAGTCCCTCCCCCGGCACAATCACCCACATACCACAACCCTGACGACGAGCTGCTGAATCTCAACATCTCGCAAGCTCTCTTCCCGCACGGCCCCGCAGACCCTCTCGCTGCGTCGTCGTTCCACGACCTCCTCACCAATGCCGAAGCATTGCTCTCGCGCTACCAGACGGCCTACCGCCAACTCTCGACCGCCCTCGTCGACGCACACTCGGAGCAGAGTGCGCAGGAGGACGAGCTGGACGAGGCCGAGACACGGGCGCGCCATCTTAAGATGCAACTCGAGACCATGGCTCAGCACGCCGACGAGCAGGACGAGCAGATGCGCTCGCTCATGGAAGACCTTGCATTTGAGCGAAGAGCAAGGCAAGAAGAAGAGGCGGCCCGCAAGAGGAACCTGGCCCTCATCCGAGGCGCAGCCCCATGCGAGCATGCCTCGTGCCAAGATACCGCTATCCGACGGCATAACCGTGTTTCGGGCTCTGGATTGAGCGTCGATTCAGGATTTGAGTCGGAAACGGAGACCGACGGCGCCAGTGTTTCCTCGAGAAACTGCTTGAGTCCAACCAACACCGAACGTTCGCACGCGCTCGACACCGAAGTCCAGGACAGCCCGTCCAAGACGCGTAAAGCTGCACCTCCGCCCGTGCGAAACACGAACCAAAAGGCCACCATTGCACAGGGCGGATGGGGCTGTGCCAATTGCGAAGGCGGTGCTCAATCCGCCGTGTGGGGTCGTCTGGCCAAGGAGCGAGAGGAGAACCGCACTCTGAGACTTCGCGTGGAAACGTTAGAAGAAGCCGTTGACGGTGCTTTGAACGCTGTTTCTGGCGCTTGGGTCATGTAAATAGAGTGTGTGTATGTGTGTGTCCTAGTACAATTTGTGGAAACGGCACTTTTGGCGTACGGTGTGGGAACCAGGGGAATTTTCTTTTCTTTCGTCTCTTCAACGAGGATAGACACTTTGTTCGCCTGTAGCTTTTTTCTTTCTTTCTTTCTTTCTTCTTCTCTATTTTCTTATATGTAGTACAGATGACAATATGCACTACCATTTTTTCTTTCTTTCCTCATTACACAGCAGTGCTGTGAGTGAGCGTCTTTCTAACATACACATGTTGCCAGTCCATGATGCAGTGCACGGTCGTTGTTGGATTAGAGTTGTGAACTTACGGCACATGTTTGTCCCGTGTATCCCGTGTGCGTGGCTTGCCCTTGCAACACCACCCGCCGTCATCCGGTCAGAATAGGGGTCTAGCCCCCTTGCACAAACCCCCAACACAAAGTCGAGTAATGCATTGCAACGCACATATGCATGTATATAAAAAGGCCCTTGTATGAATCGCTAGAGGCACTTCTCATAAGGAATATCCATGTCTTGCTAATAACCGACACGAAGGATTCATTTCCACCGCACTGTGTCATGCACATATCATATACATACATACATACAATCCCGGTACTATGCTAGTCTTGGGGGAATACACGAATGGTTTTTTAAAAAAAAAAATTGGGCATCTCGCTTAGAACCCACAGCGAAATGGATAGCCAGGAGAGAGAGAGAGAGAGAGAGAGAAAAGGAGATCAGAAAAGGAAGAAAAAAAAGGAGATCAATACATAAACCATGCTGCTTTGGTATTAAACAAAAACACACACACACACACAGTGCCTCAAAAATATCTACATGGCATGTCGTTTCAAAAGATGATTTCATTTTTTCATAGCTTTTGCTCACAGCAGCCGCTGCCGACGAGCACCGACGACGGGTTCTTGGTGTTGGGCATGTCGATGGCGGGATTGCGGTCGAAGAAGTCGCTGGGCTTGAAGTGGATCTGGTGGATTTCAGAGGGCATGACGGGCCAGTCCTCGACGCTGCATTCATATTAGCAAACTGAAAAAGAAGAGAAATAATAATAATAATAATAATAATAATAATAATACAGAGGTGGCTTTCAAAAGTTCTTGCTGACAGGGGTTCCTTGGTTACCACCGAAAATATAGCCGAAGACTAAGAATTATACTATATTCGCAACTAAAAGCCCTTAAAATGGAAGTTTGGAGAGAATAATAGCTACTAAAGTATACACTTACAGTAATACACTAACTATATTAGGCATTATTTCTTGCACGCTAAGTAAATAATGGAAACGTTATTACGAGAATTCGGTCCGATGGATCCGCGCCTTAGCAAGAACTTTTGAAAGCCACCTCTGTAATCACTGGGTGATTATTAGAATTAGGGGATACGTACCGAGGGTTGTGTGTCAGGGCAAAGACGCTCCATAGGACAATGTCGTCGTTGGTCACATTGTCTTTTCGCGCTGCAAAGTCGTGCACGCCGTTCTTCTCCGTCTGGCTCTGCATGGTGTACTTGCCGCCGGCGTAGAGCTCGCCGTCGCGGTACTTTGTCACCCACACGTGATGGTTGGTAAAGAGGGCTCTGCGCTGCTGCACGCTACCGGGGGCCGCGAGGATCTTTTGCGTGGGCAAGGGCGCGAATTTGTATGCAACGGGGTTTCCGCTCTTGGGGTTCGTCTTGGAAGGGTTGATGATTTTGAAGACGCGGTTGTCAAAGGGGTTGGCGTCGAGACCGCCCGACTTGTCGACAACCGTCTTGCGGATCTCGTACCAGTTGCCGTTGGGATTCGTTTCCTCGTTCCACGGCGCCGTGTGCGATTCCTCGTACATGAGTGTGTTGTTGTGTCCGTCAATGGCGGGATCGACGCCTGTTTTGGACATGGTTAATCATGTGTTTGGATGGGGAATGCAGGATAGAAAGACTTACGGACTGCAAAAATGTGCTGGTGGTTCTGGGCGAGCACGCCGTTGGCAACGACATTGCCAAAGTTTGAAGTCTTGCCTGGGTCAATGTTGACACACGAGACAATGCCAGTGGCGCGGACTTCGAGGCCAATGCCTCCAGCCGTGTCGAGCTTGAATGCAAAGACGTATTCGTAGTTTGCAAGGGTGAGGATGAACTGGACGACGAGCTCTCGCATGCGCGTCACGACAGCGCGTCCGGTTCGCCAGTTGGCTATCAAATGTTAGTCAAAATTCCATCAAGTTGGATATGGAAATACTTACTGTGCTTCCAGCCAATACCGGCGTCCTGCTCATGCAGACAGATAACGTTGGGGTGGACCCTGGGCTCGCCGTCGTTGCCAATGATAACGGCGTCAAAGTACTTGATGGCACCTAGACAGTCGCAGCCCAGAGAAAGGTTGTTGGCACAGGCACCAGCACCTCCGTCGCCAAAGTCAAACGCCTGCTTGCGGGCGTACTGTGGACGGGCATCGGCATATGGCACCGTCATCTCGCTGTTGCTCATACGGTAGATGATACTCCTTCCATCGTAGTGAACGTCGTGCAGAACAACGCCCTCACGAGCGTTGAAGGACACCCTGAAGCGCCACTTTTGCCATTCAACCAGGGATTCGTCCGTGACCTTGAACGAGGGACCGTCTGGCTGTGTGATGTTGATGGGCTTGACGTCCTGACGCAGTCCGCCGCCGACCATTTCAGGAACATACTCGGCTGGCTCGCAGTGATCAAGAACGCGTGGTCCGCGCGTCTGGGCCGTCAGACCATCGCCCTTTCCACCAGTCGCCAGGCGCTCGACACGGACAATCTTCTGTGTCTCGGCGTCCATGACGGCGATGAGGGGCAGTGGGTAGGCGTAAAAGTTGGAGTCTGGGTTTCCATTCCTCAAGTCCTGAGCAAAGCAGAGGCCTTGGAAGTATCGTTTGTTCTCGTATTTGGGTTCAACGGGACCATATGGCCTGGAACAGTTAGTGTATGTGAAGGAGAAAAAAAAAGTATATTTGACTTACCATGGCTCAACGACCAACTCAAATCCCTCGGGAATGTTAAGCTCGGCAACAGCCGATTGGAATTCGGGACTCTGCTTGCATGCATTGACAAGACGCTCGAATTCCCATGGTGATAAGCTAGGCTGGAATGTCTTTGAGATAACCTCGTGACGGACTCTCTTTCGCTGCTCAACGTCGACGACTGACTCGTGGTAGTGTGCAACCTTGTCAGTGCCAACCACATCGTATTGGCAAAGAGCCAATCGTGGAGGCCGCTTGGAGGTGGGCGAGTGGCCGGGCTTAGCAGCATGCTCGAGGTCGAGGTACTGCTTCATCAACTCCTTGGGGGGTTCTTGCAGGTAGATCTCCCTGAAGTCGATGACGGCGTCTGTGTGGAGGGAGAGAATGACATCACGGGCGATGCGTGTTTCCTCAAGGCTGAGGATCTTGAAGGGATGCGGCGCCATGGTGATCTGAGGTATGGATGATTAAACAAACAAGCAAGGTGGTTTACCTCTGCAATGGAAGAAGATGGAGACTGAGGAGAGGAAATGTCCAGAGTGACGGTCTGGGAATCCTTTTATCATTAAGTATCAAGAGGTATACATGGGTGTCTTACCGCACCGCATCTGACTACCGTAGTAAGCGGGGTATGCGCCTGATACGGCCATGGAATAGGCCGAGCATGGTCGTGGTAGTCTCTTGGATATCGCATGGACCTGCTGTATGCGGCCTAGCGCGAGGATATGGTAGAAAGGTCTTACACACGGAGCACGGCATGTTACAGTATACGCAGGCGTAGAAGCATGGTCGATAAGAGCATCCGGAACAGGCGGGTGTGTCGAGATAACGGCGCATGTTTGGGGCATGTTGTTGCGGGGGGGGGTGCATTCGTGGTGGTGAGAATGGAAGAGGACTCGGCCATGGGCGCGCTATACTTACTACTTAGTTACATGTACAGCGCCCGCGGCTCACAGGCAGGGAGCCGCTAGACTCGAGGCATTGGCAGGGGGGCTTCCTGCAGACGCAATAGGCGCACGCCGTGGTGCGGAACCAGTGCGGAATCGCAGCATCGGTGGCTGGGGCAAGGCGACAAAGGCCTTGATAGCCGCGCCACTAGCCGGACACGAGAAACAGCATGTCGACCGCCGGTTGGGCCCGGCTGGCAAAACCTGCCATAATGGTGAGCCACATATGCGCTGTTTGCCGCATACAACAGCAGCCCAGTGGCCGGATGTGTGAAAGCGGCAGGCACACGCGAATGCCACACGTCTTTTTTGCCCGTCCATGTCGCCTTGCTATGCCCTCTGCCCGGGATTAAAGTAGAGGTCGATGCAGAGGGTGCAATGCGCATTGCTTGTTGCTTGACTTGGTGATATGAACGCCATCCCGACTCTCCTCTGCTGGACCCAACCCTGCTGCACTCTTCATCTTCTTCCACGCTCGCATCTACACCACATTCTCTCTCCAACACCACGCATGTCTCCTGCATTCTCCACTACGTTACGGGGCATATTCTTCCCGTGCCCTGGATTATTCACAGAATCTTATCTTGCGCCATGCAATCCACTTCCAAACTGCATACCCACACAGTGTCATTAGCGACATGCACGATCCCACCATGTACCCTAATTCCGCTCTACGACCACACACTCGATTGGGCGGGTGGTAGGCGTGTCGCAACAATCGTGAATATGGCTGCACTTTTTCAGGCACGGGAGCCATACTTTGCATCCAGGATAAATTGCCTTTGCCAACTGGGACTTTGGAAGCCCGGGAGAAATCCTTGGTGGCAACGCCGACATTGTCACGTTGCATGCACACGGGCTCTAGTTGACCGCAAGGAAGATGGACATGTCTGCAAGATCCCCGATGCCGTTGAAGAGCTGGGATACGCCTTGCGTTCGGCCATCGTGCGCAGTTCAACTCATGCGGCGCACAGATGAATGAGGCCTTGACCGTAACTAGGACGGCCTAAATATCTTGGGGTCGACTCCCGCACAACCACCATTTAGCATCGCCGTGGCACTGCTCACCCTGTGCTGGGAAAAATGCTGGGTTACAATGAGAGCAATCGCCACGTGCACAAACACTCTTCTCTCGGCTGAGCATTGGATCATGTGGTGCTAGTAATACTGCTAACAGGCCTTGCGTCCACGTTGCCCACTAGCTTACAAAGGCGGTGACCTTCAAGCGTGGCTTGTAGCGTGTCTTGCAGCGTGTCTTCGGCATGTCTACCAGAGTCTCTCCAGCATCTGTTGGAAGCATGCGTCTGCCAAAGTGGGGACTCTTTTCATTGGATCCGCCCTTTGTACACCACCAATTCACACCCACTTTGCCATAATTCAAAATAGAACATCCTTGAATCACCAGACTCCCATCAATCACCACCGGATCGGGTCTCCCTTTCCACATCAGGAAAATGCATTGGTGGTTTAGTGGTAAAATTAGCCGTTGCCATTTCTCGAGATAATTCGGCTAGCCCCGGGTTCGGTAAGTCATCAACACGCCTCAGTTCTATCCTGGCTGGTTCTAACAGTATTCTAGATTCCCGGCCAATGCACAACATCTTTTTTTTTGCCGTTTTTTTTTGCCTGGGGGTGCGGCGGATAAGCGAGAGCTGCGCCACGAACACTGCCACGGCCCAGCCACAGCGCGGCCCAGCCCCAGACCCGTTTCTTCCGTCATGCGTTCTGTTTGCAGCTACGGGCCCCATGCCTTGCTGTGACTTGTGCCTGTGGGTTCTTAATGTGCTGGCTCGCCGCGAGCCCGGGCGACTCGGTGGTCCCTGTCCCTGTACATTTGCGTCACTCAGCGTGACAGCCATCTGAGGCCTCACGGGCGATGCAGCTGTGAATTTCCTCGACGCGCTGTCAAGTGCAGCAAAGCTCTTTGATCTGGCAGACATTTATTTACCTTTGTTTTTGTTTTTTTTGGTTGCATACTGAAACTCTGTCATTAACCGGGTCGCAGGAAGCTGCCACAGCACAGCACAGCACCATGTTCACAGGCACAACGCCCGAGTCGCTCATAGCTCGGTCAGACTCGCGGAATCCGGCGACAACGTGCAAAGGCATCACGAAATCGGGACGGCCATGCAGACGGGCTATTGACGCAAAAGAAGGCGAGGGCGAAGGCGAGGGTGTCATCGCCGTTACATCGGTGGCTGGCGACGGCAGCGACGACGAGATAGGAGCCGCGGCGTATTTTTGCTGGCAGCACAAAGACCAGGCGGAAACACTAGCTGCGAAACCATCTACGGGACCGGCCACGCAGCTGTACCCGCTGAAAGAGAGGAACAGCATTGATACCCTGGTGGAGCGACTGGGTGTGCTCGACGTCGAAGAGCAGAACGAGGCTGCTCCACGCAGAAGGAGGAGTAGCCACCAAGGCGGGAGGAGAAGAAGAAACTCTGGATCACAACCGCCCAAGCGCATCAACCGGCCGCCGACATGGGATACTGTCGAGGGCCCGTTGATGTCTGTTCCCAGCGATGTCATGGCCGAGAGGAAACGAAAAGAGCGGCCGTCCAAGGCGTCGCCGCCAAAGGAAAAGCGCGGCTTCTGGGCTTCCTTGTGCTGTGGCTCCGCAGACGACGAGTATACTGAAGTCGCGCGGCCGCAGCCGCCGCCAGCAGCACCAACAGCAGCACCGCCAGCAGTACCAGCACCAGCAGAAACACCCATGCAGGAAATACCACCGTCACAACCGCCTCGAGCGCACCACGGGCGTTCTCGAAGAAACAGCGGGCAAGGCTCCCGACCAGCGTCGTCGTCGCGTCCAGGCGCTCCATCGCGCCCCCTCAACCAGACCACACGCGAAGACTCGGAGACGGCCATGCTCTTGCGCTACATACCGACGACGGTGTCGCCCAAGCTGGCGTCGACGCTGCTCGCCGAGCTCTCCAAGCCCATTTCGCCCCACGACGAAGAAGGCTTCATCTACATCTTCTGGCTTACGCCAGAGGCGGCGGGGCCCGCGCCCGAGACGGCGGCCTCGAGGTTGCTAGCGCCGCCCTCGTCAGCACGCGGCGACCGGGGCCGTCGACGGACGTCCGACGTGATGCGCCAGTACTCGGTCAAGGGTGACGAGGGCACCAAAAAGGCAGCGCAGTCGCAGGCGGCGGGCAAAGACACGATTCTGCTCAAGATTGGGCGTGCCAACAATGTGCATCGCAGGATGAACGAATGGACGAGGCAATGCGGCTATAGTCTTTCGCTCGTGCGCTACTATCCCCACGTGTCGTCCACGTCGACGCCGTCTGCAACCCCGTCACCCAGAGCGTCGCCGGCAAATTCCAGACAGCCGTCGCAGTCCGGGGCCGAGGGGGTGCGCAAGGTGCCGTATGCGCATCGCGTAGAGCGCATGATCCATGTCGAGTTGGAGGAGCAGAGGGTGATTAAGCAGTGCGAGGCCTGCGGAAAGAGCCACAAGGAGTGGTTTGAGGTCGAGGCTACGAGGGACGGGGTCAAAAAGGTGGATGAGGTGGTCAAGCGGTGGGTCGAGTGGGCCGAGTGGGCCGAGAAGAGAAACGAGTAAAAGGCAGAGAGCTAGACGATGCATTAACCGTTGACAAGCCAGTCTTTGTCTTACTACCGTGAAAATCACAACCGAGGATGTAGCGTGGCTACTGCAGCTTACAAGCTACTTGCAGCATCGTTGTTGGCATTGTTGTCAGAAGATGAGAATTTCATTGGGGAATGGGGTATCTTGTGTAGCTATAGCAGCAATCGATTAACGAAAAAAAAAGAAAAAAAAAGACAATAACAAACGCTCAGGATGTTTGCGACCTTGGAACAGAGGCGGGCCCGGCATGTTAGTGGTGGTGGTGTGGGGGAATGGCAATGGTCCAACGTGGCAGACACTGTACAGTAGAGAGCTTTTGGTAGTGGTGGCGGCGGCGAGGGGGAAAGGAGATGCAGGCTTTGCACAAAAAAAAACGCCGCAGTCGGTCTAAAAAGTGGCAGGCATGTAGAAGGACAAGTTTTTTCCGTCTCTTTTTTTTTCGCATCGCAGCGAGCGATGAGCATTACCCCTAGTCGTGTTGAACGTCTTGCTGCCCATGACGTCGTTGCAAAATCAAATGTATATACAGTTGGAATGGCACGCCTTTGTTGTCGTCGCCGTGGGCGAGGGATGGCGTGGCGTCTAGAACAGGCCGATGCGGGGTCTCCAGTCGTTTTCAGCAGACTTTGGGTTGACGATGATCTGGTAGGGAAAGGGGTTGGCGTCGGTTGTGGTAATGGGGGGGATGTGGTCTTTGTCTCGGTTGACGATGGCAATGATCTTGTGCGCCGCCTTTTCCAGCGACTTTGTCATGGCGCGGCGGACCTTGAGGGCATCTGCGCAAGGGGGGGTTAGTAAAGGTTTGCGGCGACAAAGGCGCTGGGCTGGGCTGGGATGGGCTGCCACGTACCAGTCTCGGTCCGAGGCTGGGCGAGCGTGACGTCGAGCGTCCACTGCTCCCAGCAGACGTCCTCGTCGGCCTTGGCGAAAAAGTACGTCTTTCTCCTCTTCTTCTCGAAGAACTGCACGACAATCTGGCCGCGGCCGCGGGGCTGGTGTGTGCTGTCGATGGAGCGCACGAGCGCAAACGTCTTCTGCTCGATGAGCGTCTCGAGATCGACATCGTCGATGGCGGGCAGCGTCAGGTCGAGCAGGTCGCGCGTGAGGGGCGATATCGAGGTGAAGTAGCGGTGGAAGAAGATGGTATGGAGGATTGCTGTTGCAGCGGTTAGCCGTGGTTGCAGCGGGCAGAGTCGGGTGGGTAGCGGGTAGTGGGTAGTGGGGTGTGGTGGGAGTTGCGCCGGCGCCCAAAACAAGCCGCTGGGGAAAAACGAGAGGGCGGAAAAGGGGGGGGGCAACTTGCCCTTGACCACGTCCTTGACGAAGGCGGCGTCGGCGAAGATGTCGAGGTTGTACTCTGGCCGCCGTCGAGGTTCCATGCTGGGGCCGGGCTGGTGGGAGCCCGAGTGGGAGACAGGGAGGGCGGCGGGCTTGGGCCGCGCAGCGTGGAGAGGCGGGCGAGAGGCAGCGACGGGGGCGTGAGCAGAGGGCGAGGATGCAGAGAGGCGGGTCGCGGCGGTGGGCTTGGAGGCAGAGGCAGCAGCGGGCGCGGGCGAGGGCGAGGAGACAGCGGCGTGGTGGTGGTGGTGGTTGGCGGCGGAGGAGGAGGAGGTGGAGCGGCGGGCGTAGGGGAGGCGTGTTTGGAACAAGTATGATGGAGGTGAAGTTTCGGGCTTGTGCGGGGCAGTCGCGGACGAAGACGACGGCGGGTATTGGGCGCCGGGCGTGGGCGTGGGCGCAGGCGCAGGCGTGGGTGAGATCATCAGGCTAGCCATGGCCGCTTGTGCTGCTTGTGCGTGTGCGTGTGCGTGTGGGTGCATCAGCAGCCCCTCTCCGCTAGGATGGCTGTGCGGGTGCTGCTTACTGCTGTATACCTGTTGTTGCTGGGCCGTGGGCGCCTGGCTCGCTGTATTTGTATGCGCCGGGCTCGCCTTGCTGTGTGTATATAGCATACGGCGTGACGCGACAGGCGTGCGAAACGCCTCCAGGATGGCCTGCACATGACGGCTTCATGTGCCTGGCGGGCGGCGTGAATCACCCCACTGTCATCTGGCCGGGCTGGGGGGCTGCACCCGCTTACTGGCGGCCCGCTAACACCCACCACGCCTACTGCCTGCACGCCGGCGGCCATGTGTCTACACTAATCACCATGGCCATGATGATGATGACTGCAGCGCGCGAGTCTGGATGCTCGCCTACATACATGGTGCTAGAGACATGTCTTGCAGGCTGGCATGCTGCAGCAACACCAGCCCTGACCATCCGTTTCCCAGCTCGCAGCCCGCAGCCAGCAGCCCGCAGCCCGCAGCCCATGCCCGCCGCGCCGGCTGCCTGCGCACGTCGCCGTGGACATGGCTGCCCACCTTGGCCTGGCGGTACCACGCCAAAGGTAACTCGCGCCCACGACGCGGCCGCCCACACGGCCCTCCCCTGTGCCTGCGCCTGTGCCTGTTCGGTGCATGCCGGGGTGCTGGAGCCTCCGCCTGCCCACGCCAAGCACGCCGTCGCCCAAGTCGCGTCGCCCCGTCCAGCCCAACCATCCATCACACACGCGACATGGTTGGCACAAAGCGACGACGCGACGCCGACGACGAGAACGACGAGAATGACGCCACTCCACAAAAGCTGCGTGCTCGCATCGACAATGACGCCCTAGAAAAACAAGACCACGACCACGACCACGACCACGACCACGAGCCCCCCGAGGCCCACACGCCGTCGAGAAGGGGGAGGACACGTCTGGCCGAGCATGCCACCCCGCGCTCCATCCTGAAAAAGACGGGCTTGCCCAATGGAGTTGCTGCCACCCCACGCTCCACGAGGAAGCTGCTCTTCGAAACTCCGACCAAATCCGCCAAACGCGACTCCCCAGACGCCACCCCGACCCTCGTCCGCAACGCCGACCGAAGCGCCCGCAGGAAGAGCAACAGGCGCATCCTCGAGCGCACCCTGAATGGCCTGGACAGCGACGAGGATGCCGAGGACGAAGAGGACGAGCTTGCCCAGCAGATTCTGGAAGAGCCAGCCGACGATGCAGAACAGCCCGCAGACGAAGCCCCCCAAGAAGAGGCCCCTGTGCCCGAGACGCCCTCGAAGCGTGGAAGGGGTCGCCCCAAAGGCTCAGGCAAAGTAGGCCGCCCGCGAAAGCAGCGCTCGCCCACGCCGCCCACCGAACTGCCTGCCCACGAAGAGTACTTTTGGCAGAACCGCCCCGCAGGCTCAAAGACGTCCAACAACACCCTCTCCGCACAGAGCCTGCTCAACCACGACGAGTACTTTCAATCAATCCAGTCGTACCAAGACCCCCACCAGCCCGAGAGGGACTTTCTGTCAGAACTGCACGGCCGTGCATATGACCAGTGGATATTCCAACTCGAAGAGGGCTTCAACATTTGCCTCTACGGCTACGGCTCCAAGCGCATCATCACCCAGCGATTCATGGCTCACTTCTACCATGCCCTCCTCGACCGCGCCCCCTACAGAGGAACAAAGAAGACGCCCAAGATAGCAGTCGTAAACGGCTATGCCGCTGGCACAACCATCAAGGAAGTCTTGATCACAGTCGCATCGGCCGTTGTGCCTGCGCATCTAAAGCTTCCCAATCAGCCCACCGCACTGCTCGACTTTCTGCTGGACCATCTCACAAACAATCCACCGCCCCATGCAGTGCCCGTCATCTTGAACTCAATTGACTCGCCCTACCTTCGCAAAGGCACCCTGCCGTCCATGCTCGCCCGATTAGCCGCCCATCCCTCCATCAGTCTCGTATGCACAGCCGATACGCCCCATTTCCCTCTGCTATGGGATGTTGGTCTCAAAACACAATACAAGTTTTTATTTCACGACGCAACTACATTTGCGCCATACGACGCTGAGATAGACACTGTTGAGACTGTAAATGAGCTTCTGGGCCGCAGCGGCAGGCGAGTGGGCGGCAGAGACGGCGTGGGCTTCGTATTGCGCTCACTGCCCGAACAGGCCCGCGAGCTGTTCCGCATTCTGGTCATGGAACAGCTGGCTCTATCTATGATGGAGGGTGCCGACATGGACCAAGACGACGTTGCTGCGACGCCAAAGTCCAAGGGGGCACAAGCAAAGAACCCACCGCCAGAATCCAACCAAGGCGTCGAGTACCGCGTGCTGTATCACAAAGCCGTCGAGGCATTTGTATGCACGAGTGAAGTCAGCTTCCGAACACTGCTCAAGGAGTTTCACGACCATCAAATGATAGAAAGCAGGAAAGATGGCATGGGCACAGAACGGCTATGGGTCCCGTTCCGCCAGGAAGAGCTCGAAGGTCTTGCCGAAGACCTCGCGGGAGAGGCTTTTTAATTGCCATCTATGTACAACACGTTAATCCAACCGCGCCATGCATTAACACGAGCATTACAAATACAATTCGCTTGCTCCTGCACTTGGTCCTGGTGGGGCCATCCACATCCACATATGTAGCGTCGTCGAGGTGCGGGCATACGCCGGCAGTTGACCCGGCCTTACAAGAAATTTCTCCAGCCCCACCATCCACGTCTACCCGGAATGTCAGCTTCACATCACGCACTTTCTGCACACACACACACACACACCACCAATATGCCCGATTTATGTTCCATGATTTATCCCGAGCTTCCATCAATTGGTCGCTTAGCTCAGTTGGTTAGAGCGTGGTGCTAATACCTTGTATGATACGCCAAGGTCGCGAGTTCGACCCTCGTAGTGACCATCCTCATTTCTTTTTTTTGTTTTTGAGGGTGCTGTAGAGTATGTTTTTGCTAGACACGATATGATTTGGGTAGTAGGATAGCGGGGACAACACGGGAATACTGAAGTTTTTGTCTATTGTCTGTATCCATGCATGCAAGAACTGCATGTTCGCCATATGAAAACAAACTCAGTATCTTGCAATTCCTGGTTTTCAAGGGTATCACAACATACGATACTTCTTCCTGAAATACACACACACACACACACTACACTGTTATGCTCTGACACAATGATTATCATCATGTCATTATAGTCTCACATGCTCGTGCAAACATATGTGGATACTAATGACATCAATCATCACGTGCAAGTCATCACGATTGCATGCCTGCATACGACAATCTACACCTACACCTACTCCTTCAGCTTCCACACGCTAATCATATCCTCCCCTCGGCTCTGTTCAAATGACTCGGGCGGCTTCCAATAGACCACTCTTTCGAAGCTGCCCGTCTCTTGACCAACACCAACGACATTGCCTGCCTCATCCACCGTGCCGTCAGCGCCGTCAGCCAGCAAATTCCAGTGCACGCCATTGAGACCCCATGGTGGGCCCTGTGCCTTGAGTGGCTTCCACACGGGAAACTCGAGACACACGAGCACGCCTGTCGGCGCCAAAAGAGTCTTGATGCGCTGGGCCCAGTCCTTGCGCATCTCCGGGAGCAAGGCACAGAGAAACTATCATCATCAGATGATTTCGAGCACCTCGGCACTGCCATGATGCGCTTACCGTGTAGTCATAGATGAGGTCGAAGCCCCGGAAATCGGGTCCAAAACCGGCCTCGTAGTCGTTCCGGAAGAAGTCCCCGAGCACCACCTTTGCAGTGCCGTGGCTGGAGGAAGCATCGAGTTGGGCCTTGACATTTTCATTTGCGGCATCGACTGCTGTTTGCGAGACTTCGAGGCCCCATACGTCAAAGCCGTAGCGTGCGAGGAGAGCTACATCGTGGCCCTTGCCGCAGCCCTATGCCAGTTCAGCACCTGCTGCTCAGCCATCTTCCGTGGACAAAGACAACATACGGGTACAAAGGCCCTGAGCTCACGCTTGCCCCGGTCTCGGAACAACGTCTCACGATACGGATGCGTGTCTAGAAACGCGTGCAAGGCAGGCGAAGGTCGGCCACGATCCCAAAGATGGGATTCATCCTTTTCCCATAGCTTGGCCCACCCATTGCTCTGCGCATCGCGGGTCCTGGGCCGGCGTTAGTTGGGCCGTGGCTGCGGGTGTGGCGGCATGCTGGCGCTCCATTACTTGTAGTCATCAAAGTGTGCGACGAGGCGAGTCCGGTTTTCGAGAGACCGAGCCTCTGTGGTCATGGTGGTGATTGTGTGTGTAATTGATTTGGCTATGCAAGGATGCGGGATCAAACGGCAAAGCTTGTAAGACGGGGTCTTAGCACTAAGCCTGTGCCTGGCAGCCCGCCTCGGGTCGCCCGATAGCACATCCTTGACGTCATCCCCCGCCCTTGTCTTCAACCACCATCCATCCTCCGACACTCTCACTCTTGTCCTACACCCTCGCACTCCTGCTTCGCTGCATATGCGCCACGCCGGTCAATGCAATCTGCTCATGGCACAACGTCCGCTCAACCTCGGCGCCAATCGTGCGACAGCAACTATGATATCGTCACACAGTCAGACAAGTGCGAGTCCGCCTCGTCTCAGCACATCTATGGGTCGCATTTCTAAGACCCTGGCCCACTGGAGTAGTCCTGGCGGTACTCGGGTTCCGGAACCACTGTAGCCAAATTGGCTGTGCTGTGGCTCAGCCGTTATTCCGAATAAACGAAGCCCCGACGCCCTGCTTCGCTGCTTTGCGGACGCCAAACCTCACCACTCAGAAGCGAAGGATCCGGCTCCCAACGTCATGAATGCGCCAATGTTCATGTGAAACAGATTCTCGGAGCATGGCTGTGGGGTCCAGGATTCCATGCAGCGAAACAACAGCCACTCGTTGCTTGGGTGCAGAAACCCTTTTAGGCCAGCACGTCACGTTCCACTCGCTGGCCGCTCCATTAGGCCATGGGGAAGCAGCTTTGCAGCAAATACTGGATCAGGGTCGCACTTGCGGCATGTGTACTTAGAGCTGTTGGGGCTCCTCTCCCTCCAGCCCTTTGCTCTCAGCGCATCCCACTCTCCTTTTCTTACACCAATACCCATGGGCCGTCTTCTTCTTAGCTTGCCGTCTCACCGGGTACGCTCACTTCATCATGCGCGCAATCGCGTAGCCATTGTCTTCTTCATAGGAGCACTCATCTTCCATCAGCACATGTACCTAGTCAGCCGACAGTCCCTAAGTGCAAAATACACTGCCACCAACTTCAACTCGCGTGCTGGAGACCTGCGCGCTCGCTTCCCACCCGAAGACGGCTCCCGGTTCCAGGCTGAGCTTCTAGCCAACAGACAAGACTGGGAGGTCTTGGGAGAGGGCTTCGAAGGCAAGGTGTTTGCCTACCAAGACTCCGTCATCAAGACCTTTACACCAGGCCAAAGTCCGTTCCGGAACTGCGCACCCAGCACCTATCCAACTGCGAAATGGCCGACCGAGATACCTGCACAATTGCGGTTTGGAGGTTCTAGTCTGACAAAGGTAAGGGGAAGCGGCCATGTCGAGGATGCAAAAATAGACTTCAAGGGATTCCTCCCCCTCAAGGCACACTTCATGGCATCCAATTCACCCGGAAGTCCAGCAGAATGGCATCTAGTTACACCACTGTTGAAGGGCGGCACCCTTACTTCGCTCGCCAAGAAGCTCTCTACGGAACCGCAAACAAAATCCTATCGGGAGATTGATGCACTATACCGGCCAGCCTTTAACCGACTGCTTGTGAACATGGCCGCGTTCCACGATGCAGGCTATTGCCACGACGACATCAAGCCGTCCAACATCTTTATCAAAGATGATTCTCAATGGGTAATGGGCGATCTGGGTAACGTACGCGAACTCTCGCATCCCTTTCATTCATCGCGCATCTGGACAGACAACAAGCAGCTTGCCGACTGCCGAGCCAATGACGTCGTTCGAGTGCTTCGATCCTACCTAAAGTTCATCCAATCCTCCCTACCCGATCCTGAGCCTTTCAACACGGCCCTATTCCAAGCAGCCGAACCCACGAGCAAGCTTTTGTGGTGGACGCTCGCAGACGCGCCCAACATGAGCGCCCAAGAACTTCGCCAGCGCTCCTTCTTCGAATACCCAGAGGCAGCGCCCGCACCTGACACTGACGAGCGGTTTCCGCCACCTGTACCTCCTCGCCGCTCCTTGTTCACCCTATTTTCCTCGGAACGCAGCGTACTCGGTGGCGCGGCTGATGCTGCACTCCGGACTTCAATGAACGAGCTTAGTGCGCGTCTATGGGCCTGGGTTGGTTTATTTGGTGTTCCCGAGGGCGAGATTTGCGAAGCTTGATTGATACCCATGCATCTTGTTTTCCTCCTTTTTATTATTATTACATCTGTTTCTAGTCTGGTAATGATAATAATACTTTGTTCTAATGTATCTACTTCTTTCTTTACGCTGCTCTACCGGATTCTGGATGGTGGCAGCCAAGAAGGAATGAGTATCTAGTTGTGTGATTATCTACTGCTCTATAGAATGGAACGAAGAATAATATAATGATGATGTAGTTATAATCTATACATATCAGCTTACGCACGTCTGTGAAAATTAGGGTCAATCAAGAATGACAACTATAAGAAAGTCAAAGATTAGTGTTGATTTCTGAGTTGAGAAATAGATGCGTGGTCTTGTCAACCTTTCATAACTTGTATGTATGATCTACTTGGCGTAAGAATACATAAGCTATCCCATGCAAGACGGCAGCACAAGAAAGACATTTTGACACAAGAGTACGTAAGTAGCTAGATTTCCATCGGTCACGCTTCGATAATAGCTCTATCGCCCCCCCCCCCCTTATGCACCTCATACGCCTCATAGATACACAATTTCCAGCCCAGGCGCAGCAGATAGAATTCCCAAGATTGCGTCGGCATCACCGCGTACGACTTCTATTCACTCCATGTCCTCGGCGTGCTCTTCATCGCCATTTATGCCGCTATTCTCAATACAGATCTCGTGCTCCTACTCCTACTCCTTGCTGCTGACTAACTGACTAACTAAATTAGGAGAGAGTATTTCGAGTAAAAAAAAAACGTTGGTAATAGCCTGTTGAATCCCGGTTCAGTCCAGTCGCCTCTTTTCTTTTCCTCGCTTCTAATTTCTTTTTTGTCCTTTAGTCTTCGCCGCCCCCCCTAACTTATCCAACATACAAGCATGACCAAAAAAAAAACGCAGAGAAAAAAAAAAGTTAGAGGCGGAAAAACATAGGATGAAGAAGCAACAAGTAGAACGGCAAAACGGGAAAGCCGCGGGAACAAGCAATCCAGATAGACCCTCGAAATAGGGGGAAATGAAATCTTTTTACTTTTAGATACTTACTTACTGTTTTTCTGTTTTCGCTTGATGGAGGCTCTCTCTCTCTCGCTCATCATGTATTTATCACGAGGAAGACCCCCCTTTTGAATGGCATGCAGCAGTTCGTATCGAGTTGATCTTGAGTTTGCATATGACTAGTTAGGAGGGCCATTTACGATTCGAATTAGTGGCGGACCATTGTTTCTTTGTACTCCTTGCTAGTGCTAACAATATAGGAGTACTTGAACCTACAACCTTAGGTAGATTGTCGAACACCCTGTTTTCACCTGCAACATCAAGTATACTACTTCCTCTCAGTCTGGAAGTATGGATGATATCACCGCTTACTTACATGCCATGGATACAACACCTGCGATAGGAAGCGGCATACTGGGTAGAGTATTATTAGAAATAACAGAAGGAATACCGCTTCATCCCACTCGAAAGATGTATCTGTGTCCTGCTCCAGCAATCGCATCATGTGGATAGCAGGTACATTTCGTGGGCTTCAAACATATCTCCAGGTAACTAAATAGATTGAGCAGCTGTACTAACGCTATCTAACCCATCTCTAACGATAATTCACTCATGCACCTCAGCACCATGTCCTCTCGAGCCAGCAAACGCTAAGCGCGCCCTTTGCGGGCTGTCGGTTCCATCGTCAACATTGACCGTCTGGAACAGCTATGGCTACTTCGTGCACACTACATACATACATACATACATACACATACAAACATACTTTTCCAAGCCCTCCAAACCAGCGCCATTTCCGCACCATCCCACATGCTCACTACACCCAGTTTCCCGACACGCACAAGTTGTTTTGACAGTCGCCAGCAACATCTCTACTTACACCCCCCCCCCTACTCACCAAGACATGGACACGATGGCTGAAATTACAGTTCCCACACCTGCATGAGCGTATGACTACATCTTGCGTTAGCTAAATGAGTAATTACTCAAGTTGGAGAGAGTTTGGAACATTTCGTAGAATTACAAGGGCGACACGCTTCGTTCTGTCGAATATGCGGCTGACTCAGCGCAGACGCGCACAAAGCACAGACTGACGTCGCGCGCCGAACTTTTTTAGCCGCATCACAAACAATCTGTAAGAATCTCGAAGAAATCCCCTTCTGCAGCCACCACGATATCTTTGGGTTCGCAAGTCGGCTGGTAGAGGCTGACGGTGTATTGAGTAGGTACAAATGAAGATAATAGAACTAGTTTCACTATCTCGTCCACTGCGCCCGGTCGCTGTTGCTGGCCTCGTTCCTTCGCGTTTGTGTCTAGTAACTCACACAAGATTTAGCGGCGTCTCAACAGCCTCCCTTACCTTCTACAACAGACACCACACGCAACGACAAACTCAACTGCCCACCATGCCCCCACCACCAAAACGCAAGTGGCCTCGCGGTAGAGGAGGCGGAGGAGCCGGTGGCGGCGCCGCAGACCGTGCAAATGGCGGTGCATCAACACCTGGAACGTCTACGCCTCGCTTTTCCATGTCACAGCAGCCGAAACGCCCAAAGATGGAGGATACCCAGCCCAAGCCTGATGCTCGCGTCGACGTGCGACAGATGTACTCTACAGCAGCAGGCGAGGCGGCGCCAAAGCCCTTTTCCGAGCTGAAGAACAGGCTACACAAGGGGCTGCTTGACGGCTTGGACAAGATGGGATTCGAGTAAGCAGGCCCTTTGACGAGCCGGCTTCTTGCTGCAGACGTTGACACTCAGGGGCTTCAGCTAACGACCACAGATACATGTCCCCCGTCCAGCAAAAGGTCCTGACCGAACTACCCTCATTTTCATCAGACTGTGTTGTACAGGCAAAGACGGGCACGGGCAAGACGGTGGCGTTCCTGCTCCCCGCGATCCAGAACCTCCTGGCCGGCAATATGCCCCCGAGAGGCAAGGTCGCTATCCTCGTCATCTGCCCTACTCGCGAGCTGGCTCTGCAGATTGCAAAGGAGTGCAATGGTGTGACTGCGTGTCTGCCACGGAAGATGGAGTGCCACACTGCGTTTGGCGGTACCTCGCGTGCCTCGAACCTCCGGGCTTTCATGAATGGCAATCCTACTGTTCTGGTGGCTACGCCTGGAAGGCTGGATGATATTCTGGGCGAAGAGGAGGTGCGCGAGAAGTTTACTCATCTGAAGACGGTGGTCCTAGACGAGGCCGATCAGATGCTGGACGCCGGATTTGCCCCTGCAGTCAAGCAGATCTTGAGGCGCATACCGCCAAAGAGCGATGGCTGGCAGGGAATGTGCTTCTCTGCCACGCTGCCCGAGCAAGTACTGGACATTGCCAAGATTGTCTTGTTCCCTGGCTACACACATCTCTCGACGGTGGATCCTAACGAAGTACCCACGCATGAGCGTGTCCCGCAATTCTCCTTTACCGTCCCTACCGTCGGCCAAACATTCCCCGCGCTCTCAGCGCTGATCGAGGAGGAGTACAACCAGAACCCTACCGACTTCAAGGCTATTGTCTTTGGCACAACAGCAAACGGCGTGGGCCTGCTCTACGACCTGTACCGGAATGCGCTGCCTCAGTTCCGGCTGTTCGAGCTGCACAGTCGCATGTCGCAACCCGCTCGGACGCGGACGACCCAGGACTTCAAAGAGGCTTCAAGCGGAATTCTGTTTGCCTCGGACGTAGTGGGACGTGGTATGGATTTCCCCAACGTTGGTCTCGTCATCCAAATTGGCCTTCCGTCGAGCACCGAGCAGTACGTACACCGAGTCGGGCGTACAGCGCGTGCGGGAAAAGACGGACGCGCTGTTCTCATTCTCTTTGAGCAGGAGTCGTTCTTCCCGCACATCAACAAGACACTGCCCATCAAGCCGTACCCCGTCGATATCGTGTCGCGGCTGCCCACGCACGAGGCCAACATTGAGCGAGCCTTTGTCAACGTCGACGAGGTGTCAAAGTCAAAGGCGTACCAGGCGTTCCTGGGCTACAACAAGACATTTCTCAAGAAGCTGAAGCTGACGACGACCGAGTTGGTTCGTCTGGCAAACGACTATGCGCATTCCATGGGGTGCCCTGAGCCGCCCCTGATGGAGAAATCGACAGTCGGCAAGATGGGCTTGAAGGGTGTGCCTGGCCTGAGGATTGGGTCGCGAAAGCCGTAGCAGTATCAAGTGTCCGATCTCTGCTACGAACCAGAGTCTTACATTTGATTGGACATGGGGCAAAACAAAAAATTTCCTCATTGGGGCGTTGTCCGGTATGTGCGTTTTATATATACATATATAGAAGGGGAATGACTCACTCGATCATCATGTCTATGGGCCTCGGGGTCCGTCATCACGATGGAAATGAATGAATGGATTCAAAGTCACGGGTTTTTAGAAGGATAAAGGGGAAATGGGGAGGGACACAGGATGGCATAGCTTGTAGCACTTGGGGTATACCCAGATGACCCTTTCTTCTCGAAACGAAATAGATTTCTGTCATGACCCAGCCCAGCGTGTTCTTCTTGCCCATAGATACTGTTGTCTCATATCTGAAAAGAAAAAGAGGTGAAAAAAAAACCAGTTTCTTACTTTCTTTCTAGTCATGTCCATTGATTCATTTCTATTTCTTGTCGCCCCGGGGCAGTGGGTAAGATTTGGAAAGCAGAAAAAGGCGGTATATCGAGGATCTAGGCATGCGAGGACGATGGCACGTCTTGGGTTTGGAGTGGACAACGTGTTCCAGTGGTGGAGAATCGGGCGCCCTTTTTTTTTATTCAGACTAAGGCTAGGGTGGGGAATACGAGACGTTGCAATGTGTACCTGGCAAGTTGGAGAGAGCGTGTGCCATGGATATGCTGGTATGTCACCGGACGACGTTCCGATGATTGCCAGCGTGGGGCGGGCGGCTCATCATGCTGATCAGCGGCTTGTCCCCTCTACCACCTCTGGATGCTCAACAGTCTCTGCTTTGTCTTGACCGCTTACAAGGAAATTGATGACCCCCCCCCCCCGGATTTCCGCAGGCTTGCTTTGATGACACCGAAATTTTACCATTGCAATCGCCTTTTTTTCCTTCCTTTCCACGTTTATTTTTTTGATTTCCGCCCCCCTTTTCCCCCTGTATCCTTGTTCGGCAGTTGGAAGGGAACAATCTGGCTCGAATCTACAGTAGGCATATATCTCCCACGAGGACTGCCGGCCTGGATCGGAATCTTCCGCCCCCAAGCCTCATCTCAGATCTCGGGATCGAGACACGTCAGATTGAAAGGCAAAAAACGTCATGATTGTCATGCACAACTCACCAGCAGCCCTGTTCCCTACAATGTGTACAATGCTTACTACCCGCGCACTGCAACAGACCCACCACGCTCATACCTGTGACAACGGATGAAAAAGAAAAAGATAAAGGAAAAATCTTTTTTTCCCTCATACATGTCTCGTTTGGTCCGTAGCCTCAAACTAGCCACATGTCACGAGGTCTGGATCGTGATCTGTGGTGGCAGAGGCTCGCTTAAGGGGTTATTAAAAGGACCACAGACGTTTTTTGACAAGTGGTTAGCGCCGGGGGTGGAATCAAGGAAGTAAGGTCAAAGGCACAAAGACGTGTCGAGGTGACGGGAACGACGACGACGAAGAAGAGGAAGAGGAAGAAGAAGAAAAGAAGAAGAAGAAAGAGGCCGTGGACAAAAAGACGTGAGTGTACCGGGTTTCTGGGTACGGTAGCAGGCTGCAGGATGGAGTTAGCTGCGCGATCAGTGTTGAGTGGGGTGCATCGCTGGGGGAAGGCTCGCCGAGGGCCATGGTAGCGAAGTCGGCGCGGCATCAAGACGGCGTACGTTGGAGGGCACTAGCACTAGGCACTGGTGGGCCGCTCAGGCAGCCGAGCGACGATGAAAGCCGGATTGGGGGGATCATGTGCGTGGCGGCGATGGCAATGGCAATGGCGATGGCGATGGAGCAAAAGAGCCGTGCAGGGCGTGTAGCTGGGATCGAAATGAGCATGGGCGGGAGCGGTTTGCAGACGGAGGGTTCTGGACCGCCAGGCAGCGTGTGCAGCAGCCTCGTGGGTTCCGTCGGCCCTCGACAGGTACCGAGCGACGGCGACGGCGACGGTGCTGTGGCTGCGGTGGGCGAGCTGAGTAGGGCGCTACTCGTGTGAGCCAGGGTGCCTTTTTGTCGAGTTTCATGCGCCCCTAGCGGCTGGGTCAAAGAGCGCCACCTTGTGCCAGAGCGAGGGCGCGGATAGGCTGGACAGCGCGGCTCCCCGGGCGATAGGAGGGCTGCTATCCACCGGCCGTTGCTGGAGCTGGTGTTTCACCGGCGCGTCGAGCGGGCGAGTCGTGGGCGCCATGCTTTGAGTAAGTATACGAGCGGGTGAGTGAGTGGGTGAGTGTGGGTGAGTGAGCGAGCGAGCAGGCAGCAGGCGAGGGCGCGACGAGGCGATCGAGTGGTGTCGGCGACGGCAAGATGGATAGCGCCGGCGATGAGGCAGCGGGCGGGCTTTGGGCTGGGCTGGGCTGGGGGTGGATAAAGAGGGGGAATTGGGTGTTGATGCGGGCAGCCATGGCGAACAGCTGGCTAGTGGAATTGCCGGCACGAGGGGCGCTCCTGGGCTGCTGGGGGGGCATGACGTGAGCTCCTTCCAAGGAACGCGTGCTTGGACCTGCCCATTGGCCGTGGGCCCTTGCATCGGTCGCGCCTGCCTTGCAGCCCGCAGCCAGCAGGTGCGTTTGCACTGCCAGCCAAGCACGGTACGCTGCAGCAGCGCGCCTTCCCATTCCCACCAAACCAAGGCATGCTCGTCGCGTCGCTCTTGCTGCTGCTGCTGCTGCTGGCCGCTCTTGCTGCTGCTGCTACTCGCTCCTGCCTGCTCTGGCCCTCGTCGCCCTGCGCGACTTCCCCCGCTATCCACCAGCATCAACATTGCCGTTCACCTTCCTCTTCTCCTCCTCCTCCTCCTCCACCTCCACCTCCACCTCCTCCACCCCGCCGCTGCCCCCCCTTTCGCGTCCCCCTCCTTCCCCTCCTCCACCTTCTTCTTCTGCTCCTGCCATCTCCATCCAGCATAGCATCCCCATTGACTTCATTTTGGCTGCCCCCAAAAGCAACGCCACACCGCTTCCGTGCTGCCGCGCTGTGCTGCCGGCAGAACTCCAGCAAGTCGTCGCAGGTTGCTTCTTAGCGCGTGCAAGCGAATTGCTCCGCTGCCTCACATCGCCGCACTGGTTGGAGCGCAGCCCTCGTCGCGCGCCAAACACGCTCCGTTGCGCTGCCAGTCGCGTCCAATTTGGCCTCTACATGCCAGGCAGCATCTGTCCTGGGACAATTGACAGCCCATACCTTACCGCCTCTTCAACGACACGCTTGGCAATCGTCAGCGCAATCTCAGGCGAAGGCACCCGCATCGACCGTGCCCAGTAGGCCCGACGCTTCCATTTTGGCTCCCTAGACGCGACTTCACGCGTCATAGCGTCTGGAGAGACTATACAAGGCTTTCGCAGCCCTTGTAGCTTGGTCTCGCCATGGCTGCAGCGCGTCGACACCCTTCCATGCAGATTTTTCAGGACCCTGTGCAGCCTCACCACCACCTCGACGACGCCGATCCAGCCCACGCTTCCGACGCACGCTACCTCGACCCTGTCGCTTCCGTCACCGACGTGTCCAACCACGCCAACACGCTCCTCGCTCCCCCCGTTGCCCACACCGCCAAACCATCGCCCCGCAAGACCCGCCAAGTCTCGAGTTCCCCTCCACCCAGCGCTCTCGTCGAAAAGCGCCTCGACTCCCTCACCCTCCCCCCGCCCCAAGAGCAGCGCTTCCGGACAGACGCGCCTGCAAAGAAGGACCTGCCCGCCCTCTCGCAGCACGCGCACCAAATGGCGGGCCATCTCCAGTACTGGCCCGGCCATGGCTCGCACATGGACAAGGAAAACGCCTACTATGCCGGCCCCCTCATGTCGTCTTCCATGTCGGCAGCAGAGCCACCAGCCAAGCACGCGTCAAAGACGCCCATGATGGGTGCCGGCACCGCCGGCCCACTGCGAGACCGGACCAACTTCAACTCAACCACCACCCCGACCACCACCACCAAGAAGCAAAAACCCGTCAAGGATGCCAAAGCCGACGAGGCCGACGGACCGCTACCCGAGCCCGATCAGATGCCCAGCGTCGAAGACGACGGAAACAAGCCCTCGTACAGCTACGCCATGCTCATTGGCATGGCCATTCTCCGTGCACCCAACCGCCGGCTAACACTGGCCCAAATCTACAAATGGATCTCGGACACATTTGCCTTTTACCGCAACTCGCAAGAAACGGGATGGCAGAACAGCATCCGCCACAATCTCAGCCTCAGCAAGTCGTTCTCTAAGCAAGAGCGACCCAAGGACGACCCAGGAAAGGGCCACTACTGGGTCATCAACGCCGGATTCGAGAAGCAGTACCACAAGATCAAGCCCATCCGCCGACCGGCCCAGCCAGAGTCGTTTGCCCCCGTCTACACCAGCGATCTTCCCCGTCCTTCTCCCTCTGCAACAGCCAGCTTTCCTGCTTTGAGCTCGACCAAGGGCTTCGACTCGAGCAAATACCCGGAAGAAACCGACCTGCCTTCTTCAGAAGCCACTATCCCCTGCTCGGATCCTGCTGCACACGACGGACAGGATCCTCTAAGCATGCCACCGCCCCGCCAAATACCTTCTTCGCCCCCACCCGCCGACATTCACTCGTCACCGCCTCCCCCCGTCTCACGGTCTCGCTCAGTTCGCGACGACACACCGCCACGTGCTCCGCGCTTCCCTTCGCATAGCCGTTCGGGCGGACGCAAGCGCAAATTCCATGGCCTTGGCGACAGCGGCTACTACTCATCCATTGAATCCTCAGCAATCAAGGGCAGCTTGGCAGGTCCATTGCTCATGTCCGAAGCAGATCACGATCGGCCCAACCTGAAACGTGGGCGCGCTGAAGAAGAGATTGCCCGTATCCGCGGCTCGTCTTATGATTCTCCCACTAAAACTCGGACCCACATGAAGCACGCTGGCAGTACCCACCTGATCTCGTCACCGCTTCGCCAGGCAGATAAGGTTCGCGACCCTCTAACCCCTGCTATTGTGTTCAAGCGCCCAGCACTACCGCCTGCGTCGGCTTCGCCCAACACCAACCTGCGCAACCACCGCAACAAGATGCGCGAGCTTGTTGGCGGCTCGCCAGACAAGAGCCTGGCCATGTGGGTTGACACTTCGTTCCTCGACAACAAAAGCTGGAGTCCAGCCGTCAACATTCCCAATGAGGAGCAGGTCAACCTGGTCGGCCATGGCTTCGAGAGCACCTTTGACATTTTCGGTGACTTTGGCTACAATGAAAGCCCTATTAAGCGCTCTGCCAAACGTTCGCGCCTCGAGCGCGCCGTCACGACCAGCGGTGTTCTCGCCGACATTACTGGTTCCAAGACTAACTCACCCACACCCAACTGGAAGATGTCGTCGTCTTTCCTCAACATTCCTGACCTGTCTCCTGTCAAGAGCCTGTCGCCCATCAAGGCCCCCGTGCTGAAGCCTCCCATGGGGTCTTCGACTGCCGAATCTGCCCACGCGAGCACATGCAAGGACAAGGGCCGCAGTGGGCTGACCCCCCCTCAGTCGTTCAATGGACCTGCAAAGTCCGAGCCTCAACAGCAAGATGACGAAGACATTTTCCATCTCCTGCACAGTGATGAATCTGAGCCTGGTATTGATCTGCTCCAAGGCTTCGAGAAGATTGGAGCCAGGCAACTGGCTGTCGCCCCCAACGGATCTCCGCAAAAGAAGGCGCCGCGCCCTAGCTTGACGCGGAGCTCGACGACGCGCTTCTGAGCGAGTCGATGCAGCCGTTGTGATTGGCCTTTTCTGACATACACCTTACCTTAACTTTGTTCCGCCACGTCTGGATCTCAACCCCAGGATTTGGATACCTCTTTCTTCGCCATTCTCGATACCCCTCATCTTGCGACTACAACTTTTTAGCTCTTATCTCGCGACCTTTTCTATTGCAGTCGCTCAGATCATCACTTTGGCTACTCTCTGGATGGTCCGTTGGGCCATTCTTACCTCACGATGTAACGACAAACGATACCCACGAAAGCAACGGCTAGCGCTTCTATATTGGCGTCTAATTCGACATTGACAGGCAGCAGGCAGGCAGGCAGGCCATGTGGGCGTAGACGGCTACGCCAGCCACTTGTGTCTAGCAGGGTGTTTTTAGGGTTTCTAGTTTCTTGTTTCTTTGCGAGCGCTTACATATACGCGTAATGATATACACATGGCTGGAGGTGGACGGTGGAAGCCTCGGCTTGGGGATGATGACGAGCGCATTTTACAGTCATTACTACATGGCTTAATGATCAAGTGTGGACGAGGACATGCATGCCTGAATGTAGGAGAATTGATAGTTTCCTTGCTCTCCATGAATGCATCGTTTCTCAGATTTGACTTGTTCTAATGCTCTTGCCCTGTGGGAATTTAGGCAACATCCCTCTTTAGGTCTAATACATACGACCATAGGACATTTTCCAAAACTCGATCCCGTTCGCTCTCGAGAAGTTAAACGGTGTACCGGCGGGCTAGTAGGCAGGTGGGTGACCACTGGCGAATCCCCGCTGTTGTATGTTTTTTTTGCTTTTTTTTGCTCTAGACTTTGGTATCTTGGCCAAGTCTGTTCCCTTGTCGTTATCCTGCGTCGTTATTCTGTGTCGTCGCGACTAGTCTGTATCCCCGAGAGGTAGTCATGCACCATGCGAGCAGCCTTGGTAAAGACCATCTAGACTCAACACCATCCGTTGCCTTTTGGACACGAGCACCGAGAAGTGGAGAATAGGGGGTATGCAGTAGTGGTAGTAGTGGCGGTATTAGTAGTCTTAAAACGGGCCATAACGATAAAAAGAAAAGAAGGGAAAAAACGGTTTGCATAAACTCCACGCTCGCCGACCTACCTAGCTGAGTCTAGCGCCTTTGGCTTGCTATTAGGGGCAGCAGGTGTAGTAAAAGGGGGGATACTTGGTGTACATGGGGGTTTCTTTTTGTTCTTTTCCAAATTCAATCATCTGGATCTGGTGTGGTTCCCCCCCCCCCCTTTTCTCTCTCTCTCTCTCTTTGGGAAGAAACGGTGCTGGTGTTGGTGTTGGTTGCTAGCGCTGAGCGGTGGCAGGCGTGTGAAGCACGAGTAAGTAGGGAAAAGAAGGGGGGGGGGCTTTGATGCGCAGGCTACAGATAACTAGCCACAACTACAAGTACACTACGGCCACTAGGTGTAGACTTGGTGTGTCTGTGTCTGTGTGTGTGTGGAAAAAAGGGTTATCGCCGAGCATGCATGTAACAAAGAAAACCAACTCTTGTTTTCTTACTCTCTCACTACACTACACTACACTACGCGCTTAGTCGCAGAATAGCGTACGTACGTAGCGCGACATTCCCCAATCCACCGAACCCTTGACCCAGCCCAAAAGGAGTCTCGAACAACCGATCTTTCTATTCTTTCCCTCCCTCCCTCCCTCTCTCTTCTCACGCACATGCCGCCTACAAACAATGCAACTGCAACATAAACGTAACCCGGAACCGTAAACGAGCCGGGGGAGAGGACAGCGGGGGTGGTATAGTAATACCCCTCCCTCCGAACATAAGTACACAGATAGACCCCCCCGAACAATGCCGATCGCAATTCGCGCGTCTTTCCAATCACGGCTGTACACATTTCACGCTTTGTTTGCGCCCGCCCCCCCCCCCCCGCGCTTTTAGTCTTGTTTTCACTCTCTATCTTGTGTGGCTACGGCCTCGCTTCTTCCAGCATACTGTAGATATCGCTTGTTTACGAGTACAGGTGACCTTGTTTACATGTACTGAGATGGCTGGTGGGTCTTGTGGCTGGGCTGAGTTCAGCTTGGCTTTGTTTATGATCAACATATGTATGTGCATGTCTGGAATCAACAAGACTAATCATGCCATGCCATGCCATGCATGCATGCTGTACATATATACGGTACGTGAGATAGCCAGATAGATAGATAGATAGATAGATACGCATATCTCATCCAAAAAAGCAGGTTTTTACCCTTTCCCGACTGCATATGTAGCAGGGCTGGCTGTGCCAAGACGACTTTATTTAGCATTCTCCCTCTTCCTCCTCCTCCTCCTTCTTAGCTTGCGGGCGCGTGTGTTTGTGTGGTGCATGCAATATGTCATGTACGCGGATAGAAATGTACAGGGATGCGAGATTGTCAGAGGAGGGGCGCATAGCTGCACGATTGGATGCGCGGGGCGTAGCGTTTACTTGGGGCGGCGGGTGGGGTCAGGATGGGAATACGGCGGGGGTTGTACATATGTATGCATGTGGCAAGGGTTGGGCTTGTTTAGGTTGGTCGGGAGGAAAGGCTTAGTGATTACGGTGACGGCGTGACTGGCTACTGTGTGTACATGTGTGGACGGGTTAGAGGAAGTGCTCGGATGCTGGGGCAGAGAGGTGAGTGGATAGAGTCTGTTGGTGGGCGGATAGAATGTGTGTTTTAGTTTTGATTTTGTTGTCTGGGGGTGTATGGGGTCATTGGGTCGTGAGTGTGCTGCGGAAGTGTGGGGTATCTTCTGAGGAGTTGTTGTTATTGTTGTTGTTTACATATCACGATCAAAGTGGAAACAGAGTTGCTAATAACGAGGCAGTTTTATTCTCTGCCAACTTTTGATAGATTCCCTACGGCTCTCATGTACGGTAGTCGCCGTTAATGGTGACGTACTCGTGGCTAAAATCACATGTCCAGAAGACGGCTTCATGGCCGGCCTTCTCGCTCAGACTAACTTTAATCTCTAGATCCTCGGCTTCCAGTATCTTTGCGGCCCGACTCTCGTCGACTTGCTCCGGCTCGCCCTTGACCAGCAATTTCAGCTCTTGGCTGCCGTCCGTCGGCACAAAGCTGACGCTCGTCTCCTCAGGCACCACCGAATCGGCGCCTTCGGCATAGCCCGTCGCGCACAGAATGCGCCCCCAGTTTGCGTCTTTGCCGTAGAGCGCCGTCTTGACCAGAGGGGAACGTGCAATCGTCGACGCCACGCGATGGGCATCTTTGTACGACGCGGCGTTTGTGACGCGGATGGTGACGAATTTTGTTGCTCCTTCGCCGTCCCGGACGACCAGCTTGGCCAGGTCAATGGCGAAATCCGTCAGTACCTTTTGGAAGGCTGCAAAGTCGGGAGAATCCGAAGACGTGATTGCTTGGCCCCCTCCCGCGCCGTTTGCCAGAATAGCGACAGTATCGTTTGTGGAAGTGTCGCCATCAATGGAGATGCTGTTAAAGGACTTTTGGATAGAGGCAGAGAGTGCTCGGCGCAGGGGAGACGCGGCAACGGGCGCGTCTGTGCATATTATACCCAGAAGAGTGGCCATGTTGGGGTGAATCATGCCGGCGCCCTTGGTCATGCCCGCAATGCGGTACTCTTGCTGGGCGCTTGGAAGCGTAAAGGTCTTGGAGATGAGCTTTGGAAAAGTGTCGGTGGTGCAGATTGCGCGCGCAGTGGCGAGCCAGTGGTCGTGTGTGTCGCCGAGGTTGGTGTAGGCTGTGGGTATCTTGGAGGTAATCTTCTGGATAGGCAGACGCTGGCCGATGACACCGGTGCTCATGACGATGCTCCGGCTTCCTTCCAAACCGTCCTGGGCCTGTCCGTCTTGGATGAAGCAGGCATCGGCCTCTTTGCCCATGGCGATGGCGTCTTCGATTCCGCCACGGCCTGTGACGGCATTGGCGCACCCCGAGTTGACGACAACAGCCCTGATGCCCTCGCCCTTGGTCCGCTTCAGCATGTCCCTGCTGACTGTGACGGGAGCAGCCTGGAACTTGTTGGTGGTGAAGACGGCCGCTCCAGCGCACGGCGTGTCGGATGCCACGAGGGCGAGATCGTCGAAACGCGTGTTGGAGGCCTTGACGCCAACATGTGCGCTGCCGGCCTTGAAGCCGCGAGGATAGGTGCCTGAAGTAGGCACATACTTCTTCTTGGCCGGGGGGATGACGCCGTCGCCTGGTGCGGCATATGACCGTATCTGGGTCGCGAAGATGCGGTTTGTGCGGGTGAAGAAGCGCGGGGTTGGGCGTGTCAGAGACATGCTGGCGGCGAGGGGCAGCAGAGGCTCTGGTGCACTGAGAGAGCTGTCAGATGGGCGTGCTGGATGGCTGTGGTGGTTGTAGTATGCGGCGACTGCTATGACGCAGAAGCAGTGCCCAAGACGAGCATGCTTTCACCCGTCCATGGGACAAAACATACCACGAGGCCCTTTTATGCGTATTCCCGTCCTGTGGCTCACTCAATTGACGTCCTGCGCCCTGATGGTCGTGCAATGGAAAGCTGCAAAACAAATTTTTAAAAAAAAGAGCCAGGTGCTGTAAGCTCTCGCCGTTATCGCAGGCCGCCGAGCACCCGCGGCAGAGGCTAATTTCCCCCTGCGCGTCTAGAGCAGCAGCGCGCCCAACGTCGAGCCCACCAGGTAGCAGACGAGGATGGTGTATCGCGCCATCACGACATGCTCTTTCTGTGCCACAAACGGCGCGATGACGAAGAGAACGGCGGCGGTCGGCAGACTGGCGAGGATCGAGGTGCGCAGTCCGCCGGCAAAGGGGGCGACGAGGGCAGAAAAGCTGCCATCCAGCGCTACCGGCACGCTGCTACTTGTGCTATAGAGCACAAAGAATTGGAATATCGTCAGGAGGAGCGTCGCGACGAGCAGTCCATACTCGATGCATACGCGGCGGCGCTGGTCTCGGCCTGCAATCTCGAGGCTGGGCTCGGTGATGGGAAGCAGGGGCGTCTTCTCGGCAAATGTGGAATACATGATGAAGATGAAGATGATGAAGAAAACGAAGAGGACGAAAGTAAATTACGAGTGCAAAGGTTCAACCGCAGGACAAAAGAACACTTGCTGGAGCGGATTGCTGAGATTAAGTATCAGCCGCGCCTCATGGCGCTCTGCACAGGCTATGGGCCAAGTATCAAGGTGCAAGAGATACGCTGTCTTGGATCTTGGCTTATGAAACAGCCGGGCCCGATGTCATCGCCGTAACCTTGGCCTTCCTCATGGACGAGTTGCGACCCTTGTTTCAGGCAAATAGCCCGTCCTGAACGTTATTGCGGGGATAATGAGTCGTGCCTTGCCAATACCTACCCCATACGACTTGAAACCGTAGCGGCTCGCCGTATCGCCGTGTCGAGATGCCGAGCTTCGTGTGGCTGATATTTGATCGCGCCCTCGCCGATCACAGCGTCCATTGAGCAATACCAAGACCTTCATTTCATCTCCCAGGCCTACACGTCGGTGGACCGCAGTGCCATCGCCCAGTCCACACGGCTGCCCGTAGCCTTCGCACGCGTCATACCATCCTCTAAACAATCAGCCCAGGCAACCAAAAGAACTACTGCAACATGTGCATGAGTAGAGTTCAATAGCTTCAAACACATCAACAACTGCGAGCGGGGCATGTCACGCTTCCGTTCGTCTCACCCGCTCCAAGACCCGGTGGAATACGCGTCCAGCTCCTCTCTCGCGTCTCTCCCGACGTACGTATCAAGACAACATTGCCTGCTCTGTGCGCGTATTTGTCGAGGAAACAAACACTCGGCAGCAAGAAAAGCCATAGCAACACAAATGGCACACATTCCAAATGCGCTCTCACCCTACTTCTAGTGTTCCCATCAAACCACCCTTCACTGTCCACGCGGCTCGAAAAGCCGAGTTGACCTCGCCACACCGTACCGTAACATTCACCCCCCAACTCGAGCCAGTTCCACGCGTTCATCGTCTCTGGAAAGCCTCCAAAGAAAAAAGCACGTGTACCCAATAGAGACAGTGACAAAATCAATGCTTCGGCATTTAGCCCCGTCCCGCTCCATCAAGGACGCCCTGCATCACGGATACACGCAATCAAGCAGTCATGAGCCACGACGCTGGGATAAAAAAGCAAGGAAAATATGACACATGCCTCATGCGTTCATCCAGCTCACTGGCCGGCTGACCGACTGTTCAAGACGTGTGTAGCAAGTAACGACTCCCCAGCATTCCTTGCCACGAACGCCCTTCTACGCATTCTCCGTTTCCCTCTGTTTCAGCCACCCGTGCAAAATCTCCTCTGTGTCTACCGGAAAAACGTTATCTCGTTCATCTCACCCCACAATACACTAACTCTCTGTGTGCATATCTTCCCATCCGTATCATCGCAAGCAAAACAACTAACCTCCTTTTCCCCCCTTTGTTCTCGTATTCCTCGCATCCCACATCCCGACCCAGCATTCTAGAATCGCGATGCCAACACCCGTCCAGCCTTGCATTTACAGCGTGGCGGGCATGTCTATGTGTGTGTGTGCGAAGAAACGCAGGGAACACTTACGTGCAGAAGCAACGCAAAAGCAAGCAGATATCAAAAAGAAACCACTCCAAACTAGTCTCTGCAGAAACTAAAAAGTAAAAAAGAACATCATCATCCCCCTTTCCTGCTCCTACACACTACCAAAAAGTCCCCCACATACCCGACAACGCTCTCTCGTATACACTCGCTCGTACATAGCCAACGTGCCATTACCCCAGCTACTTGGACGCCAAGACAACCTCGCATTGCACGAATCCAGCATAGCCCAACACAGATGGGCTCATGACCCCAATATTCCTTCTCCCCCACCCTCGTCTTCATGTGTTGTCATATGGTTGAGCAGAGCCCCGTGTGCCAGCGCTACGGGGGCTCACACGCGGGCATGTGCATATAAACGGGGGGGCATATGGGTGCTCCCAGTGGAAAAAAAAGGAAAGACGAACTTGCAAAGTAAAAGGGCCTTTTCTTTTCTTTTTGTCTTTCTCTGCGCTCGAGACGGTAGGCGGGCAATGCTGGAACGGTCAGGGTTGGTGCTTTGGAAAACTGATTTTTTTTTCAAATTGTATGTACGTACGTATGTGTTTGGAGGCTGTGTTTTTGAGTTCGAGTTCGTGTTCCCGACCTTTTTGGGTGCCGTGTTGGTTGTCATGAGGGGGTGTGAATGTGGTTGAACACAGTAGGCAGTTTATTATGCACAATACAGTATTTCTCGCAAGTATCGTAGAATCAAGACTTCTTTTTTTTTCCTCCTCACACATCAGCTGTATACAGATGTCGATGCGCACCACAAACCGTACACGCGGATATCACTGGCGGAAGAAACCATACACACAACCGCTTTCCCACCATCTGTCTACACCAAATCCAAGTACATGTCCACCTCAGACCCACGCACAGCCTTTCTGCAAGCCCAAAGAATCTTTCCTAGCGCTCAGATGCAACGACACGTACAGAGCGGTCAGTCCTCTCTCGCAAGCGGTCAGTCCTTTGTTGTTCGCGCACGTAAATGTTGAGGCAAATCCCAATCTGATAAGTCAATGAGCAGCCGTCGGCTCGGCCCTCACCACTTGGAGCAAAGAGACAAAAGAGAGAGAGAGAGCAAAAAAGAAAAAAAAACCAACGGTCCATGTCCTGCCCTCACCTCTCCTTGGGAAAAGAGCAGAAACTAAAAAGAAAAGGAACGTGTTCATAGTTGTCACGAGTGGTGAGAAAGAACAGGCAAGTGCTTCTCTCGCTCTCTCCCGTCCGTATACAGCCCCGTGCATCCATCGCGCTTGTCCTTTGAGCAAACAATACAAAGACCGCGCGACTGCGCTTCCTTCTCAACATACTGCTGCCGCGGCCCCCCCCCACACCTTTCACACCCCCCCTTTTTTCCCACCCCCTTTCAGCCTTGTTTTTACCACACACTGGGCCTTCGACGTCGCTTTGGCTGACTGGGTTTTGGGGCAGCAAAGGCGTATATACAGATCAAACTTTTTTTTTGGAGGGGGTAACATTGGATTGGAGAGACGAAACGAATTCGAAAAAGAAGAAAAGAAAAACACACGGAATATAAGGGAAAAAGAAAGAAAAAAGAAAAACAACCAGGAAGAGGATACGGAACGAGGAGTGGGTTTTTGATTTCGCTTCACGCCTGGTGGTGGTGGTGGTCGTTTAGTTGAGCTTGTTTGCACTTTGGGGGGTTGTGCGAACGACAAAGAATTTTTTTTTACCTTGAGGGGGGGTTTCGGGCCAGGGAAATGAGTCGTTATAGCGATCGAGAGACGATGAGTCCACTTTCCAAGGCTGATCTTGGGAGAAGTGGTAATGGGACGGTGGCGAGTCCTACGCCGGTGACAAAGACGACGCCTGGCTTTCAGCTCAAACCGACAATCGTTGCGACCTTGTCAAGTCAAGAGGCAGGAGGATGCTACGACTCCTTTGTAACAGGCATAGAGTCGGCGTCGACTGTCCAGACCAACTCTTCCACAAGAGTAATAACAGCATCCTCCTGCCCCTCCGCCACCATCTCCTCATCCTCCACCACCACGTCAGCGGCATTCACCACGCCGCTTCACCACACAAACTACTCGACACCAGCAATCACCACATCCTCGCCAACACTCAATGTCGCAGGCATCCCCACACAGACTTGGGAAACACGAGCCTCTTCCTCACCAGCAGTGCTGATCTCGACCGCCACAGCAGTCCCCACACGGGACCAAAGCGAAGAGATGCCCGTGGGGACAAAGGTAGGCCTAGCCATGATACCCATTACTGTCGGTATCTGCGCATGGGCCATGGTCCTGCTGTTCCTGTGGCGACGACGCAAAGCACAACAATCACACCAGCGCCTCATGTCCATCTCATCTCGGCCTGAGAAAAACTACTCGCATCTGCTGCCATCGCTGGGCAGTACTTTCAGGGCGAGCCGGGTCTTCACCATGACTGCTTTTCATAGCCAGGACACTGAAAGCCAGAGGACACAGATCACTAGTGAGTCATTTGGGGGCGGCGTACACGCGCTTACTTGCGACCAAGTGGCCACCCGCGGAAGAACAATGGCAACATCACCGCCACGGAGCACTTCAAACCCAGGAAGGAGAAAGACGCCTTCGAATGCAGACTCGCCAATCGACGAGTCAAGTCCCTTCCGACTCACGCGCGAGGGCACCAGGCGAAACAGCTTGGGAGCGGAGATCTCTCATTTGTGGCCGGCGCCGCCGCCATCGGCCTGGACCAAGCGACAGGAAGTCCTCGAACAGCTGCCTTCATCGAGGTTTGGGCGCGACATGAGCTTGCCAAGATCGCTGCGTCCCAGTAGGCGGAGTTCGCAGAGTCCACCGCGCTCCATGCGGTCCATTAAAAAACCTGCCATCGGCGAATCCTGGCCTTTGCTATAGTCAATCGCTACAAGCAGCCGAGTAAGCTCTTTTTTAATGTTTTGTTATGATAATGACGGTCGGTCCTCAGAACGTTTCACTATACCCCCCCATCTGGATTCAGGCGTTCGGGAAAACCTTCACTCATGCACTTGTTCTGTAGACATGTTAACAGTTAAATTCTAATGATATGGCCAATAGACACACCCTATATTTCAATCTCTTTGTGCGTCCAAATGCAGCTCCACCGTAGTGTTCCTGAGGCTAGTGACCCGATCATCGTATCAAGACCTGGCGTCTGCTGCTGAGGTGTCGCCCCGTGGCGTGCACTTGCATACGCAGTCCTTGGCTCGGTACTTGCAGTGTCTCCTGGCTATTTCCTAAACAATCTTGGGTTTCCATCGCTATATTTTCACATGGCCTGGTGCCACGAAATCGTCACTGCGCTCAGTCGCTGGAAGAGCATCCTCGGCAGCCGCAGTTGACGCATTGAATCTCCTGGCTTTCGTTGAGCTGATCCTTCGGAACGCGACATATGCAGGTAGATCGAAAGTTTGTCTCCTTTGTTTGGATGCAGCGCGTGCAGCATAGCTGGATTGCGTTAGTCTTGCCTGTGTTCCTGTATGAGTACTTGTCGGCAACGTACCTTCTCGTAACCCTGCTTCTTCCACTTCGCAATCAGCATGGGATCTGCGTATCCGTTCTTGAGAAGATAGTCGTAGAGTTGCCTGCTGATGGCCTCCTTGTTGTAGTACAGGTCGTAGATGTAGCGCGAGCGCTGGTGGCTGATTTGGAAGATGGGCCATGTCATCTCGTACTTCTTCTTGCCCTCGTGTGATGCGTTCTCGGCGTCCCTCATCTTGGTCTGGAACTCCAGGAGCGTGTCCTCGATGTCGTCGAAGCCTTCGGGCGGGGCCTTGCGCGAGGCGCGTGCGGTTCTGACGGGAGGCATGCTAAGCGGTGGATGATCTTGGGATAGAGGCGGTGTTGCGTAATGTTTAGCTTATTTATTTCGGATAAAGCAGCTGCTTTCGGGTTTATGGTCTGACTGAGAGTTCTTGCTGTTCGTGGTGTTGAGTTGGTCAGCAACTTTGCGAATGTGAATGCGCCGCCAGGCAAATCCGCGCTAACGCCACGGCTTGGCACTCCACTCCACCCGAGCCGCATCGTCACTGCAACTCCAGCCCCGGATCACTTGGAGCTCCGCAACACCGTCAATATGGTCATTAACCCTACCTACCTCGCCCAGCGCACGCGCTCATGTGAGTGAAACACGGAGGTCGAGCATTGGGCGGATTAAGGCTAATGTGAGCATAGCCATCAACTGGGCGGATGCGAAGAAGAGGGTCATTCACAACTACCGGGACTGGCTGCGGGCGGTATGTACATTCCGTACAACCTACAGAGTGTGGAGATGGGAATAATACAGGCCCAACCATGATTGCTGCTGAAGAGGAGGGGCCGGAGCGAGACAGAACGCGTCGAGTTGGAGAGGAGCGGGCAGCAGCATCGACGTACAAGCGCATGAGGCTGACAGCAATCCTACAGGCTCCCGAGATCCAGACCATGTACTCGCTCAACATGCCCGTATCCCAACTGCGGACCAAAATGCGGCAGGAATTCGAGCGGCATAGATACGTCAATCAAATAAAGACAGTCGATGTGCTGCTCTTCAGCAGCCACCAAGAATTCCAGGTACGGCACAGATCGAGCGCGGGACATGAATACACGGGCCGGGGCGCTTGTGCTAATGTATGCCTAGGAAACGCTCAACTTCTGGAAGCAACTGTCACACGTGCTAAAGTACTTCCGCACCGAAGAGGAGCCCACGGCGACGCTGCCCAAGAACTTCATCAACGGATTCTTGCAGGTATGCATTTGACTCAAGCATAAAAGCGCAATCGCAGAATACTGATTCATGTTTCTAGGGTCGCAACTGAGTGGGCCTTGTGCTCTGGATTCGGAATTGAAATCAAGTCCAAGATGCGATATATATAGCCAAAGACAATACCATTTTCCTTCCGTTCGCCGTTGATCATGCTGTCCGTGAACGCCAACAATGCAGTAATGTCGCAAACCTCTACTACGGGTTTACTCTTCCATCTTATTCACAAACTCGTCTCGTGCAATGGTAAACTTCTTCTCAACCACATCGCACATGGCCATCAAATCTTCAAGGCCCTTCTCTAGGACAGTGTAGACGCTGACGCCATCTGAAGTCTTGTCAGTAGTACTTATGCGCGACAGGACTGGAAGCGTACCATAAGTCTGAATGCGCAGGTTCATCTTTGCTTCTGACGGGTGCGGAATGGAATAACCGCAGAACTCGACATCGGGGCTAAGACAGAGTTAGCTATTGGTAATAAATTTACAAAGTTTGTTTTACTTCTTGTGGATAATGTATCGCAGCGCGTTGCCTAGCGTGTGATCCTCGCCGTCAAACTGGAACGATGCCGCTGTGTCCGTTGAGCCAGAAAGCTTTCAACGAGGTCAGTCGCAAGTCTTCACACTTGATATCGCATTTCAACATACGACTCGGATCCTGTCGCGATCGACCGATGGGTCAATCTCCTCGTTGGTCTCGGACGTCGGGTCCAAGATCTGGACTGGCGTAGATTCTTGCGTGGCGCCGGGCATGGCTGTATGTCGCTGGCTTTCACGGACGGGTAGCTCAAGAGTGATATTCAGAGGCTGCGTGACGCGGTTCTTAGGTGCTGTCTCGAGGAGAAGCGTGACTTTGCAGTATCACAAATTTTGGGGCGAGGGCGGACTTTGGTTCGGCGACGCGGTGGTTGGCCAGAACTTTTTTCCAGCCCTACATGTCTTGGCACGCATGACGTGGGGCGTGGGGAAAGTCACCACCTCTCCGAAGCCGCCGCAACTTTTTTGAGCAACGTCCCTTGTCCCTCCGAACACCGATTGAGCCCCCAGAAGTCAGGACCCTGATCATCCCAAACCTCCAATTCCATTCCACACATCAGACGCTTCCAGACGCCACAATGCCGCGTGCCTGCACCCTCAACCGCGATACCAACGAGACAAAGATCCAAGTCTCGATTAACCTCGACGGTGGCGACCTGGCACCCTACGAGCACAGCGACTTCTGGGCCGCCTACGACAAAGAAAAGCTCAACGGCGAGGGCGAAAAGATCGACAAGGACCATGCTACCCAAAAGTCTGCATCGCAGGAGATTTCAGCCGACACGGGCATCGGCTTCCTCGACCACATGATTCACGCTCTGGCCAAGCACGCCGGATGGAGTCTTCGCATACGGTGCAAAGGTGACCTGCACATTGACGACCACCACACGAGCGAAGACGCCTTTATCGCACTCGGCTCGGCATTCAAGAATGCGCTACAAGGCAGTACGGGACTTGCGCGCTTTGGACACGCCTATGCGCCGCTGGACGAGGCGCTGTCAAGAGCCGTGATTGACCTGTCCAACCGCCCGTATAGCGTTATTGATCTTGGGCTCAAGAGGGAGAAGATTGGAGACTTGAGCTGCGAGATGATTCCTCATTGTCTGCAGAGCTTCGCCCAGGCGTCTGGAACCACGCTGCATGTGGATTGTCTCAGGGGCGACAACGACCACCACAGGGCCGAGAGTGCATTCAAGGCGCTTGCTGTGGCAATCAGGCACGCGACCACGGTCGTGAAGCAGTGGGAGGGCGAGGTCAGGAGTACAAAGGGTGTGCTGTATTAGATTCTGGTTTAGTAGGTAGACCAATGCGATATCAAGAAACGAGAATGACTGCATGGAAATTACCACTCCTAATGGGTCTATTGGGCGTCTGAAGACATTACCAAGCTAAGCGACCATACTTGTTAACTGTTGATCCTGAGCTGACGGTTCTTCGAACTTGAAACCAATGTCTTGGTGGCGTATCTTGTAAGTATTCCGGCAAAGAACCCTCGATGCGTGTTAAGTGAACATACGATTGTTAGTACTTCTACCGCATGACGGGAATCTTGGGGGGGTCCTGAGTTTGTTACTGATTAGATGGTGGACAGCATATCCCTCGCCTGTCCAGTTCTCGTTGCAAACGCCATCGCGAACCAAGAGTTGTGTCTGGACCTCTTTAGTGCTACTTTGTTGTATCATTGCCATGGTGTGGGCGATGAATCTGGTGACGTTCTCTTCGGAATAGCTCATGTCACTGGGAAAGATGTTCGTAGAACTGTCTCCAGTGGATTCCGGCAGTGCCGTGAAACAAGACCCTTCTTCTGTCTGCATGGCGATGGTGGCGAGTAGACTCAGACTGTGATGAGTGGCTTCAGTAACAGCATGTATGTATGTCAAGGATGGAGGTTCTCCTGAGACCCCTACCGAAGCGAGCATGGCCCAAGCTCAATCCCGCGGCATCGCGAGTGGAGCTCCAGCATCAACACGCCGACGCCGCCAATTCCCTGCCGACGCCTGGCTCGCTCTTTCACGCCGCCGCTATGCTCTCCGGAATCCTCATCTTCAACCAAAAGGGTGAGAACCTCATATTTCGCGCATTCCGCAACGACTGCCGCCCGCGACTTGCCGACGTCTTCCGCATCCAGGTCATTTCCAATGCCCAAGTCCGCTCGCCCATCCTCACCCTGGGCTCCACCACCTTCAGCCATGTCAAGCACGAGAATATCTACCTGGTCGCCGTCACCAAGAGCAATGCCAATGCCGCACTCGTCTTTGAGTTTTTGTACCGTCTGGTAGGCCTGGGAAAGGCATACTTTGGCAAGTTTGACGAGGAGGCTGTCAAGAACAACTTTGTCCTGGTATACGAGCTGCTGGACGAGATCCTCGACTTTGGATACCCCCAGAACACCGAGACAGATACTCTGAAGATGTACATCACCACCGAGGGCGTCAAGTCGGAGAGGACAATGGTAGGTCCCTTGGTCCGCACCACGAGGGGGAGTGCTGACAACGCAACAGGAGGACTCTTCCAAGATTACCATGCAAGCAACGGGTGCGCTTTCATGGCGGCGAGCCGACATCAAGTACCGCAAGAACGAAGCCTTTGTCGATGTAATAGAGGACGTCAACTTGCTCATGTCTGCCACCGGTACAGTGCTCCGAGCCGACGTCAACGGGCAGATCATTATGCGCGCATATCTCTCAGGCACCCCGGAGTGCAAATTCGGCCTCAACGACCGATTGACGCTGGGCGAGGACCATCTACACCAACCTTCGGGCAACAAGGCAGGCGCAAAGGCGACGAGGGCAGCAGCCGGCAGTGTCACGTTGGAGGATTGCCAATTCCACCAGTGCGTCAAGCTCGGAAAGTTTGACGCGGACAGAATAATATCCTTCATACCGCCAGATGGCGAGTTTGAGCTCATGCGATACCGAGCGACCGAGAACGTCAACCTGCCCTTCAAGGTCCATGCCATTGTCAATGAGGTCGGCAAGACAAAGGTCGAATACAGTATTGCCATCCGTGCCAACTACGGATCCAAGCTGTTCGCAACCAACGTCGTCGTACGGATACCCACACCTCTGAACACCGCTCGCATCACCGAGCGAACCTCGCAGGGCAAGGCCAAGTACGAGCCAGAGCATAACAACATTGTCTGGAAGATTCCGCGGTTCACGGGCCAGAGCGAGTTCGTCCTGAGCGCTGAGGCTAGCCTAACAAGCATGACAAACCAAAAGGCGTGGTCGCGGCCGCCACTCAGTCTCAGCTTTTCATTACTCATGTTCACAAGCTCTGGGCTACTCGTCCGCTACCTCAAGGTGTTTGAAAAGAGCAACTACAGCAGTGTCAAGTGGGTGCGTTACATGACCCGGGCAGGTAATTATGAAATTAGGTACGTTTTTCCCCCCCCCCATCTATACACCTCCTAAACTACATGATCTAACGAACTCTCACTAGGTTCTGAGCATCGGGAACTTTCCGCATTATTCCTATTCTTATTCTTATTCATACAATTCGTGTTGCATTGTAGGCGTCGGGAGGGGGGCGGGACTTGCTATCTAAGATATCCTTGAATATAATCGAAGCACTATTCCAGCTTGTCGAAAATTTGCAATGACAATGGCCTGAATGGTCCGAAATGTACAGTGCATATAGTGCAGCTGAAAAGGGGAGTGTCTTGACCCTATTTAGCCGTTTCGAAGTTTTCCCTTGGGCGGGGGTTCACTTCCAAGGCACAGGAATAAGGGTTTTTATTTTGATGTATCACGATGGAGAAGGAAGATACATGATATGGACTGCTGGAACGTGCGTAGGCAGGCCCTCTGACTACCATACATATCCCCACGTGTGCCCAGAAGACCCTGCTTTTCTTCCCTCGATGAACATATCGATTGCAGCGTTACCATGGTGGAAAAAGATTCGCAGAGTATCCGCATCATCAGTCAGCTCTTTGATAAGAGCGAAGAATCCGAGAAAAGTAAAAATGAGAAACCGTCAATCTGCTGTTACAGTAAAAGCTGGACCTATGTACTTGGTGCCAGTGTTATGTATGTACTAAGCAACAGTCGTTTTTTTTTATACACAATTACTCGTACCGCTCTGACCACCCACACATCTGATCCGTCCTAATGTACATGAAATCTTTTACAAAGAAACACTCACTCCCTCGTGACTCATGAATCGTTGTCGTCGCCGTCGTCGTCGTCGTCGTCGTTGTATATACATCATGTGAACAATATTTTGACATACACACATACACAGACAAAATACCCACATGAGAACTGCCAGTAGATGCCAACAAACAAGCCAACAAGCCAACAAATAAACAAACTTACTCTTTCTCAGACCCAGAACCCACCCACAAAGGTACCTCGTCAGCCTTATCGCCACCACCACCGCCGCTGCCAGCGCCAGTCCTGCTCGCCCTCGGCCGCTTGAACTTTCGTTCGGCCAGCTCGGCGCCAAAACGCAGGAGTTCCTTCTCTGCACCCGATAATTCATCGTGAAGTCGCTTCTTGGTTACGGTTGTTTGCTCGTACTTATCCTTCATCTCCTTTGCTTTTACATCTAGCTCTGCAAGACGGGTGTGTAGGGCTGCGACTTCAGCTGCGGTTGCGTCTTGCTGCGCTTTGATGCTGCGGAGCTCGTGCGCATATGTGTCGCTGTCTGCTTCGGCTTGGCGGTATGCTGAGATGAAGGTGAGGGGTGAGTGGGGGTTTGGGGGTTTATCTTTCTGGGGGGGTTTCTTTAGTGTTTGTGTGGTGGTCGTGTGAATTGGGGACTTACGAGGGGGGTGTTTGCGCCTTTGTTTGGGGCCGTGGGCTTGGGTGTTGAAGCTGGAGTTGGCGTTGGCGTCGGAGTCTTGGGTGATGGCATTGGTGCCGGTTTATTCTCTTTATGCGGCTTACTGCCGTTTTGGCGGATGGAGAAACAGTGGGTATTTGGCATGGGGTTTTGGGGAGCTGGCTTCGGAGTGGCGGGAGGAGGTAGCATCTGCGACTGGAAGGCTCTCGAATGCTTGGCAGTGGGTGATATTTTCTGCGTAGAGGCTACGGGAGCTGAACTAGGAGTAGAGCGTGGAACTGCAGAAGCTGAGCGTGGAGGTGCTGAAGTTGGGCTTGGAGCCTGGGATGCGAAGCCTTTGGGTGGAGCGGTATGACGCGGGCTCTCTGGAATGAAAAGACTACTGCTGTCAGGAGATGAAGGTGATTGTGTTGAAGCATGTGGTATCGACGCACGCTGCGAAATGGCTTTGGCTTTGGCTGGTGCCTCTTTAGCTTTGTCTGTCAGTGTCGTCGTGTCTCGTAGTAAAGTAGTCGACTCCCTCCGCTGATATACCGCAGCAGTTGCTGTCTCGCGCTCCTGATATCTCTGCTTACTTCGCTCAGCACTCTCCGCGTGGTTACGAGCTGCGTTGCACGCTGCAGTCAGTGCTTTGATATAATGCGAGTCGATTCGCCACGGCACCGGTGGGTTGACCCGTTTGACGATGAAGTAGTACTTGATGACGGCCCGTAAGTGCAACATTTCAATGACGCCTTCTTTCTTCAAACACCTGAACGCAGGCGCAATGGCAGTCTGGCGTACGGCGTCATCGGCTGACAGGCCGCGTACAGGATTACCATGGCGATCAAATACGTTGAACCGCTGTTCAGGCGCGCGCTCGCTGTCCCCATTCTCAGGCTTGGTCAGTAGAATCCAGACTTGCTCTCCTTTGTCACTGTCTTTCAGCTGGCCGAATAGTATGCGTATGCCTAGCGAGTTTGGGCGGTCTCGTATTTTATCTTCAACTGGAGCGGCAGAAACAGATTTGACAGGCAAGTGATTGAGTAGCAGTGCATCTTCACGCATATGAGCCCGTATGTTTTGCTCCGCTTTCTCATCCTCTGTCTCAGTCTTTCTTGTTGGTGTTGGTGTTGCCATTTTGAGCTTGTCTGTCATGTCTTCTGTAAGTCCGTTAGTGTATCCTTGCACAGCATCAGCTTGTGATACTTACTTTTTATACTTGTATGATCTACTTTGAGATGCGACCACAGCGTTGGCTCTCGTGACCGCGTGTTTTTTATGCTTAGAGTTGGGTTGTTTGTGTACTGGTGGGTCCTTGTGTGACGGCAACTAGTAGCGGGGAAACTAGCGCGTCTGGCGGGAGAGCACGAGTGAAACAGGGTTCCACATCTGCCTGTACACACAGCGTCCCACATAAACCAAATGCTACAACTGCAAGGTTTCGGGAGAGGGAGAAACTGATAACAGTAATTAAGGCGATATCGGCATCGGACCACTGCTCTTCTCAGTAGGGGAAACTTAGCCCAACTATACATGATATGAGCTATCCGAATACAGCAAAGTGTAGCAAACGAAGGAAACACCACAGAGTAAGCCTGGTGAGCTGTATTGAGACATGGAACAAAGTATCAACTGAGAATAACTACATGGACAATTGGCAAACTCGATGTCTCTGACCGACTGCTCAGAGCTGAAAATGAATATCTAGTACCGGCGCGCTATCCTCTGTTGTACAGACCACAAGAACGCATAGTGCAGAATGGCTAGGAAATCCTAACCTTATGACTACGTCCCTGATGTCGTGCGGAAGCCTCAAATCGCACGTGAGCTTCACATACAGCTCATAGGCTGCCCTTGCGACGCTTCTCCTCCTGCTTCTGGTTGTCGATGTTACTCGTCCTTCTGATCATCTCATACAGAGTCCGCTCTTTATCTGGCAGCGTAGACCAAAGCTTCCTTTCCTCCTCGTTGAGAGTTTCGTAATTCTCGTGATGCGCCGCCTGCTCCTTCTTGAGCTCATTTCGTCCTTCATGCAAAGACATGATCTTCTTTTGCATAGAATCAATTTTTTCTTGGATAGACTTGATCTCTTCCTGAGCAGCCTTGATCACTTCGTGCGTGACCGTGATCTCTTCACACATCATCTTGTCTTTTTTCTCTCCAGCCTCAATCGCTCCCGAGATTCTACACTTTGCTCCGAGTAGTCGCATCAACGGCGGAGTTTCGGAGTTCATTGTTTGCGTGCTTTCACGGATTTGACGCTAAATATGTTAGCTATATCGTATCATGTAGTGTGAAAGATTCATCTTACATGCTGAGAGGGTGTGTAGTCTGTGACTCCTTGTGGTGTTGCAAAGACAAAGGAAGAGCTTGCAGCGTTGTCGTTGGCGGTATTGCTAGGACCGAGACGTTTACCTTGGTCGGAATCAGCATAAAATCCAGTGATTTGTAAAGGACGTTTGAGCTTCATCATACCTTCCATGGAAGTCGAGGGAGTCTGCCTGTTGGAGAATGTATTGCTAGGTGTGCTGGCCTGAAACGGAGAGAAGACCTCAGGGCGTGTGGCCCGGCTGACCACAGGAAATACTTTGCAATAGCTGAGAACAAATGACTTAAATGTTGCGTTGAGTCTGATCTGGGACGATAGTTGTCTGCCTTGACGAGACAAACTCCAAAGGAGATGGTACTTGGCCACATGAGGGAGTTGAGCGTGGGAGGGCTTGTTGGTACCAAAGATCTTGTCGAACCTGAAATTGTCGTCGGAAAAGAGAGCGTCCTTTGTTATTCTTGTATCAAGGTATCCGTCACTGCCTAGAGTGCTGTAATAGACATCAGGGAGGTCATTCTTAGGCTTCGGGTTTTGACTGATACAGGCGTAAACCTCCACATCTCTCCCTGCTTCCTTGGTACGACCAATTAGAAGCAGAGTGGTATGGATGGGCCAGTTTTTAACGATAGTGGTGCGAGTCTGTTGCAACACAACGTCATTGTAGGGTAGTCTCCCCAATAGAGCACTATTGTTAGGCTCCTGGATGAAGCTTTCGAATGTCGTAGACATGTCAGAGAATGATAGTGGCTTCTAGACAAATATGTAAGTAAAGTTGCTACACAGAGCTGTCCGAAGTGTGGTGTAAATTCCTTACAGGCTGCGCAGTGGAGTGGTATGTTGAGGCAAGTTGAAGAAAAGGTTGCAACACTTTAGGCAGCTATGCCTTTTTATTTATTGTAGTGGCAATTATGCCGTATAGCTATATTAAAGAAAGAAAGAAAGCAAATGAAAACAAGTGAAAGCAAATAACAATATCCAAACGTATAAACCTGGTGAAGCGAGGTGAAGGTAGCGTTCAGAAATTCTAAGGCGCTGTTTGGTAAGTGCCGATTAATTGGTTGGGTACATTATTTTATCTCTCTGTGTGAACCTGGTGGGTGGTAGGATCCTGTCAAACTCTGTTGATGTTTTTTTAGAAGTGATACCTAATTTTGACTCTCGTGAAAAGATCAAGCTACAAATGTGGTGAATGTTATTTGCCTGACGAGAGCATAGTTGATCATATCAGCCTGATTTTGGTCGATGGTTATTTCGATAAAGTTTTATATGTTGATTACATTTCACACGAAGCAGACTCCTGTTAAGTCCAATTTAAACATCTTTATCCTGCTCAAATGATAGCATGCCCTCAGCATAGCTCTCCCGAAACCCAATAATGTCCACCAATGCAAATAATGCCTTACCCAGTCATTCCCAAAACATCAAATGACATACCGTTCCACCATACCAAGAATACCTCATCGAATGAGAATATCAAATCGGAATCTCGCCAGAGACTTCAGAAGAAGTCTTCTGGCGCTTAGCCGTAGGCTCGCCGTTGCCGTGAAGCTCATCGTGCGCGAACTGGACAGCCAAATGCCAGAAACCCGCAATATCAGGATCCATCTCGCTCAACTGCCGTTTCTCGCTCTTGAGTCTCTCGCTCACAGCCAACGTGTCCGCCTCGATCTGGGCGTCTGTGTCGGTTATCTCCCGCTTCTTCGCGCTGATTTTTTCTGTGATCGCTGCCCTTCTGCGCTTGATGTCTTCCTTCACACGCTGTATAGTGGCCTCAAAATCCTCTTCTTCCAGTTGAAGTTCTTTGAGTTCAGCGATGTGGTGCTCCTTCTCAGCAGCCTTTTGTTGGATCGTGCTGCTTAGGATACTTCGATGTTTACGTGAGGCAGACAGTGACTGGACAATGTTGCGGATCTTATCGCACTGCGGAGTCTGAAGCAGGTCAGTATATAATAGCTCGTGCTTGTATAGCTCAGTATGAAAACAGACCAATGGCTGAGAAGCAGATGGTCCTGTGACTCCTTCTGGACGCAGTCGAGGGCTGACAACGGCATCTGGGTTGGAAGTTTCGGACGCATGATTCTCACACGCAGCGCTACTTGCGTCATGTTCGGTCTTAATCGACATCTGCGGGCTGTGATGCTGCTGTTCTGTCGATGTTGTAATCAGAGGTGGTTCCAAACTTGTGACGCAGCTAGTATCGTGTCCGGAAATGGTCTCGGTCGTATACATGAGCTTCATAAAATTAGAGCAGATCAAAAGTGAAGATTTCACGTATGTAATACTTACCGGGTCAGTTACTGAATGATCCTGAGTGAGGATGAGGGATGATGCATTCATGCCAAGCGTATCTGCCAAACTCTCACTCGTACTCAGTTGCCTGGGAGCACTCTTCCTTGTCTCATGTTTGCTCTTATTCGCATAGTCTTTGAACATCTGACATCCCTGAATCAAATCTAGGTCTGGCACTGGAATTGGCACTGAGAGCGTAATGCCTTTGCGAACAAAGAAAACCTTGAGGACACCTCGAAGCGCTTGGAAATGAATCTTGCCGTTTTCGCTTACTAAGGGCCTCCAGAACTCGTGAACTTGGAGAGCACCATATGACTTCTTGATATCCTCGACGCTCATCATAGTCAACTTCATCTTTGCAGTAAGTCCGACGAACGTCATAGAGGGCTCTTTGTTGTCGAACGAAGGAGACCGAAGATACACGTAGACCTGAGACATGGTGGCTTCATCCTCCTGATACATGCCAAAGAAAAGCCTGGAAATGCTGGACCGGTGTTTCGAGCGCTTGGGTTTATACGCCCTCTCGTACTCCTCGAAGAGTTGATCAACTTCACTTGCAGAAGGAAGATACTGGAGGATATCCGCGTCCGCACCCAGCACTTCGACGAGCTCTTCGTAAGTTGTAGCTTTGGTAGACTTTGATTCACTCATTGGAGTGGGCGAGGTGACTGGAAGGCCTGGATAAGTCAGCGCGCCCGTTCTACGTTTCGCAGAACGTTTCGCAGAACGCCAGGAGGATACTTACCGCAAGAGGGTGGAGATTTCGAGCCGTCAGTCATTTTTGGAGTGAGGTTGTAGTTCGGGAAGCGTAACAAAGAATGTTTGTAAGTGAGATGGGTAGAGTGCTAGGTAGCGGGTCACATGAAGGATTAGGAAGAAGGAAACGCGCCAAGCGTCATGAATATATGCACCAGCCAAGTGAAGGTGCCCTGGGGAATATTATTCCGAAGTAAAGGAGCAGAGTGATAGAAGAAACATGTAACCGTATTCTGTATACTGGCTCTTCTTTTGACCACTCGTGTATATTACTAGCTGCTAGCTAAGTAAAGGCGCAGGCCATACAAAACACCAAAATATTCCCTTTACCCCAACATAGCTATACATGCGGAGGAGAGATTCGGATTTCAGTCCAGTCTGCGGCGCTTAGCATTATGCGAGCGCTCCACCTTTCTACCCAATTCGAATGCAGCCTCAACGTCCAAGCTACGGAACAAGATCTTGCGCCGAGCCAAGATGTCAGCTCTTTCTTGCTCGTTCTTTTTGCGCTGGCTCTCAAGCTCGCGGCATCTTAGCTCCATCGCAGTATGCTCCTGGCGGAGTTTGTGGAGTTCGGCGTTGATCGTTTCAGTATTGGCTTCGATTTGCATTTCCATTTCGTTGAGGTCGGCCAGGTCGGAGAGCATATCGTCGTCATATGACATTTCCATGGCCTTGATGGGTCAGCTTGGCTTTTGGGTGCTTGTTTGCAATCGACTTACGCCCTTGTCAACCATGTTCGGCACCTGAGGTGCGATGGGGACATTAGACTCTCGCGGGGCCGGGGTCTGCTTCTGGAGCCTCTCCGGCAAGACAGTCCCGTCGATAGTCATGTCGCTGTCCTGGGTGTTTACCAGTGTAACTGATGATGCGCGTGACTGCCTGCTAGACGGCGTAACCTTGATCTCGTCCTTGACTTCGCTGCAGGCCGACTTTAAGTCGTTGAGGAAGCTCTTGTTGACAGGCAGGGGGTACTTCAGCTCGCAGATGCCGTTCTCGTTCTCCTCGATTGCGAGAATCTTCAAGAAGTAGTACTTTGCCAGCGCGGTGCATTTTGCCCTAGACGGTTTCTTGGACATCTTGAAGGCTGGAGTGTAATCGGTCACTGCAGCACAGATGTTTTGACCATCATGAATGACCCATTCTTCTGGCTCGGCTTCCCATGAATAGAAATGTACTCTAGATTGAGAATCTTGAGTTGGTGGGAAGAGTACAATCCAGACTTTTTCTTGCTTGGCAGGCGAGCGGCTCGGAATGCTGCCCAGTTCTAGCATGAAGGATATGGCTTTTGGTTCGTGAACCTGCCGGTGAGCGACATCGTGAAACGGTAGCTTGTCGAGAAACGCAACAAGTGGCTCTCCCAACTGCTTACGGAGCTCAGCTAGGTTGGCCGAGGCAACATGTGATGTCTTTGAGCTGCGCTCCACTACTGTCGTTAGTTGTATCGCGAGACTGAATCGTTCACGTACTGGTGTTTGGTCTCTTGACTTCCCTCGCCACAACAGGCTGAGAAGTCCTCAGCGAATAGATTTTGTCTATTACGATAGGACGAACGTGAGTCGTGTAAAAGTCGCGTGGATTGTTTGGAGGTTGTTTGGCGTGACGCGTCGTGGGGTCTATCACGCAAACGCTCGGTTCAGCCTTCACTTGCGGACTGCGCTGAAAGCGACAAGGCAGCAACAGCCATAGCTATGCCGGTGAAACCTTGACGTCAGGGTATATTCCATTTGTCCAACTCTTCTCTGGCTCCTCGACCCACTAGAGGGAAAGCAAGCAAGAAGCCTCAATCATCGTGAATGTGAACGGGCAAATTATGCTCAAACAAGCCTCGTTATTGTAATATACACGATATTTCTGTCATCTTTCTCCGGTCACATGATGCGTGATAGCGATTGGAAGCATTAATGCTTTATCACAAGTTGCGCATGGCAGAGATTGGAAACATTCGTGTCTTATGCCGTGGCAGCATTGCAATATCCCAATGCATAAGATATTCAGGGCACAAGCTTCAAGCCAGAACCGATAGATACATAACAGAAGAGAAGTAGTAATAACGCAGCAAAATGAGGAGGGAGTACTCATTCTCTAGCTACGATATCTCTGTATCGTTCATATACCCGACCCAAAAGCAGTTACGTGCGCACTGCTCTATTACAGCATATGCACATAACGAGAGGTTAAACACCATCAGTGTCTTATGTATATGTCAACCTGCTATTTTCCATCTAGTCATATGCATCGTCTGAAACCGTATTTCTTCGCACTGCCTGAAGTAACTTCTCCTCCGCTCCCACCACCATGCCATTATGTCCCTGCAACACCTTCCCAGATTCTGAGACCCTGAATCTCCTAGGTCGACTCAGAATCCTCTTCTGAAGGCTCCTCCGCTGAAGACTCGCTTTGTTGCTGCTGCTCTGCAAGTTCATTCAGCATATCCCTGATGTAATCCATTCGTCTGCTATTCTCGGCGACAGCATCCTGCAGCATGTGCAGCAGATGCGTGATAGCAGCGACGGAATGATTCGTTTGTCTTTGTGCCTCAGCGACTTTCTTCTTGATCTTTCTGATGGCGGTTTTCCGCTGTTTGCTGGGATCGCTGGGATGATCGGCGAGAGTGGAAAGAGGACGGCGACTCAGCGCATTGAGAGGTCTGTCTGGAAAACCATCTTGGAGGAGCGAACGGTGCATGTGCTCGCAGACAACTTCATGCAGAGATTCGTCAGGCGCGTTGTTCTCTTTCTCTGACCCGTTAGAAGCGGTGTCGGTCTGAGATGCTTCGTCCTCATGCATCGGTCTGCCTGAGCTAGATCTGGCGGCAACACCCAACACTTCCGATTGAGCAGAGCCCAGAACGATGGTCGAACCGCCCCGAAAACTACTGGAGTTTGTTTCCGAAGGAACGGTACGGCGCATAAGCCTGCCAGCCTTTTTGGAGGTATTGGAAAGTTCGGACACGACTTCATCATTGTCGTCATCGAAGGCATTTGCCGACTTGGTCATGGAAGCCCTAGTTGCGCGACGTGCTAAACTCCCAGCGCCCACTGATTGATGCCTGCGAGACTTTGGCTCGTCAAACTCAGTCTCCTCTTCACTAGCCAATGCATCATCATAGTCTTCGTAGTTCGAGCTAGATCTTGACACCGCCCTTGCCATACCAGCGCGGTCGGCATATCCGGGTCTACCGCGGTGTTCTGGAGTCTTGGGCCTACGCTGCGGAGACTGGACTTCGTCTTCGTACACGCAAATGTCTGATTCCCCAGGGGACGAAAGTCGGGTGCCCCACTCCTCGCACACCGCTTTCAGATTATGGACGAATGTCTGATCGATGGGGATGAAATGGTGCTCGAAGCCATGATACGAAGCTTCAGCAGCAAGGAGGAAGTAGTACTTGATGATCGCATACAGCTGTGCTTGGCTGCTAGCTTCCTTGAAGACGGGAAGAAGATTGACTCTGCAAGTTTCGATATCATCCTCCCAAACGACCTTTTCGAGGTTGCCGTAGATGTTTTCCACTTCCATAATCATATCTGGACCGATGGCGGAGTTCGAGCTAGGTTTCAGATATGCCCAGACTGGGTTTCCCCACTTCGCCATGTCGTGTATGCCGTAGTCGCCAAGAAGTAAACGTAGTCGGGCGTATTCTGTAGGCTTGCTATGCGTTGAAAGGTCCAAGGAGCGATAGCCTGGGAGAAGCGAGAGCAAGTGTGGTTCAATTCGATCCCTGAGAGCGGACAGGGCATCCGGTCCGGCGGGCGCGATGACATTTGTCGTTTGGGGTCTTGCATGGTCTGAGGTACTTTTTTCGTCGCCCTCTATATGGGAACTGGAATCATGTGGTGTAGTCGAGTTGGTCGTTTCGTGTTGAATGTATGAGGGGGGAACAGGTACACCTTCGGGGATCTCTTCTGGTGGGTTGGCCACATTATTGAACGAAGTGCCTTCTAGATCATGTTCCGCATCTGCAGATTTGGTAGCGTCCTGGAGCCAAGAATAGATGCGAGACGCATTCTCTTCATGATCCCTATGGTGCTGTCTCTTTCTACGCTCATCGTTTAAGTTGTTTGGTTGTGCCTCAGTGCGGGCTGGATGATCGGACCCAAGCTCATCTTCATCGTCTGCTTGGCAGGAACCGATGGAGTGTTCAACCGATGAGGCGCCATGTTCCCTTTCGCTCTTTTTATTTGATCTTCGGGCCCCTGGAGTCTTTCCAGTACCTTCATGACTGTTTGTGCCGTGTTTGTTCGTAGTCGTGTGAGATTTTCTTGAGCGCTTCTCAAGTCCGGAACCAGAAGTGGAAGCAGCCATGGCGGGCCAATCTTTGCGCCCTGTCGAGGTCGTGGGATGTGAACAGTTTGCAATCCTAAGGTCACGCAAGAGAACTTGGAAGACGCCAAGTAGCCTTGGTAGTGCGGGCTCGTATGTCGTCTCGCGCTCAGTGCCGTGTTTTTCCGCTTGGAGGCTGAGAAAAGTTAAGTATTTCCGTTCCGAACACGCAGTCGCGGTGGAGATTCGTAGAGTCGGGTTGTTCCCACTACCAGCCAAATGCGCACAAGTTATATGCTCAGGAGGGTGTGAGTGACACGCAGCCCCAGTGACGCGACCAGTAACCGCCGGGTGGACGTTACTAGTTCGAGAGGGTCGTCGAAGATTTGGGTGAATATCTCCCCTTTCAGTCAAGCGCGTTGCGTGCCGCGCGAGGGACCGGCCACGTAGAGATAGAACATCGTGTTGACCAAGAAATCATAGCCGACAAGGAAGAACATTCACATGCCGCACCCGGGCCTTTGACCTCGCATTCGATCCTTTTCTATAAGTTGTCCCGGTAGAAAGAAAAGGCCAAGGGTGTGAATGCCCGTGTTGATCAAGACGACCAGGGCTTTGGCGCTGCTGATGGACGATAGACTGTACCGAAGAGCATAGTAGGCGGGACATGGTTTACGATTGTAAAATGTGAAGTGATGCTGCACGCCAAAGGGCACAGGTTGAGATTCATATTAAACCAATACAACGACTACCAAAGACTGCAAGAGGAAACGAAACGCCAAGGCACCTGCACATTTGATGAGAATAGTAACGGATCGTCTGTCATAAATTCCAGTCGTCGTGAAGTGCACTGTTTGCCATTCTTGACCATTCAGCCCTCGCCAACTTACCAGAGCTCGCACGTCGGCTCCTTAACCTTGCACTGGAAACTCTCCCTGAATTCCCTTGAGTTTGCCATTGTTCCCAAGATCCTGGCCCACTTAGGCGCATGAGGATCAGTGTAGATGCGGTTGATTGCAGTGTCCTTGCGCGTCTTGCCACACCACCAGTTGCTGTAGCTGACGAAAAACATCTGCTCTTGGGTGAAGTGGTCCAAGCCAGGGAGGTTCTTGTTGGGTGTCTCGGCTGAGCGGCGCTTCCATGCTTGGAAAGATGCCGATAGACCACCAGCATCAGCAATATTCTCGCCGAGTGTGAGACGTCCGTTCACGTGGAGGGGCTTGTCGTCGGGGCCTGGGACTGTGAAGTTGGCGTACTGCTCGACAAAGCATTGAACCTTGTGGTTGAAGGCATCGATTGTGTCCTTGGACCACCAGTCTGTGTAGTTGCCATTCTGGTCGTAGTGGCGACCTGTACTGTCGAATGCGTGGCTCAACTCGTGGCCAGCAACAGAACCAAATGCACCATAAGACATGTATGCAGGGACGTTGACGTCAAAGACGGGAAACTGCATGATACCTGCCGGAAAGACGATTTCATTGCCAGGAGGGTTATAGTACGCATTCACTAGGTCAGTTAGCAGATGTATCAAGAGCATCCAGAGTACAATCACTCACCAGTCGGGACGCTCATGTCCCATTGGTCGCGATCAACGGGCTTGCCGAGAGCGGACCACTCTTCCTTGACGCCAAAACGACGCATAGCAAGCGCATTCTTGAAGAAGGCATCTGGGGATACATTGACCGTGTCGTAGTACTGCTCAAGCGTAGGCGGGTCCATAATGTCCGGGCTCTTGGTTGGGTAACCAATCTTCTGCACGATGTTGTGAACCTTCTCGACGGCCTTCTTGGTGGTATCGTCATCCATCCAATCAGCCGCCTTGAGCTTTTTGGTGAATTCGGTCTTGATGTCCGTGATGATGATGTCACCGAACTCCTTGGCTTTGGCAGAAAATGCCTTCTCAACGAAGAACCGACTGAGAATCCACGCTAGGCCGTTGTCGACGTGGTTGACGCATGTGCGCCATCGCTCTGGAGCAGAGTCGGGGTCCTATTCAAGTCAGAAATCATGCTTATCACGTGGAAGGAGACGTATGTACCTTGCCAGATAGCACATTGACAAAGCGTTGGTAGGGCTTGATAGCGTCCGCCTCAACATAATGAGAGAAGGACTGGACAGCTTTCCAGATGAAGTAACTTTGAAGCACATCCTTAGGTGTCTCAGCCACGATTTTGGACAAGGCCTTGAGGTAGTTTGGGCTTGTAACGATGACTCGCTCAACCTTGGTATCCTTGGGAGCCTGGGCTGCAAGCAATGCTTTCAAATCGACTTCGGGAACAAGTGCTGCGGCTTCATCGATATGCATGGGGTTGTAGGATTTCTAGAGTCCGGTAAGCCTTTGCTATAGGTAGAACAAGCATCACATGGTCGCTTGGCAAGATCGTCAAGTGTGTGTAGAGCGAATGGGGGATGGACTTACGGTGACGTCTTCTCTGTCTTCGGTACTAGGGGATGCAGCTGCAAGCTTCTTCTCAAGGTCAATGATGGCCGCGAACGCATCTTTATTCTGATCCGGGTAAAGAGCCTTGAGAACTTCAACAGCAACATCGCGATATTTCTCGACGAGCTTTTCATCTTGGTATCGCTCCTTGGATGGCAGTCCAAAGCTCCAGGGTGGGCTGACAGACACAACAACCGTGTCAGGGTCGGTGTCATCAGCACCTGTACCAGTGGAGACGAGGCCGGTGACGCCATACTTGGCCAAAAGGAGAATAGTGTCTTTGATCTGGGACTCGGAGGCGCCCGCAGGGTACGTCTTCTTGATCTCTTCCAAGATGCTCACCAGCGGCTTGACACCAACGCTCTTGATTTGGTCCTCGTTGAGACAAGCATCGTAGGCAGCCTTCATCTTGTCGAAGTTTTGCTCATCTGCCGATTTCGAAGTGGACTTCAGCTTCATAGGCGAGAAGTAAGAGTGCTGGACATGGGTTAGTTGTATATGCTGACATGATCTCGGGCAAGCTTACCTTTGATTCCTTGGGGTAAGGTGCTTCAAGGATGTGGCGCAGCAGCATCTGCGAGTTTTCAGACATGATGGTGCCCGTGAAGGCATCGCCCTGGTCAGCCCGGAGGTCATGGCGGTCCCTCCATCCACCGCAAACAAGTTCCTCAAAGTCGTCACATGGATCAAGCTCCTTGTACTCAGGAGACAGGTTGTACAAAATTTCAGATGCGGCATGTATGCAAGCTGGAGTCAGGCAAACCTCGCTCTCCTTTGGCTGAACAGGTATGGGCTCATAACGCACTAGAACGAGTCAGCGGCGACATCAGGGTAGCCCGGAAAAACATATATACCACGGGGCAATCCATAGATGATGAGCGAAGCTGTGGCGGCGATGGCAAAGACTCTGCCCATCGCGTGGCGTTTGGTCGAATGTACTGCCGGCTGGTGTGCGGTAGCACGTGTGCCAGACGCGAGACGCGCCTTCTCTGACATCATGGTGAAATGCTAGCAATGCGTGATGGAGCTGGGGAGATGGAGGCGTGTAGAGATGATGATTTGGGCGCCAGCCAGCTGTACACGGAGATGGGAGAATGGGGGGAGCGGAGAGAGGATGGAGGATGGACGTGGCAATGGAGTAAGCGTCGAGTGGAGATCCGGGGTGCAGCTGACACAAGGTTGGCGCGGAAACGCTAGGGCGAGGGGCGGGACCTTGCATGTGCATGACTCGCCCCCGCCCTTTCTCGGACGTCATCCATCTTCCCCCGCCCGCACAGCCATCCATCTCGCAACGTCAACCTGTCACAGCCATCTCCATTTGTTTTTCTTCATATTACAACCCGATTCCAGGCTCATTTGGGAGACCCGAGCCTGCACAACGCGACTACTCGTCCCGGGGACTCCGCCCATGCCTAGAAAAGAGACCCAGAAGATGAGCCTCCGTTAGACATTACTGGCGAAACAGTGCATTCAGTCACTATCGGTGTTGGTGCTAAAGCACTTGTTTCCATCAGGCATATCCTTACATTTCACAAACTACGTGTGAGATGGACCTAGGAAGCAACTCCAATGACCTGCAATCGACCTGTGCACTGGGACGCATATCGCGTTATTGACATCAAGAGCACAGGCTTTTTCAGTGACCCACGGGCGTGGCTTCGGACAGCATCCAGTTCATTGCGGAAAGAAGTATTATACATCCATACAGCAAATACCAGTTGCGGTCTAGTGGCATGCGATTGCCCAGGGACAGCAATGGCCATGCCATATCACGTGCTCTATATCACCAACCACGCATAGCAAGAGTGTTGACATGACGCATAAAAGCTTTCGCAAAAAAGAAAAGAAAGACCCAGTATCTCGGGAAGACGACGATTGGTTGCAACGCGAAGCTACCGTCTTCTGTGCCTGTTCTTAGTTCAAGACTACACACGGCGATTTGTAATACCATCTACACCACGAGCACATCTATGTGAAAGCTGCTTTTATCTTTCTGCCGAGGGCCACACTGGATCCCCGCAATTCATCTTCCGGTTTTATCGCGTTATCTCCGACTGCAATGTGCACAACATCGCGAGCAACAGATGGCGGCCGAAGCAATCCGTCTTTGGCTAACTCTGCACGAACGCTAAGGGTATCGCAATCATGCAAGACTGCAAACGTGCTAGTTTCGATGCAAGAAAGCGATACGTCCAAAAACAACCTAGGAGGGCAAGATACCCTGAGCCTCGGCCCGGTCGTTTCTCGGTGTTACCGGCGCGACGCTAGCAACACCTAGTATCAGGATATGGAGAACCAAACCCCACCCCGCCATAAATAGCGAGTGAAGCCTTCCGGAATTTCGGAATTGCATCAAATATTGGAAAATCAACCCCAAAGACTCTTTTCAACCCCTATTTCGACCTCATACCATCATGACCTTGGACTTTTCACACTATGGCGGCCCCTCTGAAAAATGGCTCGCAATGGAGAAGGCAGTGCCAATGCCATCAGTGGACCTAACAATGGACCTATCCGTCATTAAAGCGACGACAAATGGGCTTAGAGACCAGGGAATTGCGGAAGAAATGAAGCAATACGCACCGCAGGTCCAGATTAAAGACTACGTGATACCCACGCGCGACGGCTCGACCATCGATGCCCGAGCCATTCGCTCCGTAAAACTAGACGCATCCAAAAAGCATCCCGTTTACCTGTATTTCCATGGTGGGGGTTTTATCTTCGGAACACGCAACAGTGACGATCCGCTCTCCGCGCAGGTTGCTATCAAAACCGCGTGTATCGCTTTACACGTGACATACCGGCATACTCCCGAGCACACGTTCCCCACTGCCTGGAACGACTCGCAAGACGCCTTCGTATGGCTACACAAGAACATGGAAGAGCTAGGCGGCGATCCCTCCAAGGTCATTGTTGCCGGGCTGTCGGCAGGCGGCATGCTGGCAGCTTCGCTCGCGCTAGAACAGCACCTTGGCAACAGCGACGCTATCAAAGGGCTCCCCCCGCTCGCCGGCCAAGCCCTCTTCATCCCTTCTCTCGCTTATCCATCGACATACAACGAGGGCCCCGGCAAACTGCTCAAAACGTCGTCGTACGTCGAAAACGCGCATGCGCCTATTCTAGACGCCGCCACAATGCAGCATCTTCTCGAGCTCCTCAAGCCAGGAACTGTCGCACTAAAAGATACAAAGCTGAATGTTGTGAACGCAACTGCAGAGGATGTCAGGGGTATGCCGCCGGCGATGTTTGCTATCGCGGGCATGGATCCCTTGCGCGACGAGGCATTGCTGTATGCAAAGACGCTGGCGGAAGCGAACGTGCCGACGGATATCACGCTTTTCAAGGGCGTGCCGCATGGGCATATGATGTTCAAGGGATTAAAGGCCACAAAGAACTTTGAGGAGTCTGCTGAAAAGGGTATACATTGGATCTTGTCCAAGCCAGCGGCTACAGGCAAGTTTGAGGTCAAGGTTTCGCAGACTTGAATATGGAGATGAGTGGGGTTGGAGTGCTGGCCTTGAAAGCATTCAGAAACATGGTGGATGTAACGGAATTAGCAAGTAAAACAGCGATTTTAAGGATGCCAATGAATATCCTTGTCGAGATCAAGAAAAATATAAGTTTATACTTCGAGTTAATTACTTGGTTGCACTCAACCCCCATCCATCATTATCAATACTTTATGTCAAACTCCATGCCACTCCCAATAAGCTCCAAGACATCCTTGACAAACTCTAAATTCTCCAGTATTCATACCTCCATATCCTCATAGCAGTTACTCGCCATACTGTCCATCCCCATGGCAAGCATGCATTCCCCCCGTCCCATCACCAAAGCCGACACACACACCTCTCCACGTTCCTGCATCCCGCTCATATCCTCCTCTCCATTCCCCTCCAACCACACTCTCAAGCCCCCGCACCCCAACCACAAGCTCGTAAATCTCAAGCTCCACATTTCAGCACTCGCCCTGCCATTATGCCTACGCTTTCGCATTCAAAAAACAACTCACTTTCAAATACCCCACGTTTCCCGCCCAGAATCATGTCGTCGATATCGTGGCCTACGATGTGCATATTCTCATTGAGCAGCATGTGAGAGTGGAGTAGTAAGTGCAGGTCGGGAGGTCATTTACATGTTCTGATACCCGGGCGCAGTCATGGAGGATTATCTGGCGCTGCGATAGTCTGGTGCTATGACGCGGTGACTAGTGTTGGACAGGGGATTGATGGCATGGCGGGATTGGGATTGGCGGGAAGCGATGTCCACTTGGTGCAGGCGTAGTTGTCCGGCGGATGATGTGGCGAGGAGAACAATGCGTTGGCGCCGGCGGTCGCGGTCAGAAGATGGGTTTTGTAGGATGTTCATACAGCTAGTTGATGGTGTGGACAAACTTTGCTGTGTTTCACGTGAAGAGACGGAGAGTTTGATCTGTGAGCGATTTTGTCGTGGTGCAGATCTCTTGCTCATGACGCTGTGAGAGCGGCGTATGCCACGTCGATATGGTGATTTTAAGATAGAGTTGTGAATATATCGGAAAGAATTACATGATTCAATATTAAATAATCCGTATAGTGTATACTGGAAAATTAGCATGCTACTCGTTCGTAGCAGGTAGTAAGGTGTAGCGAGTTGAGGCTTAGTCAAGCCTTTCTATTCTTGGTTTAGCCCCACCAGGCTGAGGACAAGGCCGGAAATAACTCACCACATGGTTATCTGGGCCAACCCGCGTGCAACGGTGCCATAGCTAGATACCCCACGCTAATACCCGAGAGAGGTTTCACCCGTCTCATCTATGCTCAGTACGAGATGTATACCGGTGGTCCGAAATGCTGCCATCAGCATCTCCGCCACCATTCTCGGTGCAGGCCCACAGCTGCAATCTAAAATCCTCAATCGAGAAGGCGTGGTAGACAGATCTTTGTAGAGAGTGACGAGAACGACAGCAATGTCCCGGTCCCACTCGGTTTTGATGCTCAGTGTTTCGAGAGAATCGGGTAAGATAGCAGATAGGCGAGGGTAGTCTTGGCCATGGCAGTCTCCAAAGAGAACGAGACCGGACACGTTGAGATGTTTTAGCGCAGTGAATTGCCGGAAACTCCCGAATGCAGGGATGTCTTCGTCCATGTCGACCTGGCACGTAGCGTCCGTGGTGTCTATGGTTAGCGTTTCGAGCGAGTCGCTCAATGTCAGCAAGACGGATCGATATGCTGGAAGATCAATGCCCGCTGGGGGCGACGGCAGCCTCACGTGTTCACGAAGGGTGCTCAGGTTGCGCCAACGGCACTCAAAGCGCTTCAGCGCTGCAAAAGGCATCAGAAGGTGTTGGAGTGTGCCTTCAACAATGTCCTCGCCATCAAGGGACACTGTATCCATTACGATGGAAGCTTTTGAGCGGCGGAAACTATCCTCGTACTCCAGACCAAGTAGTGTTACAATTGGATTACCTGAGGGTCGAGGCCCGGCGTCGTATCGACGCAGGTAATGTGGATTGCTACCAGGGGTGTAGATCCACAATGTCTGGAGACGGTTGCTTGAGTAGTATCGTTTACAAGCAAACATGGATGCGTAGAAGGATACGCACGAGATGATGGCCTGGGACAGGTTCTGGGCGACGGTCATCAGGCAGACAGCTGCAGCATGGAGACGGCCAAATAGCCCGTGCCGCGACGCCAGCTCGTGCAGGTCTCTGGAGAAAGAATCGGAAAGCGATGCGTCGATGGAATCGCCCCACCACTTTAGGCATGACAGGCGATCAATATATTCTGACATTTCTCTCTTGGTCAGGCGGTCGGGCGATTTCTCCTCGCGCAGGCGGACGCTGGGAGAGTCGACGACGCATCCAGGGCTCTCGATGTAGCGGATATGTCGACAGAGCTCTGGCTGTGCGACGAGGGTACGCAGCAGGCGCTTCACCACGCGTGAAGGCGTCTGGGAAGAGACGATACACCGATAGAGAAGCGGAGTGGCAATGGCATTGAGCTTGCGGCATGTGAGGGCCAATGCATGAATGTCGAGCACAGTCGCGGTATTTGCCTGCCGCCGCCTGGCTTCAGCGCCGCGGTCCATCAGGGGACCGCGCTGGATGTCGAGATGCGATGCCACGGCCACGAGCAGCTCGTCGGGCAGCTCGGTGATGGGACACGGCGGGGCTTTGGCGGCGGAGTCCATTGTGCGGCCGTCGACGTCTCAAGGCGAGGTCAACATGAAGAAACCCCTCACGCAGCAGCGAGGCGTTTGGACGCGATCAAGGCGAATCGGGACGGTCCGGAGATTGCGCACTGGTGGCGACGACGCGATATGCCTTGAGTGCCGTGGTGGAGGATGCGAGGGTGCGAGCATGTGCAGGCGTTGGCATGCGCTAGAAGCCGCTAACGTCCGGAAGCCGCCTGAGGCCCCCTGGCCATCTGAAACTCGCCCTCCCTCAACCACACGCCGCCACCAATGTGCGAGTGCCCGTTGGCCTGCCGCCCTGTCAGAGACGTGGCGATGCCGTTGAATGTGTCGCAGCTTGCCCGGCCATCAACGCCAAATGTATCACGCTGCTGCCTTGGCGTCATCCGCGCCCCCAGATGTCACCACCACGGTAGACACGCCTGGACAGGCGTGCTACATATATAATCCCCACGACCAGGTACCGGCTTAGGCCAGAATCTGCCACACCACACCTCTCCCCTCCTTTCCCCTCGCCCTACCGACCGACCGCCGCCATGCCTTCCCACGGAGAGCGAAACATGGAGCACGGAAACCAGGCCTATGCCGCCACCTTTAACCAAGGCCATCTGGCACTTCCACCCAGCCAGCGGTACCTAATTGGTCAGTCTGCATGCATCTCCCGCCTCTCGCGGCCGGCCACTGACCCAGACCCTACAGTCACCTGCATGGACGCCAGAATAGACCCCACTGCGGCTTTTGGCATACCACTCGGAGCCGCCCATGTTATCCGGAACGCAGGGGGGTCGGCACGCGACGCCTTTCGATCCATCATCATATCACAGCAACTGCTCGGCACAAGAGAAGTCATGATCGTCAAGCACACCAACTGCGGCATGCTCACATTCGACAACGCAACAGCAAAGTCGGTCGTCCTGAAGAAGCGGGGCGAGATAGCGGCAAGAGAAGTCGAGCAAATGGACTTTCTGCCTTTCCATGATATCGAGATTCAGATTAAAAAGGACATCCAGTGGCTGCGCATCAAGGCGGTAGAAGACAACATCCGCTTCAGCGGCTGGATCTACGATGTCGAATCGGGCAAGACGAAGAGGATAGTCTGATGTTTTTTCCCTATAGTTTCGGCGAGCCAGGAAGATATACCCAGATGAATGTACAACAGTCTCCTAGACGTTTCTTCCTTGACATTGGATGGGCGAGGCATTACCGGCGTTAAGTGTGTACACGTTGCCTATTATAGACTAGCTTCTCAATTGCTGCCGACATCACAGGTCAGGGCCTTTCAACACTCAACATCAACACTGCGCACATCGACCAAACTCTGCCTTTTACTGCATCTCAGCACCACTCGCCCCTTTGAGGCACTTTCTATATTCTCAGAGCCACGCCGAAAAAGAAGACACGACAACGCAAAAACTGCCATCATTAACTAGCATTGCATAGTTTCTGCCTAACATATTTCTACCTGAACCGACTTGCAACTCCTGTTCTACATGCCGCATTCATCGGATCCGCTACATTTCATGGCACCAAGGCTCTGGATGCTTCCATATGACAATCAAATACCTGGAAGGCTCGAACAAGAACCAGTCTCACACCCTGAATATCCTCAGTGTGTGGAGTTTCGAGCGGCCGACTGCCTAGGAATACCCTGCACCGCAACATGTCCCACCAATGGACACGCAATAATTTGATCTACTAGCCGCAGTCAAATACGCATCCAAGTTACGACACCTTTCTATAATCAGCATAGAGACTTCAGAGATATCTTTTCGGAGACATAAGCTGTCCAGCAAGATACAACGACGTTTCCCTCTACCGTCATCAACGCCCATGGGATCCGTAGTCTCGAGACATTGTGTGTTGAGACTGCTCATATTCCCCATAATAATGAAACCAGCAATGCCATTACACTGCATTTGCTCGGCTGGGCAATCGATGCTGTCTCCTTGTTACATCCACGCTTGTCGTTTGAATGTATCTGACTCATCAGGGGTTGACCTTACAACTTTTTAATGCATTGGGTCTCTACATCGGTTAAACATCTGGAGGCCTTGACCATATCCCGAGCACATTTCTTGGATCGAATTTTATGACACCGAGCCATCAGATACAGTACTAAGGTGCCGCCTCCCTCTGCTATTGTCGTTGAGATTCAGCCATTTCATCATATTTGTTGGCTTCAAAGAGACCGAGTGAGGATGGACGGCCTTGGAGGATTTTGCGAATATGTGGGCTTTGTCCGGAGCCTGTCGATTATCTACACTGAACATGAAGGAAGTATCCATCAAAGGTAGTTCAGATGTCGAGGAAAAGGAGCTTTTAGTTGCTTTCATGTAAGCCAGCGTGCTTCACATCCTCAAGCTGTAAGACGCATCACGAAAGTTATGCTAAGCCGTATTTTACGCGTTTCCAACGGGTGAGATCGAAAATCAGTGCCGAAATCACACTGACCGCTTTTTAGGTGTTATTTGTGAGAGACAGTAGTCTGGATCCGGTGGAATATTACCTTTACTTACAATCAATTTACTCTCGGAAGCATATGTGATGGTCACTTTTATCCGTTTCTCTGTGCCTATATAAGCACGACTGTGTCGGGCTTTTCCACTTTCATCCATCATCTTGCTAGAGCGGCTTTTGTACCAAAGAAACTCTCAAACCTGGGCTTTCATCTCCCTTTACCTGACTGTTCCTTGTTGGGGCATCATCTATTACCGGTCTTCCTGCCCAATATCTCTACCGTAAGTCTTCTTGAATTTGCATTCCTTTACATTAATCTGCAGTACTTTACGGTACTTCACATCATACTTCTTTCCTTTACTTCCACTAATTTTTACTTCTTTGCTTTAATTTCCATTACTTATATTGCATCACTAGTTGGCCGAACCCCCACAAAAACTTCCAAATCGCCTGCGGAACAAGGGAAACTTCCATCTTACACTCCAACCTATCTTGCACCATTCTCAGGTACGTTGGGCCAACCTGGGTCTCTTCGACTTACTCATAAGCAATTCACTCCCAGCAATCATAACCCGCTCAATGGCTACGCCTGAACGTCCCGTGCACACCAAGATGAATGCGAACGCCCAGATTTGCGTTCCAACTATCACTGAGGCATCGCCTGCGCAAGCCTCTTCAAGTGAGGAAAGCACATCAGGTTCCGAGAAGTTCTTCGGCACTGCTTCAGAAACATCTCTTGAAGTCAACGAAGATGGCGGGGATAACGAAAACAGCAAATGTAACGGAACTGCTGAGCTCAAAGTCTCGGCTGATGTCGGCAACAATGTACTTACATCACCATGCAATTCTCCCAAGCCACGAGCAGAGATTGAATGTTCCAAGCGCAGTCCCGATGAGCAGCCAGACTCTGAGGAGATTGTTGAGACCAAAGACATCGCACTGTCTGGTCCTAGTAAGTGACTTCTTAGTAGGATGGCAGTGGCTGATACTGTTCAAGATGTTCAGCCTGAAAAGATCAACGAGGCAATTGTTCTCCTGAACAATGGCGACATGAACCATCAAACCCAGCAGAAAGCCACACAGCAAGCACCAGGACCATCCGAACCTACCCATAGCATACCACCGCATATGCGCCCTGATTTCCAGTCACGAGTATCCCGCCAGTCTGGACTTCAAGGCTCCAAGGTGATATCTCCAATCCACCCCTGAGTTCACACAAGACTAACCATAGCAGCACGCCTTTCCTCCCAATGAAGCATCAACAGGACCTCGCAACAACCATGTGCCATACGAATTTCGGCGCGACTGGGCGCAACCAGAGCAAGTCGTCCGGCTCCGCGCCGAACTCATCAAAGTCAAGAGCGAGCTCCACGCCGAGCGCAGCAAAGCGCTTGAGCTCCGCCAAACACTCGAAGCCTCGCACCGAGAAAACGTCGACGCCGCCTTCTCCACCATGCTAACCACGCTCCTGCACCAGCAAACCGAAGCGCTAGCCCTGAAAGCCCACGCCCAAGCCCACGAGCGCTCGCTCCAGCTCCGCGAGAAACACATCCAGCAACTCGAGATCTTCCTCGCACAAGGCCAGAAACACCTCATGTCCCACCACGCCGGCGAGACAGGTGACCGCCCCATGAGCAGCCTGCAACTTGAGCACGCCCAGCGACAAGCCGAGCTCGCACTCCGCAGCACGCTTGCCTCCACCGAAGCCCAACTCAGCCTCCAAGCCGAGACGCTGCGGCTCCGCGAGGCAGCGCAGGAAATGCGCGAAACGCAGTACAAACTACTTATCCGCGAGTCTCTGCTCGCCGAGCTCAAGAAAGCCAGTGCCACGAGTAGTATTTCCCGCGCCGAAGCCGCCGAAACGGCTCAAGCGCAGTACGCAGCGGGGTTTGCGCGCGGCGTCGAAACAGGGCGCAAGCACGCGTGCGACGAGGCTGTCGACCGCGCATTCCTGCAAGGCTACAAGCAGTGCCATTCTGCGCTTGCGGCGCTGAGTCTGCTGCGCCAGGGGAAACTGCAAGTGGGAAATGAGGAGTTGCAGTTTCTGTTTGATCCCGCGCATGCGCTGGGGCTGTATAGCGTGGGCGTGAGGATCGGGAGGTTGGATGCGGGACATGCGGGGGATGGAAACGAAAAGGATAAGATTGAGGGGGATGGTGTTGAGGTTTCGACTACTTCCATTCATGTTCCCCCTACGCCTCCTACGCCTACGACGCCTACGACTCCCCCCTCAGAACACGCCTCGCAAATCCAAAACGACACATCCACATCCGTACCTGAAATGTACGTTCCCCCCTTTTTCCTTTCTCTTCGCCCTAATCCGCTCTCCCACACACTTATACTAACACTTCACACCAGTATCTTCCCGCCCTGTCCCCCGGCCAAACAAAGCTTTGCATCCGAACTGCGACGCCACCAGCTAGCACTGCACAACGGGGATGTAGTGCTTGCGAATGCGGGGGCTGCTTGTGCGGTGGTTGGGGAGAAGGAGAAGGAGGAAAAGGAAGAGGGGGCGAGGACTCGAGAGGAGCAAGGTCGGAGTGAGAGTAGGGATTTGATTGATTTGCTGTGAGGTCGAGGTTTTTGCGTGTGGGTGTGCGTGTATTGGGTGAAAGGGGGGCCGGGGGGGGGGAATCAAGTGGGTAAAGAGAGGAGAGGACAGGAGAGGACAGGGAAGGCTGTGGAAATGGAGATACATTGGAGTCGATCTAATCTTTCAAAGAGATTTCCGCGTCATGGCAAATCAAAAGAAAAAAAAATGGGTGGGGTTGGGGTTTGGGAGGTGGAAAAGTTTCCCCGAGGAAGCTGGCCCCCAAGTACGTAAGTAGTTTGGAAATCTAGTGCGAGGGAAAGGCACATTCTTCCGAAGGGAAAACATCTTAGACAAGATTTCTTTTTTTTTCTACTGGGGGAAAATTGCTGGATAGTACAAACTTATTCTTCATTTACTGCTACACTTTTTGTTGCTGACATTTATCTTCTTTCGCATGGAGGTTCAACATGCTGCTCGAGTATATCAATTAAACAAATACATGCTTAACAATAGCAGCCTGAATGCATCAACTCAACTCAACGTAACACCTACCCACGCCTCGCATGAACAACCGGCCCATGTCCCTTTTCGCCCAGCATGGGCTTCCGGAGTATGGGTCCATGGGATCCCTGACCATACTCATCCGCCAGTTTCTGCGCGGCCTCTGTCAATTGCAGGTCGGCGCCCGTGGTATTTGCATGCTTGTCTATCTCAGTCTTCTCATCCCACTTCTTCGCGTAGTCCTGGGCTCCACCGCCAATAGCCTTCATTTCTGCATTCTCCTTGCCATCGGCACTCGCCACGTACTTGTGCACAATGTGCAACAAGCCTGTTTCGCCCTGTGCATCTCGCTCTGCATGCCACTGCTCAAATTCGTCCCACCACCACTTGTGCGTCTCGCCGTCTTTTCCCAGATAGCCTGCCGTGCCGTCGGGCTTGTTGCGCGCGGCCCACGGCTTGTCGACAATGTAGTGCAGAACGGCGACTTGGGCGTCGTCGGTCCAGATGTTGGGGTGCCAGTAGCGCCATGTTTTGAGGGCGTTTGTGCGCCACGAGAGCGGCGACCAGCGGCCATCAAAGGCTTCGTTGAGGAAATCCTGGTCGGGGAATTTCATGGCGCGCAGTTTGGCATTGCCGAGCTGTTCAAACTTTTGCTGCACGAAATCTGCTAGGGCTTTCGATGGGCGGTAGAGAAACGTGCCAGAGTTGAAGTTGGAGAGCGTGTAGGGTTCTGGCTTGACTTGAGCCAGTTGGTCGGGCGCGGTCAGAGGCGTCATTGCGCAGTTTTCTTTTGTCCATTCTGCTGGGGCCCAGGAATCATGGTCGAGATTGCAGACGCACGTGTGTACGGCCATTGTTCTCATGCCGTCGCCTCCAGTTAGGTAGTCGTCGTTGTGCTGGTTGAATACTAAGGGCGAAGGGTCCGAGAAGATCATCATATCAGCGTCGAGCCAGCACAGCCGCTCCCAATTTTGCTCCATGTCCCACAAGTCAAAGACTCGCAACTTTGTCCATGTGTCAATGAAGCGCTCGGCGACCATGCCATGGGCGGTCCCGTCCTCAGGCAGGCGGAGATGCTCGACAGGCTGTAGGATGAGGTTGGAGTGCTTGGCTTCAGCGGCAAAAGCATTGACCGAGGATTCTGGAAGGGTCTCGGGGGTGTAGCATATAATCAGCGGCGTAGACGGTGAATGCTTGTTCAGTGTGTAGGCGAGGAGTATAGCACCGGCAAGATAGGAGGGCCGCGTGAGGAGCGTCACATAGGCATTTTTCGACGGCGTGTCGCCAAGTCCCGTTTCGGTCACCATTTTGAGATGTAGTAGATCCTAGGGTCTGGAGAGAAGACGACACTTGCAATTGGCGAATGGACAAAGTCAAATAGAGCGAAGGTGTATGCAGTTGCAATTTGCTTGGCCCGCTGACGTCACGACTTACGCAAGGCAGTGAAGAGAGGCTAGCGTCTCGGTAGATGCTGAGCAAAGAAAGAAGCAAGTGCGGTTGGTTACAGATTCATATTACGGGTATCTCAAGAATCCAATATTTGGCGAGCACCATTTCCTATATCGTACACATGCCCATTAATAGTTCAGCCCGTCGTCCTCTTTGGCGAGCGCCTTGCCCCAGGCACTTTCAAACGGATCGTCTCCCTTCTCATTACTGGCATTAGCCGTGTCATTCAGGGCAGCCCCATCTTTGGCTAGCTTCGTCTCCGGTGGATGCGTCTCTGCAGCAGGCTGAGTCAAAGCCGCCACCTCCGGACTCTCGTATTCAAAGTTGCTCGAGTATACCACGGCTGCAAATGCCTCGAGCCCGCCGACGGCCTCGATGGCGGCGAGGTAGTCGTTGTTTGCTCCGCTGCCGATGCTGTGTGCCTGTCGGCAGAAGACGGCCAGACTGTTCGCAACCTTGGCCTTGACATCGCTGCCTACAATTTCTTGTATGCGAGCATTGCTTTCGGAAACGGGCGGGATCTTGTATGAGAGCTGAGAAATCTTGTCGTCGACGAGATGGGAAAAGGCAGCATCGAGAAGTTGAGTGAGGACGTGGGTGAAGGCCGGCGAGTCAATCAGATCCGAAGTCTCGTCAATGAGGCGGCGAAGAGACGTAGTCGTAGTGGGTGATGTCGACTCGGAGGATGAAGTCATGCCCGATTCGCGCAGGACATAGTCCTCCTGGTCTTGAGGTGGGAGGAGAAAAGAGAGCCATTTGCATGTTCTGGTGATTGTTAGTGGGCATCCGAAGTGAGAGATGGGGCAACATACCTCCGCTCTTCTTCCGTAGCGCCTTCGACCCTTTTGCGCACCTCGAGGGTGAGTTCAGACAGCCTCTCGAGAGTGATCTCTTCTCTTGGGTTCAGGAGACCAAAGACCTCCTTGACTGCCGCCTGCACTTTCTCAATCAGGTCCAAGCAGCCCTTGTGCAGCAGCCACCAGCTCAGGCTCAGGTACCGCCGGTTCGTCTCAAAGTCGTTGCCGTAGGCGTGGTCAAAGTTGTCGTCGTCGTGGTTTTCCATGTTGATGCGCAACCCCTCGGCGGCGGGTTGGGGCGCCGCGAGAGACACGACCGAGGCGAGGTAGTTGCGGCGGCCCAACAGATTCAGCTGGATGCGCGTGAGGAGAGTGAGGAGGCAGAGCGTGTAGAGCAGGGTAAAGGCTCGGGTGATTGCTGGTGGTCAGGTCAGCTTCCGCATGTCGGCGTTGTCGCGGGCGAGGCACGTACAGCTAATCTTCATCTCACTCCACAACTGTGCCTTGCTCTTCTTGGGCTGCTTCTCGACGGCCGGGGCCTCTGGGCTGGGCTCGGGCTGGGCGGCGCTGGCATCGCCATGGGTGGCGATCTGACTGGCATGGATGAAGCTGTCCGTCTGGAAACTGGAGCTCTTTGCATCCTCCTCGGTGGTGTCGGCAACGCTTGGGGGCGCGGTGCTGGCGAGCTCGCTGGGGCCGACGCTCCTGGCCAGGCGCTCTGCCTTTTGCTTCTGCAGCTCTTCGAGGACCTGCTCGACGGGGATGGCCTCGAGGATGTTCTCGGTGGCGGTCGGGAGGATGGCGAGGACGGTGAAGGTGCAGTCCTCCTGGTTCTGCTCGAAGCGGCGGCGCAGACTGTGCGGCGCGGTTAGCAGTCAGTCATTGCATCGTGGACAGGTGGCGGCGCACTTCTCCCTGGCGATGCGGTCCTCGCTCATGCGCTGTCTGGCCTCGGTGAGCTTGCCCACGAGATACTGCCCCGCCAGATAGCCCGCCCCGAGCACGCCGGCGCCAATGGCAAAGTTTGTGCGGTTGCGCCTGAGCCAGCGGCGCGTGGCTTGTATCATGCTGAAGGTGCGGAGGGCGACGCCGCCCGTGTGTGTCGGCGTGGAGCAGGCGTGGCCACGGCCGGGAGAGACCTGGGGGGCGATGTTGAATAGGCCAAGTACGGCGGCAGCTCTCTAGCGCGTCCCACGTAGGCCGCCGAGTAGTCGCAGCGCGATTTCCCTTGCTCTACAAGAAATGCAATCAGAAAGAGTTCGCCAGTGCAACGGCGGGTCCCGAGGGTGCAGTGCGGCACGTGCGAGGAGGGTGTCGTGAAGTACCAGCTCGACTTGGTGACCATGGGCCGAGGTTGGATGCCGCTTCGGGACACCAACTAGTAATCCCATGCCGGCAATGCACGACAAGCTGACAGACACCACGTCTGCTGTCATCGCCGCCAGTCATACCCACGACATGACGCGCGCGCTGCAGAATTCTATCGTCGTTCATTCATAACACATGCAGTAACGGCTACCAAGCATACAATCAGTCTACATAGGAAAGCCCCTATATCCGAATCCATGTGCCCCCTAACGAGCTGTCGCCCTCGCAAGTGAATGTACAATCTAGCGGCCGTCGTAAGAAAAGTCGTATCGTAAATGTGGAACCTTCGGAACGTATCGGGCGTTGTTTACGGCATCTCTGCTGCGCTTGGCGTAGTCGCTCTATGCTCCGCAGTGGCGGCGGCTGCGACACTACTGCCCATCGGCGACGAACCTTCGCCATTATCCGGGCTGGCCGACCATCGTGTCCTATTCAATACCGCGTTAGAACCTTGTACATGTACCAGCATGGACATTGCGAAGCTCGAGCAAGCCCTAGACCAACAGCCTGGTCTAGAGACGATAACAGCAGAGAGTGAAAAGAAAGCGCTAGATGTTCTAGCAGAGGGAAGCAAGCCGGCCTCGGTAAGTAGATGGGTATGGCCTGTGCATCCTCCCAAAGTATGTGGCCAGCCGGAGCTATTCGATCGCTGTGCTTCACGAGTATCATATACTAGTTCGCACACCAAGGAAATGCGCCAGCCGACGCATCAGAGGCGCAGGTGCACGAGGCAAGACGAGTCGATGACAAAGGGACAACAGATATAGCCCATCCTTCCAGTCTTCCTTTTCCAGCCTGGCCATCTCTTTAATAATGTCAACGTACCCTTGTGTGATTCCAGAGCATTAGCCACAGAAATGGCGTCAACAAGCCACTTCTTAGTCCCAGTGCTAACATGTCTGTGCACCTCACAATCTCCCCTCGTTTCTGCATATTCCATGCCCATACTCGGCCTGCGTTAGTCATAGTGGTAGACACTGCATATTAGCTGACATCATAAGACGGACTTCCGTAGAGGGCGATTTGCTGTGGCCTAGTTCTCCGGTAATAATAGTACAATTAATGAAGAGCTTTGGATGATCAGAGCGAACATCCAGGTAGTTGACGAGAGAAACAGACGACGCATGCTCCTAGTGCAGTGTACGAGAATCGTACGAGAAAACACTAGGAAGAGGGGCAACAAATTACAATATTCTTTCGAATATTCCAGTAAGAATCCAGAAGCTGAATGGCTGATTTGGCGAGTTGGCAATATGCGCATATTTCCTGTCAAGAGACAACATGCGATCCGTTGCTCCAGCTGTCTGGAACAATAAACTTGTCTTAATCTGCGTTAGTTCCGTCCAGATGGTATCCTTGGAATTGGCTCCACACGTTCGCGGGAACGCTGTCCGGGTACGGCATGCCAATCGGTATCCCTCTCTGGGCCAAGTACGCGGAAAAGCTCTCGTTTGTTTGGTTGGCGCCAACGTAACCAGGAAGGTCAATCGTCAACAGCTGGGGGTCAATGGTGCTCCTCTGGAATTCAAATGTAGAGCCTGGCGCTACATTGAAAGATGCTGAAGTGGCTGAAACAGGTACGTACCCAGATAACTCCAACTGTGCGCTCTCTCGCGTGTCTTGGCACCATTGTGGGCTTTCGGGTGTTGTAGCAGGCGTGATGATAGATGGTATTTGGAAGGGGGCGTTGCGCTGCTGTAATGGTTCTCGCGAGTGTTCAAGAGCCTGCATCTGTGCATTCTGTTCGTTCGTTGTGTCGGGTTTTGGTGCTGTGTCTACATGCAACGCACCATCTCTGGAACACGACGTGAGTAATTTTCAACAATACTCTAACTGACTGACCTTTTTGGCATGCTACCAGCGGCCTGAGAATCACCCAGTCCATTCGTTACACCACTAGCATGGGTACACTGCATCACATCAGCCTTGTACGCTCATCTCTTAATCTTCCAATGCACCCAGGGCTATATACCTTGGCTTTTTGACGCTTACAGCTATCGCAAGCCCCAATCTTCCTCATCTGCTTGTACGCAATCTTCTCTGTTGTACTCATCTTCTTTCTCTTTTGTCGCTGCGCTATAGGCCCGTCTGCAACGCTGAAGACAATCTCTTGGCCAGGACTCGTGTTCGACGCAGCGGACGGCCGTTTCAAGGACATTGCATTCACGACTTTCATTCCATGATAGTTATCATCCGTAACCGCTGGCGGCTGGTATGAGGTCGTCGGCGACGGGGGCGGTGAAATGCTTCCCTGATGCTTACGACCATGTAACACAACGTCAGTTACCAAGACGTTAGGATACGTCTGGGATCCTAGAGCTGCTTCTTCTGCTTGCATCTCTCTCAGTTCTTGCTGCAGAAACTCGATTGCGGCCATGTGCTTCCTTTCACGCAGATTTGCACCTTGTGGATACCGTCTCTTCAGAAGCTCAAGCATGGCATCCGAGTACACTTTTTGCTTGAAAACCATGCCTGCCCATGGCGGCTTATCATCACTTGTTGGATGCTCTCGACCGATGAGGTCCATTATCCGTTGTTTGCTTAAGCTGATCTTTAGATGGTGCGATTAACTGGTCCTGGGAAAAGCAAACTCAATCACACCGACTGTTCTTTCGTTCCTGTTCGATTCCTGTAATCACGATCAGCATGCAATAATCATGTCGGTTTATAGCCTTGCGACCATTCATTCGCTGATGCACCCAACGATAGCCAGATACATATCTGCATCTGTCACTAGCCACGAACCTAAAGTGAAGAGCTGTATGTGATTGGAAACACACATACCAAAGTAGTTCTGGTTAGAGAGCGTGTAGTGACATTTGGAAGGGTCTAAACAATGAACCGAAGAGTGAGGAGATGGCCGGTGAAACATGGTGGGGAGAGCGATGCTACAAGGCATCCACCGGGCATGTTGAAACCGATCGGACGAATGCACGGCGTCCCGACATGGCTACGCGGAGCCGAGCTCGAAAAGAACGGTGGCCAAATGAGGACAAACGGGTGTTCCATCCGGCTGATGTCGTGTCCGCATCACACTACCTGCAAGCACCTCGAATGCGACTGGTGCAAAGAACGCCACACCAAGGGAACTGCAAGCGCAGCGCATTCTGGAGGACCATCTCGCCTGTAGAACAAGGCGCGTCCATTGGCTCCAACGCCTTCAGCCTGCTGTCATCTTGGGCATTGCAGCTTGATATTGGGCAGCTATGCAGTAACTGTACCATCGGTCTCAGTGGTTCTCGCTGGACATGCTCAAAGGTTGCTGTTGCTGCGTTGCAACACATCGACATATCGATGAAATACCGCTGACGCCGCCACGCGTCGACACGGCATGGGCTCGTTCCTGCATTCTCGGGCTGATTGACGGTGGTTTCAACAGAGAACGATTGCGTTTCACTCGCGCAATGCCGAAGATATGGTCAAAAATGTTGAGGCATATGTATGCGCAAAAGTCATCGGTCACCACGCTGGGCCTCTGGACAAACTTGGTCCGATTTGGTTTAGCGCCAAATGAAGGGGGAGTTGTCTGGCTGCAAATGCGGACAACTTCTCAAGATGGCTGAAATATCTTTTGCTTGCCTACAGAAGCAGAGAATTCTTTCGTCGTGTGGATGACCGGGGTTTGCAGTATATCTCATCAAACCCCTTTGCAGACTGGAATGATGGGCAAGTATTCAACGCTTGCAGTCCTTTAACCACTCTACTTCTCTAGAATAAAGAGCGAGTGTAAGGCGTATAATAGTATTGCTGAGTGATTAGTCTGCAGGGAACGTATTCTTTTTTCTCAACGTTCTTCTTCTGTCAACGCTGGCATCGTGAACTGTCTACGCACTTCATCATTGAAAACACAGCAGATGCCGAGTCCTGTCATCCTCCTCATTGATGTGCTCTGTATTAATTTCTAGCCATCACAGTTTCTCTTTTTACCGACCAGAGCAGTGTAGGGTTTGATATCTCGCTTGTTTCCTTAGAAATTATTCCCAAATGTTGTACTTTTGCACACGTAGAGCTCCTGCGGCAAACACGCTTCGCTCGCCCGTTGAGAAGAAAAGTTTTATCATGATCAGGCGAGCACAACGGAGATACACTCCAAAAGAAATTTGCATAATGCGTGATTGGTTCTAACATTCGACATGCATCGGCATCAGTTGCAAGACGAGCAATTGCGGGTACACGCCAGCGGATAATGTGGGGTATTGGCCAGTTGTACGCCAACACATTTATGCCTCAATTTACAAGCAGCACCAAAAGTAGACCTTGCCATCTTGAAATTTACGTAAGCATGAAGCGTATGGGCATAATTGTAATTGATCATTGCCAAAAGGCAGGTGCCCTGTTGGTACATGATGTTATTGCTCACAGGCAAATTCTTAAACTCCTGAGCCAAAGAAAGCAACCTGCTACCCAATGCATTGCTTCTTGCCCGAGTAATCATGACATGTAAGGATGTCCGTCTCCTATCCTGTGCTAAACCATTTGTGAACACTGTCCGTATCTATATACTTTCACCCGCGATGCGATTCCAAGCTACAACAGCCGCACGCCTCGGAAAGTCCGTATCGATTGGCCTCCGCACAGCAGATGGCAGGTTATGGACTTCCTCGCGCTTAAACTGATCTGGTCATGCGACTGTCAGGAGTGCTGTAGCTACGACTGGTCTACGAGGCGTGGGGCTTGCCGGCGGAGTCGACCTTGGCACGGAGGTCGGCGGCGGTAGAGCCAGACTGGGAGAAGTAGCGCGAGAAGACGGGCTGGAGGAACGATCGGAAGACAATCTGGGCACCACTGCAAGGCGTCAGTTCATGCCCTTGTGTCTGAGCGAGCAACTTACGATGTCTGGGGGAGGGCCATCCAGAGGACAAGGATGAACTTGAAGGTGTAGTAGAAGGCTGCCAGAGTCAGTCGCGCGTCGCATGCGGTGGGCCACGTGTACTTACGGAACCAGTAGCTGGCACTGACGGCGCTCTCAAAGACGGTCAGGAAAGCAAAGGTCACCCAGTACTAGTGAGCGTTGTTAGTCACCTTCCCGATACGGCGTGCCGTGTGAAGTGCAATGACTCCGGCTATCAGGGCGGGGTACGTACGGTCAGCCACTGGGTGTCATCGACCTTGCTTGCGGAGAAGAGAGCCTCGAGCGAGTAGTAGCCGGGCAGGACGAATCCGGCAATGTTGACAAGGAACTCTCCGGCGATGTTGAAGAAGATGAGGAAGAAGTACAGGCCCGCGAGGCCGAGGACCATGTAGACCTTGGGGACCGACGTCTGCTTCTCAAAGTTGTTGAGGGCGGGGTATTTGGACAGCTACAACAACAACAACACGTTATCAGTGTGCACCGCTCCAAGGCTGGGAGGCCAGGGCAGCTCGCCAACGCCAGACACGCATCGTGTATTTTGGCAATGTGTCCCCCGGCGGAAGCGAGCGGAGGGGCTTACCTCTTTGTCGAGCTGCGACAGCTGGGCCTGGGCTCGGTCCTGGATAGACATGGTCGAGATGGTTTTTCGTGGGATGTCGCGAGGAATCTGGAGTAGAGATGCAGCGAAGTGGCTGTTCGGTCGGAGATGGGATGCAAGGTGTTGTTTGCGAGGGGTGGAAGCGGGAGCGGGTAGCCTGGAGAGATTGTGGGATGGGAGCAAGTGGGCTCGTCATCGCTAAATACGTCACCGCCTTTCACGAGCCAGCCGAAGCGCTGCAGCAGCCGCCGGCCAGAACACCTGGCGTGCGCGCGCCCGGCTGCATGAAATGCCAATCTCAGTGAACAGCATGCAACCCGGGCCAAATTAGCATTTCTTTTTCTGGGCGATCAGACGCGTGGTAAGATTGCGGGTGGAAGAATGACGATGGTCATGTGATGCGGCTGGCCCATGCGCGCCGGCCAGTCCGTTGCTGCAGGTGCGACCAAGTGCAGACAAAAGCGTAAACATCGAATTCACTCTCCCACAACAAACCCGTCCGAGGGCACCCGACAGCGCCGACGACGCCTTTTGGAGCTGGGCATTCTTTCTGGGTCATCTCCTCCGCGTTTTTGGCATCTTATCTGACAGCACAACGTGTCGGCCAGGTCCCTGGTCCGAAAACAAACAAGCAGCCCAGCAGCAGCGGAGCCCATCGACGGCCCGGCCTACACGCCTACGGCACTCATCTATAGCTTCAGCGCGCCCTCGCTATCCCCCGTGCCATTATCCGTCATCTTAGACACCCGCCCGACCGTGTCGTCGCCTCCTGAGCGCCGTTGCCGTGCCATTGTTTTGGTGTAAACAGAGAACACATCGGCCACGACGGGCACACACACACACCAACACCATGACTGATATCCGCCGCTCACGATCCAACACGTCCATGTCCACGAGGAGTAATCGCCCGCCCTCGCGCGCATCGACGACGAGCGTGCATTCGTTCGAGCAATTCCAACAGCCACCGCAATCCCGAGGGGGCCAGTTTCCCCAGCAGCCCCAGTATCACGCCCCATTCACGACCAGCGAAGCTCTGCAGCCCGTCCTAATCCAGGCGGCGCAACAGGTCAGCGCGCAGGACCATTTAATCAACATGAGCCTGGAAAGCGTGCAGCAGTACCTTGGTTACCCGGCCGACTCAACCACGAATCAACCGCAGCCAAACGGGCAGCCGGCGCAAACAGACCAGCACGCCTACCACAACCCCCTCCCCCAGCAGTCGCAACAGTCGCAGCAGTCGCAACAGCATAGCTTCATGGCGCCTTCGGTTGACCACGACGACAAGAAAAAGAGGGCTTCTACCTCGGGCGCGGCAACCAACGACAAGGAACTGCGCCAGTTGTTGAGCCAGAACGAAGGTCGCAACCTCAAGGACGTTGCGGCTGAGGTTATCCAGAATGACCGGACGTCCAAATCGGAAAAATCGAAGCAGCTGTTTGCCATGCTGTGGTGAGTGGCGCCATGTCTCGGGGCTGGAGTGATGCTAACAACGTACAGGCTGCAGTCAGTTTGTCGCGTCGCAAAGACCTCAGTTCCACGCAACCGCGTCTACTCCAAGTATGCAGAACGCTGCGGCACGGATCGCGTTATTCCCCTCAACCCGGCCTCTTTCGGAAAGCTTGTTCGCGTCATTTTCCCGGGTATTCAAACTAGGCGACTCGGTGTTCGCGGAGAGTCCAAGTACCACTACGTGGATCTGGAGCTCATCACTGATGGCGCTGATGGAGAAGAAGCGCGCCGAGCTAGCACGAATGCCGTTGCACACCATGCTATGAAGCGCCAGGCTTCTGGAACCCCAAGGCTCAACCTCGAGTATGTGCCACGCTCGTTCCCCCTGGAGGGACACAGACTGACCGACTGCAGCGCCATCCCACGCCTTGCTGCAGACAATGCACAGTTCCCACCGCGGGAAGCAAGAGTAGATTCACAGAACACTTTCTACACACCAACCTCCTCGCGTGGTGTTCTCTTCACTGATATCTATTCGCCGCATTTCCGACCGACACAATCTCGCACAAAGTCCGCATACGAACACGAACTCAAGTTCCCCACCCCGGATATCCTTGAAGCTCCGGACGCTTTCATCGTCGAGTTGCCTGATATCAAGCCCTATCTGCCCACGCGCACCGACCCTGACTCGGCTGATAACCTTGTTGCCATGTACCGTTCGCATGTCGTGTCACTGGTGGATTCCGTTCGATACTGCAAGGAGAAGCAATTTTTCCGTCTCTTCGGTACATTCCATGGTACTTTGACTGTGCCAGTGCAAAAGTTGTTTGCGGCGCCCGAGCTAGCACCGTGGATCAGAGAGTGTGATTGGATGATGTATCAGAAGATGATTCGCAACGTCTCTCAACTAACGCTCCAGGTCGCACCCCCACCGGTGCTGAAGTTCCTTGACAATGTTGCAAAGACTCTTCATGCGCATATCGCTGCCAAGTTCATGTCCCTGCCCGTCCACGTCCTTGAAGCAAAGCTAGAGCCCGCTACCTTGTTTGCTCACCTCCTCCGACAGATGCTCCGCGTTAACTCGGCAGCACACGCGGCAGCCGTCATGCTCACGGCAGAGAGCCACCGGACTCACATGTACGCCGACTGGCTCCAGCATGTGAACATCAAGCGCATCATTGCGAACGAGTTGCCTGCCTCATGTGCGCATGAAGAGGTATACAACATTCTCACAACGGAGATCCGCTCAATGCTAGGCCCATTGCCTCAAGAGATCCAATTGCCTTCCGGAACGATACATCGCGCAGCATACCCTGACCCGCCCGCTGATCCATCAGAGTCGGTCATTGATCGCATCGCCGCATTCTTAACTCGATTACCTTCACGCTTCCCTGGCGCGCATGCGCGCACTATTATGCATTGTATCAGTGCACTGGGGTCCGCAGCCCTGCGCGAAATCACAGTGGAGAACGGAATTAGCTTCCAAGGATGGTGGCTCACCAAGGTCTTTGTAGATGAGATGGCGCAGTGGCTGGCATCCATAGGAGGCTTCTTAGGCCACTCGCCGCCAGACTGGACCACTTCCAATTATTCGCCTGTCATGGGCGACCCTCTCAATGCGGGCATGACCAACGGCGGGAGTGGTAGTAACAACGATAGCCGGTACAGCAGCCTAGAAGCCGACTTTGGCCCTGACCAGTCGTTCATGTCGAATACTAGCCATGTAGCTATTCAGGATACTGGGTCTAACCAGGAAGGTAAGTCTGCCACCCACAACACGGACTTACATGGTAGTTGACTAACGCAAGATCATCAGTCAATGCTGGACGATTTACTCAACAATCATCACAATATAACATGAGTTTTGGATACGAGTACAGCTTGAACACGACACAACAAGAGTCGACGCATGATGACAGTGGCATAGGCCTTGGCCTAGGCGGCCAGGAAGACGGCATTGACGCCAAATTCGCGTCGCATCTATCTTCAGCTCTTTCGCAGAGCGTCAGCTAGTCTGGCCATTCTTGCTTTTCAGTCTTCTTGATCTTTTCCGCTTATGCTTTCACGAAGTCTCTGAGAGTCACGAATCACGATTTATCGTGCCCGTTTACGGCCTGTTATTATCTCATAATTATTACACTCTAGGGTCGATGGCGCCTCATTGGTTGGTGTGTACGAGGCAGTTGAGGCTGGTGATGTTGGCCTTGGAAGTTGTCTGGATTGCACTAGCTTGGCGTTTTTGGAAGGATATACCGCCTATATGGCTCGGATTGGGTACTAGGTGGGCGCGCTTTGTTGCTCTTCAAAGGAATTTGAATTGAGGTTTCTACCCAAATGCTGTATTTTGATTATCGTGTCCACGTCTCGTGTCTCAAAATCATTACATTTTCACCTCTGCGTTGGACCAGTCTTGCTGGCAGGTTGAATACGTCTTTTGGGAACATGGTCCCTGGGAATATTGGCGCCAGCGCTGTATCACACAAATGCATCCGCCTGATGCAGCCAAAGGATCACCGGTCATAAACTGATTGACCGACTATGATTGCGGGGGATCGGCAATATTATGCTTATCAAATTGCACTGGCTCCATACGGGTGACTTGGCAACACGTACGTGTTGTCACATGACTATCGTGTGAAGCAAAGTGTTTAAGGTCATAGCGACCGGAATAATTTGTGTCAAACGCGCCTCTTCAACTCATCTCCCATGCGTTCACCAGCCCGACACTCATGAGCCTCGTCAGCCTGTACACGGAGCTTTTGCTCCATGTCGCATCATATCTTCCACAATCATCTTTACTTAACCTTTCGCTGACGTGTAAACGCCTTCGACATGCCTAGGAAGCAGAGCTATACCGCGAGTACATCAATCCGCACAGGACGCTGTCGGAACTCACTCCACAAAAGACGCCAACGGTACATTATAACAAGCGACAGATCAGTGACTTTATCTTTCGCCTACTAAGTAGATCAGCCAAGATTGTCACGACATGTGCGCAGCGTTGAACTAAGACCGTATTCTTACGTCCTCCATTCCCGTCCTGCACAGCGCCCTCAGACCAACTGGAAGCCAATAGATTGTACGAAAGAGGACTATGATCGTCTAAGCCAGGCTGCAGTGGCCGCCGGTGTAGTTACGGAGGTCCTGCCGTACGAAGACAAGAGCAGCACATGGTTCAGAGCTAGATAGTTTGTCAGCAAACTACAGCTCATCAACCCTAGGTCAGCAAGAGCTTGGTACGAGCACATCTACGGCCGTGATGTGACTATCGGTGAGATACCATACGATACACAGTTTTGCACACTGCTCGTCTGTGGTCTTGAGGACCCTTATGTGGTTCTTCTCATGGCTTTCTTACCCAATATTCAAAAATTGAGTTTGCATGGCGCACCATACCACCCGTACTCCCTATGCTGGCGAGCAAAACATGGTTTCCGTGGTCTGAGATACTTCACTGTGACACCTTGGACCGACGACAGAAAATATAAGTCGACGCTCATCATGAATTCAATTCGCGGCTTCTGTTATTTCAACGTACCACCAATACGCCCAATCCTTGGGTGTATTCTTTATCTGATATCACCGTGCTGACCTTTCACAGTGAGAGTATGTTTATGCCAAAACCGGTATTGTCGGCTCCCCTCACCGATGGAGCTTGGTGCCCTAAAACGAACATCATGGCTAATTCATTCTAGCCAATGATAAAGTTCCCTTTGGAATTTTTCAGTAATGTTCTATGTTCAGGAAGCTTGGAGACACTCCAGGTACTCCGCGCTGGAAGCGGATGGCACGAGCTATACACGCGAGATTGGGGTACGCGGGGGGGGGATTTTGCACCGCCTACACCGTATAAATGGAATTGCCAGGAGCTTTAGCGGTTAGCAAAGCGTTGGCACAACTCGTTTCCAAGACTAAATAGTATCTATTTTGTCATAAACGAAGAAGATGCACATGATTGGAACCCAAGGAAATCCCTCGTTAGTATGTTGGATTTTGCAGCGAACCATGACTATTAAGAAGCAGGCGCGCCTCTCTTCAATGTGCTCTCGGTCTCTTATTATCGCCAGGAGTATCCATCCCCATTTTTCACTGTAGAAGGCATGTTTCGGCAGCCCTGGTACAGTGTCCAGTGGGAAAATGGCAAATACAAACGTGTGCATATGCGGAGGAAGAAATGGCTTGACAAAGACTCCATACGGGACGTGGTCATCTCCGAACAAGGTGCGATAGAACACGAACTTTAATATGCCGGAGACAATCATCACACTAGCGCATTGAGCTCCTCAATGTGGTACCTGGACGACAGACTATATGGTGATACTGATTCTGAGGGATCCGGGTGTTGTTGGGATTGTATCACTCCGAGAATAGCGGTTGCAGTGTCGGAAGTGAACTTGTGAGTTCCGACATGGAGCAATAGCGCAGATGGTGGAGATGGCGCTTGCAAATACAATTGATGGATGATATATATTTGGCAGCAATGTAAACCGTGATGGTTTGGTATTAGCATCACCACATGGAGTATCGACTGGCTTCTTCTTTCTGCGGTATTGCAGTACCAGCTGGAATACCTAATCGCCTGGCAAGTGTACTACTACTACTAGGTCTACCGGTAAAGCTCATGAGAGGATCCACGCTTGCCATTCACCCCCTATCCTGCCATGCTCCGCCCCGCATACTTAACGTTCTACGCTAGCTTTCCGCCATCGTTACACTAACAGACGTAACCTCCATACACTATTCTGCACGATCAATCTCGGCGGCCGGCTGGTACTACGCGCTCTTATAAACCACAGTAGCCTGCTGACCTCTCTCGCCCATCGACCCCAAGAGAAAAGCCCACGATTGCAGCTTATCATTGCTTTTTACTGCTTGCCCGTTCTCCTTTGTCACACGATCAAGGGTCTGATGATGCCGTCGCTCGTGACTTGGGCGTCTAGTGCTTAGCATAGAAGCCTCGTGTGACCTGTGAAAACGTGGTCGGTTATGTTGCGCAGCATGCCGCTAGCCCGCTAGTAAGATTTTTTAGTAGGACCTAGTCAGAAGAGAGAAAAAGGTTGTCTTATCTTTAGCGGCAGGAAGACTACTTACGCCAACCATAGAGCAGGGCAAGGCAAGCTGGATCTCAACAGCAAGAGTCGCATTCCCACAGCACGAAAACACAAAAAAGAGAGTTATAAGATTTATATTTCTGGAACATATGGGACTATAGAAGCGAAGAGTTGTGGCTGTAGAAAAACATGAGAAATTGTGCTGCTTTGGGCAAACCGCAGTGGACGAGCAAAAGAAAAGACGAAGAAAAAAAAAACACCAACTAAATATGAGTGTCTCTCTGTTTACGCGCGCGCCGCGTCATTCTCTTCGTCTTGGCAATCATACCCTGGGTTCCAAAGTACTCTGTGCAAATGTCTCTCGCGGCGCTGGCATCCAGGTCCTCGACTGTGGTAGGCACCCATTTTTTGTAGACGAGGTAGCTGTAGTCCCAGCGGGGATCGTTGAGCTGGGTCCTCCAGGTCCAGAAGATCCAGCCGTGAGTTTTTTCGTAGAGGGCTTGCTGCGCGATAAACCACTGCTTGTAGAAGGCTTCGTTTTGGGCGAGGCGCCAGTCAAATTCGGAAGAGTATTCGTTTTGCACGGTTAAACTCCACTCCTGGACCATCTTGGGCGTGTCGCCGTCGGAGAGCCGGTCGTCCTCGTAGCAGGTGTAGTACATGTAGTCTGCTTGCTTGGCGTCGGGGTTCTTCGCTACCACGGCACCGCCGATGTAGTTGTGGTCGTCAAACATGATCTTGGTGTCGGCGGGTATGTCTGACCTGGGGTTGCCAGCGCCCCAGAGTGTGTCCATGAACTGCACGTGCAGACGGTCGTCCTCAGCGATGCCGAGGTCATTTTCCGCATCGCGGACGGCTTTGAGGGCCTGCGGGTAGTACTTCTGGGTCAGCGTATCGATCTCCTCTTGAGGCATGCCGCCTTGGTCACGCGCGGTTTGCGGCTCGTTTACCACACCGATGATGCCCACGGAGGATCTGTAGGCGGCGTTGGTGTGCACACGCCGTGTCATCCAGTCAAGCCACCTGGTGGCACGGTCATAGTTGCGTTGCGTGAAGAATCCGGGCAAGTATTCTACGGGGAGGCACTACGTACGATCAGTCATGTGCAGGATGAAAAGGGGCTCAAAAAGCAAACGTACCTGGCCTGTAAACGGGTCCTTGGTCTTCTGAGCTCCCGGCGCACCATGGAGGTCCATAACAACATACATGCCCAGCTCCGCAGCCTTTTCCACAACGGCATCCAGATATCTTAGATCCATCCTGGGAAAGTGTTCGCTGCTGTCGACGATGCCTCGGAGGCTCCAGTATCCAATCGGTATCCGGATCGTGTTCAGCCCTGCATTATGGATGTCCTCGATCATGCTTGGGGTGATCCAGCGCGCATAGTGAGCATTGAACGCAATGTCTGCCTGTTCCTGACCGAGAGAGCGGACACAGCCGAACTCTGAGCAGGCGCCGCCGCAGCCCATGTCTGACCATTCCCCGCTCATCATCCAGGGCTCTGACAGCAGCCAGCCGCCGAGGTTGACGCCTCTGATTTTCCAGCTAGGAAGGGGATGAGCGCGTTTTGAGAAGGAATTGCTTGTTCGGTTGAAGGCAGCAAGTTCGCGGTGTTTGGGCGTCCAAGCGAGGGCACTGGCCGCCAGCAGCGCAGTGACGAGTGAAGATCCTCCAAACATGGTGTATTAAGAATAGGCTGTGTTTCCCAACTTGGGATAGAAGGAGTGGAGCCCCAGAATTTGAGACGGCGAGGACTGATCTGAAGTGAGCGACGCAGTTGGGGGACACACGGGAATATATACGTAACTTTTGCCCAGGTCAGTGGCGGAGAGGATCGCATGGAGATGTTGCATTGGCACGGCTTCTCCACGAAACTTGCCACAGGCCTCTTCTTGGCTTACGCCTGAGGTGTGAACAAGATGTGTGAGTAGCGAGCATGATTTGTTCGATGAGTGAACTCGTGAGCACCATATGTTGTTGCTAGTATTTGGAAAGATTCGTGTGTAGTCATTTGACCACCTAACTTGCTCTTTCCAAGGTGAGACAATCAGTCATAGATTCCTCGAGTTGGTGGATAGTATACTGCTAATCGAGTCAGCTGCGTACGGATATCGGCCCAGCAAGATAGGTTCTGTGATGGTTTGGTCGCAGCTGCGGCCCGCAAAGCAGGTTCAAACAAGTCACAAACATTAGAATAGCTTTTTCAGTGGTTTCCAAACATGTTGAAACTGCAAAGAAGAGGTGCACCGAGGATGCTGGTGGGTTCATGACTGTAAACATCGTTAGAGGCCGTGTGCTGTGATTCGTTGGAGGGAAGGCGTACGCTAGTCTTCTAGTATCTGAATCCTGCCAAATCCTGGAAGATAGGGGTTCAGATGCCATTCGATAATAGGCGAGCGGCTGCAGCGGGATTTCCCTTGACGCGTCAGACCTGCTGCCAACTGTACGGTCCGTCTTGTAGATCGTTATCAATCAGGGTAGTGTCAATGATAGATTGTCTGAATATCCTCGAGAACAATCATGGAATAGGAAAGTCTGTCGTCGCGGCAATTGCTATGTTTTTGCGGCGTTAGGACGTCACTTTTTTGTTTTGCGTTGCTTTTGGCGTTTGATCGGGATATGCATTCTCTGAAGCAACAATCATACGTATTAGCAATTCCATGGGCACATAATTTTTCGGTAACCAACGACGTCATGCTCATGGCGTTATTGAATGGCACATGTGCTCGGGCATCATGATGGAACTAGTACTCGGTGTTGCTTTGATAACTTCTGGGTGATACCGCCACAGGCCTCGTACCTAGAATTTCTTGGTTGCATGAGATTATTAATTCCAGTGCTTACAAGTGCTTGTCCTGAATGCTGTGAATATGAACTGTGACTATTGGCGTATGAAGGCGCTTTGTTTTGGTCTCGTGTGCGCACGTCGATCTCGTGGTGCTAAGCTTATTCTCGGCAAGCAGACTAATTGCTTTACCACCATCATCTTAGAGTGGTGCTCTAGCCTAATCTAGGATAGTGTCTCGATTCTCAATGCAATCACAGCGGTGCTTAGGATGCAGGTGAAGCTAATCCACCCGGCTGAGACATCGTCTGCGCGATTACGAGATGGTTTTTCAGTCTGTTGCGCCATATGTTTGTCACGGTCGAGTATTAACATGAAAAAGGTCGCATGAGGCGAAGGCTATAAATATATTGAAGGACTCTGTGATAAGCAGGGCTGGATTCGTATGTGCATCGTTTACTTCGTACTAGCCTACAGTCAACACCTACTACCCTTTTGAGCAATAAAGCTAATTTTCTCATCGACTGCCTTTGATTGACAGACTTTCTGTGGCGAAAATGGCCTGAGGGGATAGACGGGGATTTACAAAGGTCGGATAATGTATTATCGCAACCCATTCAAATGCTAGGAGTTGGATTTCAAAGTGTCTTCCGCTTTCATGCCTGAAACGGGAAGACCATAGCCACCCAGTTCCTGGGTTGAGTGACTAAAATTAGGCCTCTCGGCCAAGTTATGGTCTAAATCTTGCTTTAGATCAGATCATCTAGACATGGTAATTCAGCATTCTCGTCCAAGATGCATATAAGATTTAGGCGACGCCCAGAATAAAACCAGGTTCGGAAGGCGACATGGAATGAACTGCGAAGAGATGTGCACGAAATGATGAAGTGTAGTTTAGGACCCATGCCGGTATTCCAGAATAGGAAGCGCCGGATAAAGCAAGCCGAAGAGTCAGGCGTGGTTGAAAGCGGAAGTGGACCTTCTTATCGAGTTGGTATGACAGGAAAGATCGTATATGAGGCTGGTGTTCACAACAAGATCTCCGAGGCGCGACCGAAGACGGATACTGCTATACATGACATGCGGTGTAACAAGCGACCTACACTAAACATCTTGGGAGGTGGATAAGAAGTGGGGCCGCGCTAACCGAAACAGGCAAATTGAGCCTATCTTATACAAAAAGTCACTAAGGCGTGATCGAACATGGACATTGCTATACACGCGGTGCAGCACACTGCACGTCTTCGCGAATGGAAAAATAGGACCCACTAACTGCAACAGGTACTGTGAGGCTAGCATCTACCAAAAATCACAACGGTACGACTAAAGAAGGCCGCTATCATATATGCGGGGTAGCGAGCCAACTATACGCGGTCAGCACAAAGACGCTGACATTGGGTCTGATGTATTCCAATGCCTTCGCGCGGGACTGATGTGATATAGAAATAGCTATTGTGGGTAGATGGTCAGGCTACTCTATTGGAGAAGTACCATGATTGCAGAGCTGCAAAGCCGGCGTTGAGCTAGTTGCTGGTTCGAGAGCGTCAGGTTTTTTGGGGTGACGGGGAACGTACGAGTGGAAAAGTGGGGTGCGCTAACCGGAGCAGGCGCGATTGGCCGCCGGGCCTGCTTATCGCATCGATAACGGCGTCTTGGACACAGACTCTGACCATTGGCATACCAACGGCTCGATGGGGAGATATTCAATTGGTACCGATAGGCGGCTTGCATCGAGCAACCCCGGAGCCGTCTTGCGTTGCATTGCCCCACCCAAATCGCCTAGGCTATAAGACCATCCAACAACTTTATACATAAACGTTGCTGGCCACACCCACCTTCGACACCGACTTCCACAGCATCATCACACCATGTCGCTCGAACGATTGAAGCAGGCTGCCTCCCACGTCACGGGCATTGGATCGCCGCCCCATCCTTTTGACCCCCTTAACGAAGTGGAAATCGAGCAGGCCGCTGCTATCGTCCGCAAGGAGCACAGCGATGTCTTCTTCAACGCCATCACATTGTGGGAGCCCCGTAAGGTGGACATGATGAAGTGGCTCAAGGATCCCGACCACACTCCGCGACCGCACCGAATTGCTGATGTGGTTTGCATTGGCCGCGGCAGCAAGGTGTATGACGGACACGTCGACTTGACCGAGGGCAAGCTTCTCAGCTGGGCATTGACCGACAACGTGCAACCTCTGGTGAGATTTGGAATCAATGAAATTGCCACAGGCGTAGTACTAACTTTGACCGTAGATCACCATGGAAGACCTGCAGATTGTGGAATCCATTGTACGAAAAGATCCCAAAGTCATTGAGCAATGCGGTATCCTGGGCATCCCGCCTGAAGACATGCACAAGGTTTACTGTGACCGTAAGTTTAATTGTCTCAATTTATCCGAGTTTCGCTGATCGAGTCCAGCATGGACCATTGGCTACGACGAGCGCTTTGGGACCAAAGTTCGTCTCCAGCAAGCTCTCATGTACTACCGTCCTCACCAAGATGACAGCCAGTACACATATCCTCTCGACTTCTGCCCCATCTACAACTCTGACACCCAGGAAATCATCCACATTGACGTGCCTCCCGTCAGGAGGCCGCTCAACAAGGCACCGCCCAACAACTACCATGCTTCGGCCATTGAGGCTGAAGGCGGATTCATGACTGGCTTGAAGCCCATCAACGTCACACAGCCTGAGGGGGTTTCTTTCAAGATGGATGGAAGATATATCAGCTGGGCAAACTGGAAGCTTCACATTGGCTTCAACTACCGCGAAGGTATCGTCTTGTCCGATATCAGATTCAACGACAAGGGCACCGCTCGTGATACCTTCTGGCGTCTGTCGCTCGCTGAGATGGTCGTACCCTACGGCAACCCGGACCACCCACATCAACGCAAGCATGCTTTCGATCTCGGCGAGTACGGTGGCGGCTACATGACCAACTCGCTGAGTCTTGGTTGTGACTGCAAGGGAGCTATTCACTACATGGACGCCGCATTCGTCAACCGTGCGGGCCAGGCAACCACCATCAAGAACGCCATTTGCATTCACGAGGAGGATGCCGGCATTCTGTTCAAGCACACTGATTTCCGCGACGAAAGCGTAACTGTAACGCGTGCTCGCAAGCTGATCATTTCGCACATCTTCACGGCTGCAAACTACGAGTACTGTGTCTACTGGATTCTGCACCTTGATGGAACCATCCAGCTGGAGATCAAGCTCACGGGTATCTTGAATACATATGCCATGCTTCCTGGCGAGGATCTGAAGGGCTGGGGAACCGAAGTGTATCCAGGTGTTAACGCACACAACCATCAGCATCTTTTCTGCATGCGCATTGACCCCAATGTCGACGGACCAGACAACACTGTGTTCATGGTCGATGCGGCGCGAGGAGAGGGAGAGGTTGGTAGCGCAGAGAACAAGTACGGCAACGCCTTTTACGCAAAGAAGACGAAGCTTAGCACACCCGCTCAAGCAGCAACCGACTACAATGGCGCCACAAGCCGGACTTGGGAGATGGCCAATACCAACAAAATCAACCCATACAGCAAGAAGCCAGTGTCCTACAAGCTGGTCAGCAGAGAGGTGCCGGAATTGCTGCCAAAGCCTGGCAGTCTGGTGTGGAAGAGAGCTGGTTTCGCCAGGCATGCAGTGCACGTAACCAAGTGTGAGTTTTTCTGCAATTACCCCCGCCGTATGCAGTGTATACTGATAATTACTAGATGACGACGACCAAATCCACCCAGCAGGCCGCCACGTTCCCCAGACTTCGGGAGAGCCGTCTCAAGGAATTCCGGCTTGGATTCAAGCCAACCCCAACGAGAACCTCGACAACACCGACGTCGTCCTTTGGCACACGTTTGGTATCACGCATTTCCCGTCTCCAGAGGACTTCCCCGTCATGCCAGCTGAGCCAATGACGCTGCTGCTGCGGCCACGCAACTTCTTTACCCGCAACCCATGCTTGGACATCCCGCCCAGCTACTGCAGCGTCCCAAGTGGGGTGAAGCAGGGCAACACGCTTGTAGACAAGCTGAGCCGGATGGCGTTTGGAGAGGAGAAGAAGACGGATGCATCATGCTGCTCTAAATAGAGACATGGCGCTGGAATCTATCAGAGTGCCACTTAGGGGGGGTTACGATATGTGTACATAGAATTTGATAACGATAATGAGATTTTGCTATGACAAACCAGAGATTTCACCTTGGCTTTCGCGATCGTCGTAAGGCTGACTGAACATGTTTCTCCGCTGCCAAGCCGTAGCGTCGTGCTGATAAGCACCCGATCGAAAAACGCCATGTCATGCTAGCGTAGCTTTTGCGGAAGACATTCCTGGCTTGCTGCATGCACATGTTGCATGCTGTAGGGTGCGTGGGCATGGGCCATGCGGCGGGTAGCCACGCGCCCATGACGTGACCCCACGCGACCCCCAAGTAGCTCCGACGCCGGGCCCAAGCCTCGAATCCACCGACCGCCATCTCTTCCCCTCCATGCTCGTCGATTGCGAGTCCGACTACAACAACGCCATGATATAAGGATACGCCTTTTCGCCCATCTTGCTTACCCCGCACTTTCAACGTTGCGCTCCTATCCCGAGGATGTTCTGGCTGATAGCGAATATTCATCACCCGAACCAGCAATGCCCCGCGCATTCCCACCAGTAGAACAAAATGTCCAGACCAAGCGTTCAAGTGTGCCGCAGAGCACGCTATCCGCCTCTTTGATTGAGAGCGTCGCCGGCTTCAGCGCGGGAGTCGTCTCCTGCCTCGCTGCCCATCCACTCGACCTTCTTAAGAACCGTCTGCAGCTCAATACGACGAGCAGATCGCGGCCGGGCGACTCGTTCCGCATACTGCGAAATGTAATCCAGGACGAGGGCGGTGTAAAGGCGCTGTACAGGGGACTATGGCCGAACCTGCTGGGCAACAGTCTTGGATGGGGACTGTACTTTCTTTTTTACGGAAATCTGAAACAGCTTTTCCAGAACAGACGGCAAAAGGGCGAGCATCTGGGAAGTGCCGAGTTCTTTTCGGCGAGTATCATTGCTGGTGTGTTTAGCGGTCCATATTTGATGAGGGTGAATACTGACTCCTTGCAGGTCTCCTCACCGGCGCTTGCACAAACCCCATCTGGGTAGTAAAGACGCGCATGCTCGAACGCGGGGCAAACCACCCCTCTGCATACAAGACCATGGCCTTTGGGCTTCGCCACGTATACGAGACGCGCGGACTCAAGGGACTCTGGGCAGGGTTTCTGCCCTCTTCCCTCGGCGTTTTGCATGGCGCTGTACAGTTTAGCATTTACGAGAACATGAAGAAGAGAAGAGCCACACACATTGGCGGGCAAGACAAGCTCAGCAACTGGGAATACGTGTACATGAGCGGGGGGAGCAAACTTCTTGCCGGCGCCATTACATATCCTTACCAGCCCATCCGAGCAAGATTACAACAGTACAATGCCGCTCAGCAGTACAGTGGCTTATTGGACGTGTTGAGGAAGACGTATCAAAACGAGGGCTTCTTGGCGTTTTACAAGGGCGTGATTCCGAATACACTACGCGTCATTCCGACTACGATTGTTACGTTTTTGGTTTATGAGAACACGAAGCTGTACCTTCCAAAGGTTTTTGCCGACGACGAGCAGCTGATTCATGAAGAAGACTAGACTTGCGTAGATGCGTGCAACTGCCTAGGATATTGCATAGAGCACTATACATGTAGATGCGATTTTTATCTTTCTGATGTCATTTTCATGATTTTGCTTTTTAACGCAGGTCGCAGCTGGGTATTACGGATTGATAATACATGGAGAACAGATGAATCACATTCATGAAAGTGTTGTACTGCGTTCTAATTGGTGCACATGCACCTCATACGCACTCCCGACACGTGTTAGCGCGTTGTGCTTATCGATAGAGGAATTGTTCCCCGAGCCAAACTGTCCTCATCGCCCCAGACTCCATATGACCACGGCTTGCGCAACTCCCAGTCGACACAAACCTTGACCGCATCCTCTTCTCCTGCCAACCCCCGCGACTGCGCAGAAAGATCAACCTTCACCATGGAGTCACCAGAGACGTTTACACTGCTTCCCCTCCAACTGGACCCCGCTACCCTGGACGTGACGGCGCCGCAAAGCAGCAGCAACGCCCTGGAAAAGGAGCTGGAAGCGCTCAACAACCTGCACCGAAACCTGCTCGACGTCGGCACACCAACGGGCACGCCTCCGCCCCCAGTGCCCGTGAATCCCAAGCGCTCCGCTCAAATCGGCAAGCTGCGCGAGTCGGGCAACGCGGAATTTAGAAAAGGCCACCACGACGCAGCCGCCAAGCTGTACGCTCTCGCAATCGACATGGCGCTTGCACGCCCCGCATGGGAGCCCTCAGGCCTCGTGCGAGAAGAAGTCTCGGGGCTCCTGAGCAACCGCGCGCAGGCCAACATGGCGCAGCAGAAGTGGGCCGAGGGCGCCATTGACGCCGAGGCGTCGGTCGAAATGAAGAAGGTTGGCAATGCGAAGGCGTGGTGGCGCCGCGGCAAGTGTCTGCTTGAAATGGGCCGTCTGGAAGAGGCGGAGCTGTGGGTTAAGCAAGGACTGGAGTTTGAGGCTACTGAGCAGGATCTGGTGAGTCTCAAGGATGAGATTGAGAAGAAGCAGAGAGGTGGGATTTAAGCCTTGTTGCGACTTGCATGCCAAGGTTGGTGCTGGGCATGTGTGTGTGCATCGGGCACGTCTTCTGGGCTGGCGAGGAAATACATCAGTCTTGTGTCGGTATAAGTATCAGCGCTGGGACGACGAGGGCATTGCAGGGCGTTTGGAGTGGAGGGTTTTTGGCCACGCATACGAGATATCGTAGTCCTGTGTGTGGGCTCTATACGACCTCGGTAGCATTTCTCTGAATTGGACACGTTTTATCCTGATGGTTTTTTGGGCACGTCTTGGGTGTATCAGCTATCGAGACTGGGCATTGCTGGGTACGAGGTTTGTCTCTGATTACGCTCATATCTTCGCTGACCTTGTACTCATACTTCCTTCCCACGTCTTGCTGTCTGAAAGCTAAAATATATATATATATCTAGTCCAGCCCAATCCATATCCTACGCAACCCGACCAAGTCCTATGTCGTCCGCGGCGGCACACTTCCAAACAGCGACACCAATCCCTCATTCATAGTCGGATGCGTCACAATCAACTCGGCAATACTCGTATACGGCAGCCCGGCACTCATCGCCAGCTGCACCACAGGCAACAATTCGCCCGCGCGCGGCCCCAGCGCCGTAAACCCCAGAATACCATCGTTGTCCACGCCCACAAGCGCCTTTGCAAAGCCACGCGTGGCATCCATTGTGCGGGTGCGCAGAAACGCCGCCATGGGCAGCGTCGCAAGACGGTACTCAATCCCCGCTTTTGCAGCATCCTGCTCGGTCAATCCGACGTGTGCGAGTTCCGGGTCTGTGTAGAGTGTATACGGGACGTGGCGGTCCCTTGTGGAGCGTAAGGGTGTCTTGTGGAGCAGCACGTCGCGCACGATTCTGAAGTCGTCGAAGCCCGCGTGCGTGAAGTGTGGGGAGCCAGCGCAGTCGCCGACGGCGAAGACGCTGTCAATGCTGGTGCGCAGGTATGCGTCTACCTTGACGTGGCCCGATGGCGTCAACTCGACGCCTGCAGCCTGCAAGCCTACATCGTGTGTATTCGGGAGGCGGCCCCCCGCGACGAGTAAATGGGAGCCGGAAAGCTCGAAGGGCTGGCCGTTGCGCGTGCCGGTTAGAACGACGGTTTCCCCCCGATGTTCCGCTTACACGTGAGACGTGCGTGTCTGGGAAGAAAGCCACGCCTTCGTCACGGAGGATATCGACCAGTGCGCTGGATACATCTGCGTCTTCGCCCTTGAGCATGCGGGACCCGCGCTCCATGACGCTGACGGCAGCCCCGAAGCGGCGGAATACCTGTGCGAATTCCAGGCCGATGTAGCCGCCGCCGAGGATCACCAGATGTCGTGGTACGGAATCGAGGTCCAGCAGCTCGATATGGGTAAGTGGGTTTGCGGCTTCGAGGCCGCTGATTCCCAGGTCGAGATTGGCGCGGGATCCCGTGCAGAGAATGATGTGGTCGGCGGTTAGCATGCGGGTTTTGTTGCTTTGGCTTTCTTCACTTCCGCTTGCTGCTTCGCCTTCGCCGTGGCCGTCACTCTCAATGTGCGAGGCAAGTTGAACTTGCACGGCGTGCGGACCGACTAAACGGCCTCGACCGAGAATCAGGTCTGCACCGCTACTTGCAAATACGGACTTGTGCATATCCAGTAATCCAGCTACCATTCTGCGCTTGCGGTCCCGCACTGCCGCCATATCGAGTTGGAGCGCAGCATTCCCGTCCATATGATGCTGCTGTGCTCGCAACAACGGCTTCACACTAATATTCTCCTTCATAGCACCATCATTTCCAACACCAGGACGCGAATACCTAGCCATGGTATGCGCAACCGCGGCAGCATACACCAGATTCTTGGAGGGCAGACACGCGACGTTGGGACACGAGCCGCCGAGATATCTCTCTTCGATGACGGCGGTGCGGACGCCGAGGGTCGAGGCGCGGGTCCAGCACAGCTATTTGCCTGCTTCGCCCGAGCCGATGGATATGGTGTCGTAGTGGTTGGGGTTGGGGTCGGCCATGATGATGTACTTAGTTGTAGTATCTTTCTCGACCTGGGAAGGGCTTGAGGAGTGACTTGACGGAAGGGGAGGGGGGAAGTGTTTTAAGTTTGTTGATTTTGTCCTTCTCTTCCAGTTCGTGTTATATATATATATATATATATATGTTGATACGTCTTTCACAGACACGCCGTGTTTTCTCATCCAGCAGCATAACGGACTTGGTCCTGGCCACATGGTCAAGCCATTGCTGCATGCACACGGTTGGGTATGGCTGACCAAGCAAAAGTGCTCAACATGTTTTGAACCGTTTACCCCGCAATCAAGTCAGCGACGAGGTTTGGTGGTTCGTGATACGAGGTGGTTATTATTATTATTATTATTATTATTCTAGTTTAACGTCCTTTTTCAGCCCGAAGGGCTATATAAGACGTGTAGGGTTTTTAGGCCTACAAGTATCTAAGTAGGTTGTTTCTAGCTACGATATTTAGGAGGGGTTTTAACTAGATAAAGGTGAGGCTCGTAGCCTATTGGTTGGTAGGTAGGGGGTAGGATAGGGTGGGGGAGGTGTATGGCTACCTGTTACAGGTATTACTCCTTGTATTCTGTGTTTCCCTTGTACCAGGCTTATGTTCTAGCCTTTGTTTCTTGAATAAAGGTAATAGTTGCTTCTATACCCTCTTTTGTTTAAAAGAGGATAGGTAGTAATAGATCGCCTTCGCAGGCTTCTCTTAGTCCTTTCCTTTCCTCTCTATATAGATTACATCTAAATAGAATATAAAGTAGGTCTTGTATAGACCTATAGTTGTAGGGGCAACTATTAGAATCCACTTTCCCTTTCTTATATAGGTAGTCCCTTAGGTAACAGTGCCCTAGTTTAAGTTAGTAGAAAGCGCTAGAAATCTCTCTTCTAGTATTGCTAGGAATAGCGATTTGCTTTCTCATCTTCTACTTGTATTTTGCTGCGTACGTATGTGGATTCTTGCTAGTGGCTTTTTTCCTATACTGTTCAAGTTGGCTTAGCCATTCTCTCTCTCCTAGCTGCTTAATTCGCGAGCTAGTAATAGCTAGGCTAGTTTTGCTAGTAGAAGGAGGGTCTAGCTTAGTAGCTTCTTTAGCTAGGGCGTCTGCTTTTTCGTTCCTAGGGATATCTTGGTGGCCTGGTACCTAGTAAAGGCTAGGGCGTATACCTATCTCCTCTAGTTTCTTTGTTGCCTTTATACATCTAATTTGCTATTTTTGGCCTAGATTATTAGAAGCAGTCTTTAACCTAAGTAGAGTAGCTTAATTATCTGCATAGACTTTTATATCTAAACAGTTCCCTACTAGCTCTATTGCTTTTTCTAGCCCTAGGGTAATACCTTCTAGTTCACTATTGTAAACTAGTTAGTTATTTCCTATAGTATATTGTTCTTAGGCTATTTGTGTTGTTCCTAAATAGAATGCAACCCCTACTCCTACACCTTTGCCTTGCTTTGTAGCTAAGGCATTAGAATAGATAGATAAGAGGCTATTATCTACTAGTTGTTCCTTATAGTTCTTTGCTTCTATATCTTTAGGCTCTTTAGATATATAGACCTTATATAGGATATTTGAGTTCTAAGGTACAAAGGCGTAATGTTGTATCTCCTTAGTGTTTCTAGTAAGGACTGTGGAGATAGATCTAGTGATCTGATCTAGTTATTCCCCTTTATTGCTAGTTATAGCATTATTATTATTATTATTATTATTATTATTATTATTATTATTATTATTATTATTATTATTATTATTATTCCATTAGAGTCTATCTGCAGTCAGTGACTATGTAAGACTTTGGCCAGAGGCCGTTCTAGGTACAATTTGTTTAAAGTGAGAGTGTTCTCTGTATAGTACTGCTATTGTGCTGCGGTTTAGTCGCTTCTAGCT